GACTAGGTTTTTAGTTAAATAAAGCTTTATTAAGCCACAAAGGTTTTAAACACAAAGAAGGAAAAAATAAGACAAGCGAGAAGAAGTAGCCTTGTTATATTACGCAGTAGGAGATATCTCATGGAATGCCTTCTACTCAGTCACAAATCCGGGTACAGTGTTCAGAATCACATGTTTCTTCTCTGAGAAGGGCGAATACGGAGAATTAGGAGGTCTATAGTTGGCACTGGTAGATGGTATTCGGCCTGTCTTGGCCGATCCTTGGAAGTGCACCCAGGTCTTAGCACTACGTCCCAGATTTCAGTAGCGAAAAAAGCAAAAGGCTCTGTGTAGTTCCCAAGCAACCTTTGCCGACACTGCTGTTAGAGCGTACAATGTCTGTGGCGGCAATCGGTCTGGATAGACTTGACATCAAGAGGCTGGAATCATTTATCTTCTTAAACCAAATCTCATATATAGTAATGCGAGGTTTTTAATACATAACAACTTCGCAATACAATTATATTTCATCATAAGGTTCTTGCCTCCCTTCATATGGAAAGAGTATCTTATTCTCCATTTATACATCACTTAATGCTTATACCCCACTGAAAGTCCTAAAGGTGCAGAATCTCTCTTCAGTTTGGCCAACCAGCCGAACACGTTCGATGTCAGAGTCGTTACACCAAACTTTGGGCTGAAATGCACCTCGTCAGACTTATGCTTGATGAATGCACGGGGATGTCATTCTAGCGTGCTGGGCTGTCGCCATTGTCTTACATGCTGCAAGCCAACAGCCGACAGCAGCAGGCTGCACGTCTTCGAAATGTTCCCCTTCTGCGTATCAAGAAGAATTTGTTTACGACTGCAACATAACCAAAAGAAGCCCACTAGTTATAGTAAATCACCAAGCGTTCGGTTACTGAGATACTCCGGTCCTCCTTTCAAAAACGGAGATCCCTCGATAGTCTCTTTTTCTACCGAGCGGTAATCATTTCGCCTCAGCCCCAATACGAATAAGCCATTTTAGGTACCGTACATGAAGGCGGAGGCGGGTGAGAAATTAGCGGTTTAAAAAAAGGGATGATAGGGCTGTGCGGGTAAGGGCTAGCCGCTAGTTTTCAGCTGGGCGCCACCCTTTCACCCATTATGCTGACTGCCACTTCACTTAGCGTATTATCCCTACCTATGATGCTCAGGGTGGCTTATTTCTGAGGCCATTCATTCGTCAATGACAAAGCAGGCTCTCGTCTGTCTGGGTCTGGGCTCGGCCATTTTGATCCGTTGAAGTCACAGCCATGGAACTGGATTGCTACATAATAAGCAGGATGCCCCGCGAACTAGCCTTGAGGCTCTGCATCTTTTTCTCTTCTCTCCAGATCTGTCATACTGTCTTTCTCATCATCAAGAGTCAGAATGCGCAGCCTTTTCTCCATCAAGGTGGCGGGCCTTGCCCTTCTGTCACTTGCCAACGCCCAGGATGTATCTGAGAACCTGGCCGGTGCCATTGCCGACTACAACTCTCTCTCCCTTTTCCGTTCCCTTATCATCGCGGCTCCTCAGGTGCTGGCTGAAACTCTTTCCAGCCAGGGCAGTAATGTCACTGTTTTGATCCCTACGGATAACGCTATCAAGAGTTATCTTAAAGACTCTAGCATTTCAGACGTCACTGAATTGAACCAGACCATGCTCCAAGTGTTCTTCTCGTATCATACTATGGCGGCTTCTCTGTCATCTGTCGATTTCGATGATTCCCGTGGACTTTCGGTTCCCACTTTGCTAAAGAGCGAGGAATTCAACAACAGAACTGCAGGACCTCAGATCCAGAGCCAGTTCGGCAGCAATGCTGATGGCCAGGTCGTGTTCGCTTCGAGGGAACGAAAAGGGAAGAGGGCTGATGGTGATATCAGCGGGGCTATTGTCAATCTCCGAGCAGGTGAGGAGCAAAACATCAAGATGACTGCTGTTGATGGATCTTGGGGTGAGAAGAATGCCAGCAGGTTTCAGATCGTGGATAAGTGAGTAATGATATGCACGCTAGCTAGGACCAAACTAACAGACATCTGCAGAGTCCTTCTCCCCCCTCTATCTTGCTCCAAGACAGTTCAGGCTGCCGATGACAAGAGACTCACAGCCTTGAACGGCGCTCTTATCAAGGCAGGTCTGTGGCCAGCTCTCGACGCCTCGAAGAACGTTACATGTCTTGCACCCTCTACCCAGGCGTTCAAGGACGCGGGGAGCCCTGATGTCGAGTTGTCGAAGGAGGATCTGGGTGGAGCACTGCTGTAAGTTGTTTATTTGCCCTCTATACGCAAGAATGTGCTGACACATCTTCAAGGGCCCATACCCTCAACGAAGTTACCTACTCCAATTACCTCCGCGACGGCCAAGTAATTGGAACTCTGAACAAGACCGAGGTCCGAGTTAGAATAATAGATGGCGATATCTTCTTCAACAACGCCAAGGTCATCGAGGCGAATGTCCTTACCAACAACGGTCTCATCCATATGTAAGTCATTCTTAATTCATCACATTAGACATGCTAACAAGTGCAGCCTCGATTCCGTCATTCAAGCTGGTGGAAAGCCCAGTGAGACCAGCACTGGAACTTCAACCGCTGAAACTGCGAGCGCTACGTCAAGCGGGTCACAGCCGACCTCGAGCTCTGCGACTGTTTCCCCAGACAATGGAAACTCTGGTAGTCGCCCGTCAATTGACTTTGGGATGTTGAGTCTCTTGGTTGCGGCTTATGCAATCATGTGAAGAGCAACATTCGGAGTACTGGGCATATATTAAATTGTAATAAATTCTTGGGTTTCTAATTAACATCATGCCGATTCTTCACAACCTGATGTTAATGTCTTAAGCGATTGTCCGGAGATTGCTTCGTTTCTGAATATTAATTCCTACCTAGTAGATGTGTTTCCATATTACTAAGACGAAGTCAGAAAAGACGCCGGGCTGAGCTGGACTTTCCACATCTCAGTTCGTTAACTCCGATGATGTTCTGCTCAAGTCTCGGCTTGTGGACAATTGAGGGGAGAGTCTGAGAAGACGCGGGGTTGTCGGTCTCGGAATGAGGGGGAGAGCGGGCCGCCCGCCTACTGAGCGGGGTTCTTTGTCAGCGCGTAGGCACTCGATATGAACCCTACTGGTAGCTCAATGCAAGGTCCCTGTGACAATAAGCAAATAATAGCATCTTCAGCAAGTCTGTACCTGGGCCACGAAAGTCAAAGACCATGTCCACGTCCAAAGTTGCACTGGTCACAGCTGCGAGCAGTGGTCTCGGCGCAGCCATTGCTCGCATGCTTGCCGTCGACCTAGGAATGAACGTGGTAATTAACTTCAACAGCAATGAATCTCGCGCAAAAGAGCTAGTCCAAAACCTTCAAGCCGAGTGCGAGAAAAAGCATGCAGGTTCAAATATCTCGATCCAGGCCATTCAAGCAGATACGTGCGACAAGCAGCAGATCAAATCGCTTGTCGATGAAGCAGCATCGAGGTTTGGCGGTCGTCTAGATGTTGTCATATCCAATGTCGGATGGACAAAGATGCGTCAGTTCTCAGACATCGACGACAATGTTGACGAGGATGACTGGGATCGCTGCTACGTTGCCAATGTAAAGAGTCACCTTTGGCTTTTCCATGCGGCGAAACGGTTTCTAGAGGAGAGCAACAAGCGAGAAGCTGGAGTGCCTGTTTTTGTGTCTACAGCTAGTTTGGCGGGTGTGATCCCGAGTGGAAGTAGCGTGGTATGTTCTTATGATCCTAGGAAGAGTTGTCATTCACTGACTGTCGCCGTGTAGCCGTACGCCGTCACAAAGGCCGCCCAGATTCACCTTGGGAAATGTCTTGCCAAGATAGCTGCGCCGTCAATCAGGGTAAACACTATTTCTCCTGGAATATTACTAACGGTAAGTCAATTGGTTTGAGTCGTTGATGGACACAGTCTCATCTTGATATAGGAATGGGGTCTTTCGTTCCCCCCAGAGCGACTTGAAGCTGCTCGTAACACGAATAAGTTGGGACGTTTTGCCACGGTTGAAGACGTTGCGGAGCAGGTTAAAGCTTTCATCGTGTCCAAATCAGTTACTGGACAGAATGGGGTCGTCGATGCGGGTTTTGGTTTGTGATAGAGCATTTAATTACTTCTGGGAGCTGATGTATTTTCAAAGCCCCCAGCATATCGAGGTGACGAGGTCATCACGTTACTTCAATCAGGAATGAAGCTATATTACATTCGCTATGTAATTGACCCCTGAATAACTATACTTCAACTAATGCTAATTATCTCTCTTTGTAAATTTCTATCTATTATCATCTTTGTCTTATACCTTGCTTATTGTTGGGTATTTTATCTCTTTGAGTCTGTTTGTCTCCTTAGCCCTGTTGAAATAGTGTCGGGAAGATCGCCTATTGCCAGGCAGCTAGGGGGAGCCCAAATTACATCTGCCAAACCCCATTTCAGCTAAACTTGAAAGGCTAACATAGAATTTGTATTGCAAGTGACTAAAAAAAATGAGCTTGTCATATGTTGGTAGGCTTCCAGCAAAGGTAATTTTGGCCCAATGCTGAAAGGTTTCTAGCTCGCTTGGCTCTCGGGGTGCCCAAATTTGACCGCCCACATTTCCGACTCCCCCGCAAAGCCGATCCATGACCGTGCTACACCATACGGAGAAGACCGGGGAGCGTCGAGAGCACCAGCAGGCGGGGACAGAATGAAATTCCAGTAATCATCAAGATCATGTACTATAAGGGCTGCTTGGCTTGATGAGAAGAAAGAAGCAATTGCACATAAAATAATCTTTTCACATCAACGGTATTAGCAACACGAAGTTAAACCTATTTCATCATGGCTCGAACATATCTCAAGCGTCCTGCGTCCGCCGGCTCAACAAGCAAAACCACCAATGGGTCCCTGCCCGACGTCCCCAAGATCGTCAAGGGAGTAATTGATGACGTTCGGCGAGAAGGCGATGCCGCTGTACAGCGTTACAGCGAGCAATTCGACAAATGGTCTCCCTCTAGCTTCAAGCTCTCCAAGGAGGACATCGACAAGGTCATGGCGCAGGTCCCAGAGCAGGTCATCAATGATATCAAAACTGTTCAGTCCAATGTCAGAAAGTTTGCAGAGGCACAGTTGAACTCAATCAAAGAGTTTGAGATCGAGATGGCTCCTGGTGTATTCCTTGGCCAGAAGAATAACCCAATTGACTCAGTTGGAGCGTAAGTACTCGATAGCTCAGACTTACCGTTCTGATGTGCTAATAGCTGCCTAGATACATCCCAGGAGGACGGTACCCCCTGTTAGCCTCTGCACACATGACCATCTTAACGGCCAAAGTAGCTGGCGTCAGAAATGTAGTAGCCTGTACGCCCCCCGCAGCGGGTGAAATTCCCCTGGCCACAGTTGCTGCCATGTATCTCGCAGGTGCAGATGAGATCTTCATCCTCGGTGGCATTCAAGCCATCGCAGCAATGGCAGTCGGAACGGAAACTGTACCTAAGGTGGACTTCATCGCAGGTCCAGGGAACGCGTTTGTTGCCGAGGCAAAAAGACAGATGTTTGGTCAGATTGGAATCGACCTCTTCGCCGGCCCAACTGAGGTTTTGATCGTAGCAGACGAGACAGCAGATCCGTACATGATCGCCACCGATCTTCTTTCTCAGGCTGAGCATGGACCGGATACACCTGCTGTCTTGATCTGCACCTCGGCTGAAGTGGCCAAGAGTGCCATGAAATACTGCGATGAGCAGCTAACTACGCTCAAGACTGCAGCGGTAGCTAGTGTCTCGTGGCGTGACTACGGGGAGGTTATCTTCGCTGATACGGTCGATGAGGCCTATCAGATAGCCGACGAGTTTGCTTCTGAGCATGTACAAATTCTCACTGCGAACCCCAGAGAAGCGCTTACCAAGATGCAACACTACGGAGCCTTGTTTCTAGGCCCAATGACCTGCGTCTCTTTTGGTGACAAGGTAAGAAATCATAAATCCCACTGAACATCATTGACGCTAACATTGCTGTGTAAAGTGTATCGGCACGAATCACGTTCTGCCCACAAAGCACGCGGCGAGGTACACTGGCGGTTTGTGGGTGGGAAAGTTCCTCCGAACTGTGACGTATCAGGAAGTCAAGTCCGCCCAGGCAAGCGGTGAGCTTGGTCAGCTTTGTGGGAGAGCTGCGCGGGTGGAACTGTTTGAGGGCCACGCGAGGTCCGGAGACATTCGTGCGCATCGATACATCGGAGACAAATTTGAGTGGATCAAACCGTGATTAGACACTTAGACTAGAATCATACACTCCTTTTGCTTGGTTAACTAGTAGAATGTACGCTTGGCTTGTTTTATAGCTAATAACAACTCCATTCGCGTGGTCGACCAACAAATTAATTTTTCGGGACCACTCCTTGCCCTCCACATCCGAAGTAAGCTTTGAGCTATTCACGGAGTCTCATCATCTATAGGTAGGCTTAAAACCCAACTGCCGGGTCTTGTTGAATACTAATTGTTCTCAAACCCTGTATTATTCTGCTAAACAAATCGCATTCATATACCTATACAACCAAGATGGACGGCAAAGCACCTGCCAACAACACACGAAAAGATCTGAGAACGATCAAGCGGTTCGTCACCACTCACACTCCTGAGGGCATTACGACCTTCTCGGACGCCTTACCTGAGGACGCTCCCTTCCAAACCCTACCAGACAATGTCGACTTTGCCCTCTGCTACGCAACCGACCGATTCCCCGTCAATCTGAATGACGACGCGGATATCAAAACATATCGACACTACACCGAGAACCTTCCAGGCATTACTCTGCCAACAGGCACAGTTCTTCGCGTCGTTGACATACCTCCTGGCGCTATATCCCCTATGCATCGTACAATCAGCTTGGATTATGGAGTCGTTTTGGAAGGAGAGATTGACTTGATCCTTGACTCTGGTGAGAAGCGAGTCATGAAGAGGGGCGATATCTCAGTTCAGCGGGGGACTAATCATGCTTGGAAGAACAGGAGCGAGGAATCATGGGCAAGAATGCTTTATGTTTTGCAGCCGGCTACAAGCCTGAAAGTTGCTGGTCAAGAACTCCACGATAACTCAATGCATACCATTCCAGGGTATGAGGAGGACGCAGAAGCTAAGGACTAGCAGGTCTATACAAGAAACAGTCATGTGAGCATTACGATAGATTCAATATTTGTCACTTAAAAAATATCGTGTTGTCATTCATCACAGGTGTTCGCGCCCTAAAACTCAACCTTACAGTCCGCAGTCATCCCCTAGTAGGTAACAACATCATCAGTCACATAGCGACGTGCTATAGTCGTAAATTTTGTCAGATAAGCTAGCGCAAACACAACCCCAAGAGTTTCACGTTGACTATTAACGTGAGAGTCTGCCATAGCCCGAAATTCTCTTCGGATGCGGCTAGTGGACTCAGCAGCACCGATGCGGAGGAGACGTGGCGTTCCCAACGCACTCAACATCCCCCACATCGGCTTCACCTATACGTCGATGTCGGCTCGGCCCAGCTTATCCAGAAGCTGCTCAAGATTCTCGACCAAAGGCGGCACAGCCTCGACGTGAGAGAAATTGGCACTCAAAATGCCGAGAACGTAGTTCACGACCGCCTCCCGGTCCATCAGCCGAATGGGAGAATTGCCGAGCTGGGGTGCAGATGGTTGGATGACTACTACCGAAGGCACCCCGCGGCTGATGAACCTCTGAATGAGTGGAGATTCCGGCCCGTTCAAACAGACCATCTCCTCCTGATTAAGAATGGGATCATTCTTATTTGTGCCTTTGACCTGTGACACCACCGCATAGGCCCAAAGGGCGAGGTTCGCCTGATATAATGCAATAGTGTAAAAGCCCCGGAGCCGACCAGGCTCAAACATCTCTGCTGCTCTTATAATCTGGCCCGCGTACCATATTGCTTTCCGTGACTCAGGACTGTTGGTCCAGTCTAGAAGTACAGCTAGGGCGTTCCGGGCATCACTCTGATGTCCCTTGCCTGCAAACAGCTCAACCTCTTCAAAAGGTATGTGTAAGTGCATATACACGAGATGGTACATCATTGTTACCGGACCATCCTGCCAGCCTGCCTCATCCCCCATCATGTTGACGCAAAAGCGATGTAATATCTGGAGGATCTCTTGCTGCCGAAGAGTCAATGCTGGGTCCGAGTGTCTCGGCTTATCTAGCACAGCAATGCTTTGGAGACATTGCCAGACCATTCCCCAGATACCCGAAAGGATGATAAGCTGACAAAACGAACTATCATAGCTGCTGTCGATCTCTGCGGAATTGCGGAAGTAGTCGTACAGTGTGACTCTTGTGTGTTGGCGCGGCTGCCTCAAGTACATGGCTTTCCATGCTTCTGAATCTTTGGCAAGCCATAGATCACTAGACTCTGGCAGATGCGTCTTGAGCTCCGAGAAAGATATCAAGGGACATGTCGACATAGCAATACTGACTTGAGTGTCTAGAACAAAGCAGTGATAGATGAGTCTGTTATAATTCTCTTGCTCAATCCAGGCAAGCCACTTATTCTGCAAGGTTTCACCTGTATCTTCTGGCAAAGGAGGATCAGCGGGGGTATAGGCTTTGCTAAATCTTCTACCGCGCCGTAGCATCTGTGATCGAATTATCAGCCACTTTGTAACAAAATAAAACTTAACACAAATTGACCGGGAAGGAATGACATACTGTGAAGGGCATCTGGCGCTGGCTTTCAGCGATTTCCATCTTCCTCTTAATACCACTCCACAGCCCCATCTCAATATCCAGTACAAATGCTTGGAGGGCCCAAAGACTTCTAGTCCTAGAATTTGCACTTTCAAACAGTATAGGGAACGACATACGAGCCACCTCATGAAGAGCAAAACCAAGGGCATGCAAGATCTTGGAGTCAGCAAACATAGTGCCCATATTGACGATGGTGAGAATGAGCTCTGCTCCCTGTTGATTTGGTTCGAAAGAAGGGCCATGTATCCACGAGTCTGTCTGGACGCGATGGTGAGAAAAGAAGCTCTCGATGAGCTTGGACAGAATCTCGGAGTGAGGGAATGCTCTGATGATGGCGAGTTTGCTTTCGGGCTTACAAGCGTTCAGTGTCAATAGAAGCAATTGGTCTCTAAGACCAACGGAGAGTGGTTTGAACCGCTGACTGCTTACTTCCAAGCTGTTCAGCTGGATGGCGTCCTGGGGACTATCGCCAAGAACGGACAGGGCCTTAATGTTGGAGTTGAGGTGGTCATTCTGCGACGGCTCCCAGATTCCGAGGGCGGATTCCTTGTACGCGACGTGACCCAGCACAGCTGGGCGAGCATTATTGCCCAGACTCGGCGTTTGAGTCTGAAGATTGAGCGCTGCAGATGCCTTTGGCTCCAGCAGGATTCCGTTGTAATAGAAAGATGGGCTGCAGGGCAAGTCCCAGAGATCCATGGCAACATCGTCGAACCGCGGATCCCCATCGACCCGGAAGTCCAAGGGGCCGTGGGACAAAAGCGGATCGTAAATTTGATGAATGCTAGCCAGGTCGGCTTGTTCTATCGGACGGCTCTCCTGTCCCTCTACGGGAGTCATGACCCCTTTCAGGAACTTGGAGAAGTCGTCCTCTGATAAGCTTAGATGACTCGGTTCGAGCACGGGTATGAATAGTTCATGATCTGTTTTGTTTAGCAATTGGCTTCTGAAAGGAGCAACTGACGTTATCCTCACCTATGGTAGATTGGATGCTAGTTTCTGGTGATGTCTTATCTCCTATTTCTGTGAACCGCGTATCTCGCTCGCAGGTGATTCCTTTGGTCACACAGCGTCTGCAGGAAGGATCTTCATCGCACTTGAGCTTGGATCCCGCACAAGCTTTACAAGCTTGAGACACACGAGGCGCAGCATTGGACATGCGCTTATATCGCTTCGCACCAGACTCTGCGCCATTGTGTCCAAGGACATGGCGTTTGAGGATATCTCTAAACGACACAACAAGGTTAGTGGTTGCCGATTGGTAGTGTGATTACATACTGGCGCCCAAAGGCCTTATCGCAAATATGACAGCGAAACGGCTTATCTTGTGCATCTATCGTGAATGTGAGTAAATTGGAAGACGGGAATATTGCGCTGCTGCCACTGACGAGATCGGATATGACGGGTCAAGTGGTCCACGCGCCCGAAGGAGCGTTGACAGTATGAGCACTGGAAAGGGTTCTGTTGAGGAGACGATAGGCGTCTCTTTGTCGCGGGCGGAGCGCTCATATCGCTTTTGACTGCCAGAGCAGGATTGAAAAATTGAACATTGTCACGGTGGAAGAATGGTCGCGATGGATGTTGCTGGGCTGGACTGGTCTATGGACGGGCATGACCTGCGCCATGATACTAGACTAACTAGAGTGAGTTGAATACTAACTTAGTATGGTAAATTCTGGGGTCGTCGGGATGTGGGCGATGCGGGGAAAAGACGCTACTACGCGAATCTTTTTGTCGTCGACCCTAGGGTAGGCATGAAATTCTTCTGGAGGCATGTTTAAAGGGAGCTGCGACGAAGCTGAGGGCGGGAGCAGACAGTAAGCAAATTTCGCCAGTTAGTGAGTTCTAGCCACTTGGTAGTAAGCTATCAATCTGTTATTATGCCTGTCCTTCACGTTCGCTCAAGAAGGACGGAGTTGAGAATAAATTAGTAGTCCCTGAACTATTGGTTCATCAGTGCTTGCAGGGTAAAGCTCGACCGTATAGGCCTCAGTATTCCCCAGTAAACTGGTTCATCCACAGAAAATAACGTATAGGAACTTGCAATTGCTGAAAGCAAATCTCATTGAACAGTACTTCTAGATATCATTCTTCATCACAATGCTAATAAGCCATTCTGGGTTCCTGAATAATATCTACTCGCCCACTTCACGATCCACATTCCAGTGAACAAATTTCTCAATGTAGCCCCAGCTCCAGGTAGCATGGCGGATCCTTCGACCCCAAATATAAATAGGTACCCAGCACAGAATAACCGCCCCCGAGATTCCAGCCATGGCGCCAAACGCATTGGCATATCCGCTCTTATCAATCCATGGATTAGTGTAGAAAGAGAGGAGAAACCCGAAAGCAGCTGTATCTCGTCAGCTTAATTAATCAGGCCAGGCCAGGGAGACATTAGACTTACACTTGAACGCTAGCTGCGTGACGGCTAACTCTCCCGCAACGGGACGGTAGCTGTCAATTGTGTAGACCAAGCTAACGTTGGTAGCTTGAACGATTGCCATGTTCACTATCGACTCGAATTAGCCTTTACAACCACGCGAGAGAGTTGTGGGTAGACTTACAAAGACCCAGACCAAGGGTTGGGACAATCCAGTGCCAGTTGCGGTCGATGCCTACACCATACAGGACCAGGGAGAGAGGCGCGACCACAAGCGAGATGAGGATCGCAGGCAGTCGCATCTCTGGCTCTCGAATGCCTCCATTCTTCCGAGTCAGCCGATCCGCTACCATATCACTAAAGTGACCTCCAAAGAATGCCCCAACACCGGCGCCTATGGGACACGAAATGAAGCATAAGCCAGCTTGCCACGGCTTGAAGCCATACGTGGCGGAAAAAGCAACAGCAAAGTTGGAGCTGATGGCAACGAGGAAGCCGATGGTAACAGACATGACGAGGGTAGCCCAAAACACTGGAGGAAGGGTGAGGAGAACAACTGGCCGGAAGAATAGCTTGAGAATGGACTCTTTCGTATGTGTACCGCTGTACAGAGACATGTTCTGCCAAAAGGTACGCTTTGGTGTTGAAGAATAAGATGGTTGTCCAGATGCCGAGACTTCGTCAAACTGTACCTTCTCAATGTCCTCATCGTTATCCTTGCGATTGGTCTCAATATGCGTGTGTGTTCCCTCGGTAGTTTCCTGGCGGTTGTAGACGGTCTCGGGGAACGTCAAGATGATCAGAATGGTACACACTCCAATCAAAGCGACCGATACCCAGTAGATATACCGCCAGTCCAGGTTGATGGTAATGAGCCCAGCAACAATGATTCCAGCCCCCACACCAGCGGACAGTGCCGTGGTATATATCCTATCCATGTGATTAGTGGAGGTAAATAGGGCATCCAGACATGGTCACTCACGCCATGGCGGCACCTCTCTCGTGCAAGAAGAACAGGTCCGAGATAGTCAAGGGGGCTAGACATTCAGCGACGCCTGATGCAAAGCCCATGAGGATGCGAGCAGCTAAAGCACTGCCGTATGTAGTTGCGCCACCAGCCCAAGCGGCGACAGCTGTATACATGATGAAGGAAAGGACATAAATAGGTCGACGGCCGTACTTTGCAACGAAGGGCATCCATATCAGGTTTCCCATGCCCTGGAGAAGAGCAGTGGTGGTGAAGAAATAGGCAATCTTGGAGACTTTGGCACTGAAGTCGGGGCCAGGTGGACCGAAGAAGGACTCGGTGGTGCTGACGATGGCGACAGTAGGTCCAGCGGCGAGGAAGTTGCTGAAAAAGATGGCGCAGGAGACGAGGACGGCGATGTAGAAACGGTACGGCTTGGACCTATGCAGCGCTTACTTAGCATGCTTCACAAAGGTGAGGACTTGAACCAGGTAACAACTTACCAGTTGAGGGGATCATTGGGGTCATTCGTTGGGGTTGGTATGAGGATTATCTCGTTGGTCTCTTCATTACGGAGACGCAGACCTCCCAGCATGTCGTTACGGCCACCAGGCGTGACCATGGTGGTCTTGGGGATATCGTTAGACATGGTGTCGATGTCCAAGTGGTAAAGGTATACGATGAAAAGGAAAAGCTGACGAATCGTGAAACCTCTAGCAAACAGGAAAGGATCGGCTGGCGAATGTCCTAGAGCCCCTGAAAAGTCCAACAGGTGAAAGAGGGCATAGCGGACTGTATTTAAGCTCGAATACGGCCAACGCAGACTAAGAGACACTCACGTTGGCGAGCATGCACTGAATGTGTTGATGGTTGGTTGGCGTGGAAAGGGGGGACAAAATCTGCTAGCGACGCGCTCTAACGCGGATGAAGGGCGGCTCCACCAACCACTTGCTAGCGTGTCTTCCCCACGGGGTTTGAAGCAGTGAAAGCAGATACAGATAGGGAGAGTTTCGTTCCGATGCTCCCCCAGATAACCCCACAAAGTGCAAGGGTATGTGACTTTCTGTGCTGGGTTGCTGAGGCAGAGAGGCTACAGGACAGGATAGGTAGTGGTCGGTGGCGGTAGTCCCCTGCCTCGTTAGCTTTAAGTGGTTTAGTGTCGACCACAAACCGATCCGATGTGGTCCTGACCCCTCAATCATCTTCGGCCCCGCCAATAGTTGTCGATATGAGAAAACAGTACATTCAAGTCGTGCATCGGGACCGTGGCCATGATTCTGACCGAAAGGCCGAGGTTAAGGTTCAAAGGATCCTGGTGCGTCAGTTGCGAAGCCCTTAGATAAGACGCAAGCTCTACTCATGAGGTCCGATATTCCTGGCCGTTGAAGAACAAATCCATTACATTGTAACTAGGACACAATGGTATCCAACGGCGTCTCTAGTACAACCACCAATGGCCACGGTGCCGCTGCCAAACCCGATGGGCTCAACATCGTCGTTATCGGGGCCGGTATAGGCGGTCTCACGGCGGCCATCTTTCTCCGCAGGCAGGGCCATCGAGTCACGCTACTAGAACAGTCTCGCTTTGCCAACGAGGTAGGAGCGGCGATGCATCTGGCCCCCAACGCCAATGGAATCCTCCGCCGACTTGGTATCTTTGCCGAGACCATAGGCGCCAATGTCTTTGAACGGGTATGCAGCTCCAAACTCAATGCGCTTCTGGATGTCAGACACTAAAATAGTATCGCTATGACTACAGATTACAGAGTTCAACGCGGCCCATGAAGTGGTCCGTGATGCCGATATCACAGAAGCGAACAAGATCTGGCAGCATCCATGGCACTTGGTCCATCGTGTACGGTTGCATCAGGAGCTTAAACGACTTGCAACATCGCCAGAAGGACCTGGTACTCCCGCTGTGCTCAAAACGTCCAGCCGCGTTGTCGACGTTGACACAGAAACAGCTACCGTCTTCTTGCAGGATGGTAGCCAAGTTCGGGGCGACTTGGTCGTTGGCGCTGACGGAGTTCATGTAAGTAACGATACTTTCAGCCCTCGATGCTGCATCACTTCGCTGACAAGAATCTATGCATAACAGTCTCGGTCCCGTCACAAAGTTGTTGGCAAAGAATGGCAAGCTTACAGTTCCGGAAAGAGTGCTTTCCGCTTCCTCGTCCCCCGTCAAGCTGCTCTCGATGACCCAGAAACCGCCCAATTCGCACAGCATAACGGCCAGCTCACTATATGGTATGCTGCCGACAGGCGTATTGTGATGTACCCATGTGATGATAACAAGATGTTCAACTTTGTCTGCATTCATCCGCGAGAAGAGAGCGACCCTGGGAGCAAAGAAGGTATGTTCTGGCTAGACCCTTGACCTGACACAAATCGTTGACATATACTTGCAAGACTGGAACAACGAGACAAGCATGTCGGTGTTACTGGGTGTATACAAGGACTTCGACCCTGCTTTGTTGAAGCTCCTTAGCAAAGCCAGCCCAGAGTCCCTCAAGGCATGGGAGCTCCTAGACATGGATATCCTCCCAACGTGGACCGATAAGAGATTGACTCTTCTTGGTGATGCTGCTCATCCCTTTCTCCCTCGTGAGTATATCCTCAGCACCAAGACTCATGTTGCGTACCTTTCGATCACGAAGTATTGACATTGTTCTTCAGACCAGGGGCAGGGTGCAGGTGTTGCCATAGAAGACGCTGCCTCCCTCGCAGTTGTTCTACCACTAAGTACCTCCCCGGAAGAGGTCCCTGAGCGGCTGCGTCTTTACCAAGACTTTCGCTACGATCGGGCAAATCGGATCCAAGAGTTCTCGCGCCAGGCAGGAGAGGACAAGCCGGATAAGGACTTTGACAGTCAGTAAACCTTGCAGACGCGCCCTTTTATGTCAAAACTAACAGTTGTTTCTACTAGTGATGGCGTATACCAACTTCAACCTGGGCCATGATGAATGGGACAATTCCACCAACCGTTTCAGGAAGTGGGACTGGGCTAGGAAGCCTCATCTCTACTGGAGAATGCCCGTCTCATTTGGGCCCTTCCCCGGTCCACGCCAGACCTTCACAGGCGAAGCTAGAAATGCTACCAACTCGACATTCACAACAGCCTCCATCAAGTTCAAGACCTCACGAACCCTTTTACAAAATCTCTTCCCTTCTACTTCTTTCCGATTCAAGAGTCCCGGAACAGTCGCATATGCTAGCTTCTCACAGACCACGCTCAATAAGATGGAGTGGCTGGGCGGTTCTGGTTACAGACATATTGGGCTGTACATCCACGGCGTCCAGTATGTACAGAAAGATGGCACCGTTCGTGACGGGACATTCTTGCCTATCTTATGGGAAAGCCTCACGGATCCGATTGTCAGTGGCCGCGAAGAGCTCGGAATGCCAAAGCTGTATTGCTCCATCGACGTTTGGAGGCGAACAAACAGCTACAGAATTCAGACAGGCTGGCAAGGCGTCAACTTTGGCTCGTTCACACTTGAGGGTCTTCGAGAGATAGACAGTGGCAGCTCAAAGGGGACGATCGGAGGCGAGGATGATGAGGGAATCTTTGCTTACAAGTATATTCCCAAGGTCGGGGATCGTGGTAAGGCAGATGTCGAGCATGCTACCTTTGTACCTCATGCAGACGAGTCCAAGGTCGTACCTAGTAAGGTACTGAAGGTCTTCACTACAGACAAGGCCAGCTTTGAGTTTGATCCTCATGATTGGGAAGCCCTTCCGACGCTCTACCACGTTGTCTCGAGGTTGGCAGAAGTCCCTGTTTATGAGATTTTGGGAGGAAAGGTTGTTGAGGGTCTTGGTGTCCCGGACGTGTCTAGTGCTCGCAGAATAGACTAGGAAAGAGACTGTCAGCTCGGAGTGGAGAGGTTTCATAGTTTTAGCCGCATTGAAAGAAAGGATCAATCTACATTATCTCACCATCGTTGGTTGGGACCTAAATTGAGTTTCTAGTCGCCAATGTGAACGTATACCAGAGCCCTTGAATCCAGCTTCTTGGCACATATCCTCTCTTCATATGCTATGAGTTCGAGCCTAGATGTGTTGGTTGCAGTTGGGATTTGTCGCTGAGAGTTTGAATCAGCACAAAGAACTTAAATACCGCCTTACATTACCCTCAAAGTATCCTCGTTATGTATACAGTCTTTCTGTGATATGAGAATTATCTTTGTTCAGTTGAGATCTTCTGACTACCTTAGTAGTAACTAATCGATGTGAAGTCCTCCATTCACATGTAAATGTACCCCGTTGACCCAGCTTGCCCGCTCATCACAAAGAAATCCCACCGCAAACGCAATCTCCTCCGGTGTACCCATCCGCTTCCCTGCAGGCGTTACATCGATTATAGGCTGCAAGACACGCATTGCTTCCTCGCCAGCAGCCAGAAAACCTTCGGTCTTGGTAGGACCGGGAGACACGGCGTTCACCGTGCATCCGTACTTGGGAGGAAGTTCCTTCGCCCAGCATTTAGTGAAGGAATCGACCATACCCTTGGTCCCAGCGTAGATGGTTTGCAAGGGAGGAGAACCTCTTGAGCTAGCGGAACAGATGTTGACAATTCGTCCGCTTCCTCGCGTTAGGTGCGGAAGGCTGCTCTGGGTCAGAAGAAAAGTGCTGCGCCCATTGACATTGACCAATAGATCCCAGTCATCCAATGTCTGCTCCTCAAGAGGCTTATTGACTGCTATCGCCACGTTGTTGACAACGATGTCTAGTCGGCCAAATTCTTTAATGGTTGCGTCAACCAGCGTCTTGGGGCCTTGGGTTGTACCCATGTCGGCACAGACGGCGATGGATTTGGTTGGCAGGGATGCTGCCTTATCGTTGGCATTGTCTGCTTGAGAAGGGAATGGGTAATTGATAGTGACAGATGCCCCACGAGAGGCAAGCTCATGGGCAATGGCGAAGCCTATGCCGCTGTCGCTGCCTGAGACAATGGCTACTTTGCCAGCAAGGGGTTCTTTTGTCGACATGGCTGAGAAGTTTTTCTTTTTCCGGCTTGTGGTATGAACTGAAGAGATGAATTCAAGAATTGTAGTTGGCAAGACTTGGGAATTTAGTCCGTCAATGGATATCGATGACTGAGGTGGCTCGCTCAGCGGCTTTGTCCCTGAAGATTGTGTTTGAGTCAGTACTTACAGGTGCCCCCGCTGCTTTTTTGAGGCACCTCCGATCGGCTGAGGGGGGCGCCAGTCAAGCTAAGGCAGATGCGGTACTCGCATTTTCTCTCGGAATGTGGTCACAGTATCCGCATCATCGGCAGGTCCCAGCCCCCACAGCCCGATCATACCTGGCGGGGTAGCTTCGGCTCTGCAAGTGTTTGGGCTAATTATCCACTAAGTTGATTAAGTTCTGATCGTATAAGGCGCGTAGAAAAGACGGCAACTCGTATAGTGAAGCACATTCATATTAGCAAGAATACCATCCCTGCCAGACTCAAACCTACCCGACCAACAACCATGACGCAAATTGATGCTCTTGCGCAGGCAAAATCTCAACTGCCTCCTTCGTTTCCCATCATCTGGCGAGGCGATGTCAGTTGGGAAAGGGCCAGAGTAGGCCGCGTCTTCAACCACCGCCGACCATCCAGCCAGCCTCTTGCCGTTGTCGAAGCCACCAGGGAAGATCATATCGTAGAGGCTGTCCGGCTTGCACGCACTCTAGGTGCCCGGGTCTCGGTGCGATCTGGCGGTCATAGCTGGGCAGCCTGGAGTGTGCGAGAGGGTGCCGTTCTTATCGACCTGGGCAAGTACCACGAGTTTCTACTAGATGATAGCACCGGAGTGCTGCAAGCATCGCCTAGCATGACTGGAAGGATGGTCAACAAGCTTCTGGGCTTACGTGGCCGCATGTTCCCCGGTGGCCATTGCCCAGAGGTTGCTCTTGGAGGGTTTCTTCTACAAGGAGGCATGGGCTGGAATTGCAAGGTAACGTGACTGAGTAGACATAATAGTATCCTGGCTGACGAAATATTTAAAGAACTGGGGATTCGCCTGCGAAAAGTTGGTGGCTCTCGACGTGGTGACGGCTGATGGAGAGAAGCGACACTGCGATAAAACAACTAACGCGGAATTGTATTGGGCGGCACGTGGATCAGGTCCAGGTAAGCCATTTGCTCACTTACAGAAAGCAAACATATTTCTCATGCTTTTCTCGTGATATAGGATTCCCGGCTGTCGTTACTAGATTCTACCTCCAAACAATCCCTTCCTTCAGTCACATCCGGTCATCGGTCTACATATACGAGAAGAAAGATTATGAAGCGGCCTTTTCCTGGGTCCTCAAGGTCTGTTCCAAGCCGTCCTCTTACTCGCTGATTACTCCGCTAATGCAATTCATAGCTTGCTCCTACTTTTGACGAGGGCACAGAGATTGTTGCAGTTGGAAGAAATTTCCCAGGACGGGAAGGAGAGCATATTTTGATCTCCTTCGTCACATTCAAAAACAGTGATGAAGAAGCCCGGTCTGCGCTGCAGCCCGCTCAAGACTCTGCACCACCAGGTCACATAATTTCGTGGTTCTGCGAGCCAACCTCCATGGCAGAGCAGTACGATGATCAGCATTGTGCCAACCCTGAAGGTCATCGATACGCAGTTGACAACTCTTATATCAGAAACGACGCCGACATTGTTTCTGTCCTAAAAGAGTCCTTCACATCACTCCCCACAGAAAAGTCGTTTACCCTTTGGTACTCCATGGCTCCCGGCTCTCGACGTACTGTCGAGGATGGCACCATTGAGGATATGGCGCTCTCGATGCAGACAGATCACTACTTTGCTGCCTATGTAGTCTGGGAAGATCAGGCAGAAGACCCCAAATGTCAATCTTGGCTTACGCATATCTTTGATAAGATCAACCGGGACTCGGAAGGATCGTATCTTGGAGATGCTGATTTTCAAAAGCGCTCGACTGCTTTCTGGGGACGGGACCAAGGCAAGAGACTCATGGACATCAGGAAAAAATGGGACCCGCAAGGTGTAGTGGCTGGATATCTCAATAAGGGAGACCGAAATGGTGTCGAGGGCTTGGAAAATGTACATAAATTATGATGCTGGTAATGCTCGCGATGCAAGCATCAGCCTACAGTAGATGTCAAGATTATCTTATCAGTTCTTGCCCTGTATGGGCCTGAAAACTCTTTCCTATAAGACAAATAGTCCCTGTACTCCTTACTGGAATGTAATTTCTTTTCCGACCAGCCTTTGTAGCCTTGATAGTTCTTATTGCTGTATTTAAGGCCCCTTAGGCTGTACACAAGGGACTTTGGTCTCTTGCGTGGCACAGTTCTGGGTGCTTGGCAAGGTCAAGTTCACTTGTCGTTGTTGCGCTGGTTAGAATATCTCTTCAACATAAACCAGGGCGTTGAGGAGGGGGTCTATATACTTGTCTATCTCTGAGGACACCTACGATACGACCAAAGGGGGTTAAGTAATCTGTATAAGTTATAAGCAAGGTATTGCGTCTTTCGGTGTAGTTCGTCCTCAGCTCAGTATTTCACGTAACATCACCCTCAGAGCCCACGTCTCATCTACTAGTTTCTACATAGGAGCTTATAGACAGACATAACTGCTTAGAACTTTATTGAAACTCTTAATGATATAGAATAAGTCGATATGCCAGCATATCATACAGATCTATAAGCTATTCGACAAACATCCCCTCAACACAAACTCAAGCTAATATCATGCTTGGTCATTATATAAGACACACCCCGTGGACCGAAGGCTCGAGGGTCAGGGTCACTCCAAAGCAGTTCAACTATCTTTGCCCCCATCTTTACTGCACCAGGTGTGCGCGAAGCTCTAGCAAAGAATCCAGCACGGAACACGTGGATATGCTCCGGACGTCTCGCGACTGAGGCCATAATAGTGCCCGGCCAGAGGAGCATTCGGCGATATGGTGACTCGCTAACAAATAATGAATAAAAGGCTGACATGGTCTGCTCGATTCGATTATCGATCTGGGCGGCAAGATTTGGATCCGCAAGCAAGTCTGGGTGAAATGCTGACTGCAGATAGACGATAAGGCCGTGCTGATATATCATTGTAGCTGTAGCTTGTTCTTCGCGCGAACAAAGACCATTCATGTCTTCTCCGAATGGGTTGTAGCCTTCTAGGCGGGTCAGAAGTGAACCATACTGTTCCTGAAACGCGGTAGTGGCTATAATGCCTCTCGTCTCTTCTCCCCGGCGAGCTTCGACAAGCTGAGAGATCTCCGGAACCATCTCCCACAGACCCTGCCCAAAGCCGAGTAGAAACCCTCTGGATTTGTATCCTCTCAGTATATCCAATGAATAGACTGAGGGATCAATTTCCACGACCTCGTCAGATAGAAAGCTGCGGGGCGTAATGGTAATTTTGATTGCATGGTAAGCATAGAGCTCTAGCATGAATCCTTTCAAGTGTTTCAATTCATTGGACGGCGTGGGCTCGGATGTGAGGAGATTCATGTACTGTCGACAAGCTTTGAGATGATGATACATGGAGCCGCGGGAATGACCTTGAACATGCTTGTAGCTGTCAGCAACGAGTCCTATGACGTTTTCACGTGAAAGATCCTTACATCGTAGACGCAGAGGAGTAATAGGATCAGCAGGATACGGATTGGTGTAGGTGGCCCCGTATGTTCATCTGGGAGGACGATCTGACCCGTTTCGTAAGACAAGAGTTTCTGTAGTCCAGCAAGTACAGTTGCATAATGACCACGAGTCGCCACCTCCAAAGCTCGAGCTCTCTGGATAGTAGACGTCGTATCATTGACAGTCAAATGGGCTCCTCCAATAGCAAGGATACAATCAAGAACCAGATTATCAGTTGCAGCCAACGGGAGAAGATAATGAATAAAAGGGTTTCCGTCCGCGCATGGCCCTCGAGTCAGCATCTCCGCTGTAACATCCAGGTACTGCTGATAAAGCGGACGCGAGTTGTCGTTTAGATAAGCTAGATTGCCGTAGGTCGGAGCGGCCCGAGGAGAAGATGAACGGGACTTGGACTGCAGGGCTGCTGAGTCTGGGGAAGGGCCGGAAACTCCGAGTGGCTCATTAGGACTGCCGTCTTCCTGCATAGGTCTTTGAGAAGTGTTCTCTTGAGCGGGCCAAACACATTCTTGTCCGGTTCGGGTACACGATGAGCAGACTGGCTTGACTTCATCGCACTTCTTGCGTTTAGTGCGACAGGTAAGACATCCATTCTTTGACCGCGGGTGGTTGCGGCGCCATTTCGTCGGGAAAGGGGCGCCGCGGTACGGGGGAGCAGAATCTTCTTGGTTTGCCATTGAGAAATGAAGTGACAAGAATTGTTGATACTGGAATGTTTGTCGCAGTGAGTGGGCTATAAGCACACGGGACTTGGAAGAGGCAACCTGTCGATCTTGGCTAAAGGTCGTCATCAGGATAGGGCTGAGAAGAATAAGCCACAACCAACTGCCGCTGTCACGACGATAAACTTCGAATGGACAGGGATTTTATCGAATCGCTAACCAAATTGAATCACTTACCAAAACGGAAACGTCGATTCTGCCTTGCAGGGATTGCGATCCTTCCTTTGCACTAGGGCTGTTTTGAGAAGGACACTGTGAGATGGACAAGCGGGAGTAATAAATTAGCATGATGCAAATGCATCGAGTAATTGGAATTGACTCCTTTATTGGCTATAAATGGCATTTTAATACCAAATAGATAGAAGCACTATGATGGCTATATTCCTTCGTTTAAAAGAATGAATCATCAAGACTACGGACTGGTCCCTGTACAGAGTAGGGTAACATCGATTAAGTCATGGCCAGGAACTTTAGCAGCCCCGCTTCCTTTGAATCCTCTGACTAAAGACCGCCTCACAGTGCTCAATGTTACCTATAGGGTACTTCGTATATATCAATGTTTTGGGACAAAGGCCCCGAACAGAGACTATTACCAAACCAGCAAAAGCCTCGAATATATACAGTAGTGTAATAAATAACCATTGGATATGCAACTGCCGTATATGTCTCTCTACTTCTAGAGATTCTACAGCTACTTAGTGATTGAAGCTACTGTCTCATCAGGAAAGCTAAGTATAATCGCTATTGGCCGCGACCGTCCAAATCTCTAATACATGTCGGTCAAACCAAGCAAAGGGTCGTCATTTATGTCCTATGTTCACTATTATATCCAGAAGTCTATGATTATATGCGAAACGACTTTTTAATCGCCGAGCTAAGGCGCCGAACTGCCGTACACATTTCCTCCTCAGCCGCGCTCGCAAACGTGACGCGTAGAAACAACTCATCCAGTTCCTTATGAGCCTCGGCTCTGAACCAAGAGCCACGAGCAAAAAGAACTCCCTGCTCAATGCTGTGCTGGAAGATTTCCTCCTCGATCTCGCTGAGGTTTCGATGCCGATAGTCTGGATGTTTAGTATGATCGAGTCTCAACCATAGCTATTGCACAAGTCAGAACACTTCTCCCACACAAAAGAGAGTTGGGGACTTACAAACATGCCTGCAGCTGGAGGGGCCCACGATGCTATACCAGTAGGAAGATAGTCTTCACAAGCTGCGAGTAAGGCATTGCGTCTTCTGGTGTAGTTCGTCCTCAGATTGATGAGCCATTTGATATAACCCTCATGGCCCCACGTCTCATCAACCAGTTTCCAGACGATAAGCTGCGATATACCGCTGGGTCCTTGATTTGCCACTTCAGCGTGACAGAGGTATTTCTGAATGACCTCATTGCTAGCCGTTATCCATCCCATTCTCGAACCGGGGACTAAGACCTTGGAGAACGAGTCCATTCGAAGAACCCTGCCATCGGTATCCATACTGAGGTACGAGGGGACAAGACTAGTCAGGAAGTCATCAACAGTCTCGCTCTCTCCGACTTCAGTCGCCCGTCCGGTGTAGGGCTTCATTTGGATGAAATAGTAGGGCTCATCTTCAATGATGAAAATGTTGTGCTTCTGGCAGATACTGTAGATCTCCCGTCGTCGCTCGAGGCTCTGTGTTGCACCAGTGGGATTCTGCCCTGATGGTACAGTGTAAAGAAGATGCGGCTTTCGAGCGCCTCGCGCCTCTTCATCCCAAGTCGCCAGAACATGATCCATGTGACTAGGGAGTAGCCCTTCCTCGTCCATATTGACTCCAAAGGTTTTTATACCCTGTGGAACAAAGGTCTCCATCGCCGTTGCGAAGGTGTACTGCTCTGTGAGGATAGAATCATTCCTGGACCGGTCGCAGAGCATACGAACCGTCTGCTCCAGAGCTCCAGTACTTCCGACGGTCAGGCAAACGGCCCAATCTGCATAAGGGGGGTTGTATACAAGATCAACGTGTTCTGTTATCCAGCGCATCATCTGCGGGGACCCTGTTGCCTGACCGTAGTTGAACGCAATAGATATATCGTAGTCTGAGGTACCGTTCCCAGTGTCGTATTTGCCAATGCGAGCTATCTGGGCGGTGCTAGCCGGTGAGCTCAGTATATGCTGCTTCTCAGAGAGGTTGGGTGGCGTGGGTATGCGCATGGCGATCTCAGAGATGGGGAAGTATTCGCTGGAAGGTAAACCGCCCCCAAGGGAGATGAGACCGGGTGTGTTGATGTATCTGGCGGATTGTTTGAGAACGCAAGGCGGGCGGTCACTCTCGCTACTGAAGTGTGCTTAAAGCCGTCAATTTTGGGTCTAAAAGCAAGGATTGAGATAGCATACTATTCCAGCTTCGAGCTAAAGGCTTTCCAGTGGTCTATATCCTGATGAATTCTATCGCAGTCACGGCAAACGGTCGATACTTACAGGCAATTTGAACATGTCACTATGAGACATGGCTGCAGTCCCGGGCCGTATCTTGGTAGCTGTAGCTCGCCTTTCACGCATGAGTTCAATTTTAACATGACTCCCTCTAGGGGAGCCAAACGTCGCTGCTGTTGAGTGGCCCATGTCGCATAGCTCTTTAGTTTGAACGATACAGACTTCATCTTGAACTGAGTTTAAGTAGCCATCTTCAAAAGCCTTGATGGACTCGAGCTACTGGCTTATCTGCGGTCTCGGTGCCTGTCACAGACGTGTGGATTGTCGGCTCGAGCGCTTTGCGCCCTATGCACAGGTAGATAATAGTGACTCCATTCAGACGCGCCCTACGGCGCTGCGTTGTGGAGCAATAATGCGCCTGACTAGTTTAGCTTGCATGACGCCGCAAGATATGCCTCCCTCGGGGAGCAAGAAAACACCGGACCTAGATATAGGGTGCCAAAATAAACTTAGCAAAGAACCCCCTAAGCTTAGGCTAGATTTACCTAAACATTTTTATTGCTTAGGGTCAAGGGCCTGTGTTTTCTTTCCTCCCCTGGATATGGTAGTTTTGTGCTATCGCGGTGGAGCTCAGTCTAGAACCCTATGGGTCACTCGAGTTGACTCGGTAGGCACCATTGAGCAGAGGCTTGGAATAGATTCAGGGGATCGAAATCAAATTGTGTACTGAGTGATAGGCGCTGATTTCGATAGTGACTCGAATATTTCCAAAACATAACGCTCTAGTCTTTAGATAAATGCTGTCTTCGAAAAGTGGCGATCCACTGCTCGTTGTCAGCTATAGTCTGCTCCCAATTATCATCACTCCCATACACCAGCCTTCTCGCCTCGCCCTGAAACATCTCATCCGTCGGAAAGACACCGCTTGCAAACGACTGTTGAGCGAAGCGACCCAGATGCCACGCCAGAAACTTGGTATACGAGTCAGGCGTCAACTCAAATCCAGGATCGATCTGCTGCTGCTCCGGATCCGGGACAGGTTTGCCATTTCTCTCCTCTATCTGCGCGAAATGATCCGGCACCGTCGGATCCGTGGCGGAGAAGGGCACCATGGTTAAGGCCTCGTTGGCGAGCAGGTATGGCGGAAGGGCGTTCCGGACCTGCGCTGCGATCGAGGGCTCAAAGTCGTGATCGCCCTTCCAGTCTGCCATTGTTTTGCCCCGACGAAAGTGGTGTGCGAGGTGATCTGCGCGGTCCTGCCACGAGTCTAAGCGTAGGTCGCAGAATCCGCAGCGCGAGGAAATCGGAGGTGGCGGTGTTCTCCAGTCGTCCAGGATAGGCAGCGTCTCTAGTTGGTGAAATCCGCGGAGGTGTTGAATGAGATTATCCTTGCGCCTGAAGATGTGAGGCTGCTGACTATTGTGGCATGCGCTGTGGTGATGAGAGTTCAGGTGATGCTCAGTAGGATCAAGAATGTTGCAGTATGCACATGTACTCCTCCCAGTCGCCGACGATACCACTGCACCACCAAACGGTGCACAGATCCACTGGTCGCAGTCAAGATGCAGCGTCTTCTCATGTCGTGTCCAGTCATGCTTCTTAGCAAACGAGTCGCAACAAAACGTGCAATGGAAGATCCGGGGTTTCTTATTAGCACCAGCGACGTCGTTCCTCTTCTTTGTTACGCGTCTGCGGTTTCGATTCTGAAACGATCGAGAAGACTGCGTGGAAGAAACGATGGAGCTTGAAGACTGGCTTTGCCAACTGGCCACGCTTGGACTCGATGATGGCATTCTGGTCAGAGGAGCCTGCATGTTATCGTTCAATGGGGTTTCTTGCAGCGCGTCGTAAATGGCTGACCATGATGCGGATTCCGTTCCAGGAGGACTGTTTCGCCATCTTTGCAAAGGATCAGAGACTTGTGCATTCGCATCATATACAGGGATTCGAATGCTTCGTCCGCCGTTCAGGCTATTCCTGAGCTCGTAGCGGCTTCGTCGACGCGGGAGAGTTGAGTTGATACTGATGGGAAGTGTGGGTAGAACCGTTGATGTATCCATCGGGTAAAGTTCCTGATTGGCCAGCCAAGAGGTACTCAGAGTCTGCTGTAGATCCTGAGAATCAAATCCATCGCTATGATTTTGCATCTGTTGATGGCTTAATGACCCCAGACTAGATGTACCCATGTGATCCAACTCGAAGCTGTTGGTAGCCAGGTCAAAGCAATCAAAGGCTGGGTCTACAGACGGTGTCTGATCAACGCACAATCCAGACCCGTCATTCAGAACAGGGAGTAAGTCGCCAAAGACATTCGCATGCGTCTGAAGGGGGAGCTTGGGTCCTTGATGCCAATACAATTCATCTTTCTGAGTCAGGTCCATTTCGGAGCCAAGTTGAAGAGACGTCCAATCTCCAAGGTCGGGGTTGCAGAATTAGGGCAGTTGTGAGCGGCTTTGGCGATGTGCTCAATGGGATGTCATGTTTTCTCTAGAGCGATATGTGTAAATATAGAGGAGGGAGGTAAGGAAGCGGGACTAAGAAATCACTGGGAGCAAGGAACGAGTGCGGCGGGGTTTGTTTAATCCGTGTGTGGAGATCGATTGTCCACGCTAGTTTGACGCTGCACTGAGTAACTTAGTCAGTGATTCAGTGTGGACTCGGCTTCTGCAGCTCAAACTAGATGATTAGCCGAGTGACCTGAAATCTTTCCTTCTGTCTTGATCTCTGGCTTTAATAACTACCACCTTTCTCAGTACCCTCTATTCCTTTAGCAATATTGACCTCCTGCGTCATGATAAACTGCAACGACGTAAAATCGGTTGCCACGTGGATCATGTCGAACCCAGCCTCGGCATATTGCCTTGCTTGCTTGCCAGATGTACTGTAGATTCCACACTTCTTGCCAAACTTGTGGCTTACCTCGAGCACGCGCCCAATCGCCTCTCTCAGTTCCGGTTTGACGACGCCTTGAATGATAGGATGGCCGATGTTGTTGCCTATAGGTCAAGAGTTAGTGCTAAGCTCGGGAGTATTTACAGTGCTATACAACGTACCCAGGTCGAATGGCCCTACAAATAGTACATCGATACCGTCGACCCCGGCGATTTCGTCCAAGTTATCAAGGGCCTCTTGGGTTTCAATCTGGACTATAGTAAGAAGACTGCTGTTTGCCTGTTGGAGATATTCGGTCATCGTCGGCATGGGACTGAAGCGCTCCATTGCGTAAGGAGAGCCAAATCCACGCGTGCCTTGTGGTGGGAACTTGGCCGCTTTGACGATCTCTCTGGCCTCCTGCGCAGTCCGAAGCAAAGGTACGAGAATCTCGGATAACTAGTTAGTCACTGGTCAATACAGGTGCCACTGACACTCACTCCATGCGCGCCTGAGTCCAAAGCTCCTATTTCTTGTAAGCATAATGGTCTTACAGTTAATCAGGGTGTACTCGTCTTACGCTTAATCATCCATGATTCCATACCAGGTATTCTCACTATAGGAGACGCACCAGCTGCAGCAACAGCAGGGACTGCCTCGTGCATAGCACTGTCTAATTCCACAGCCTCAGTTTTGGGGAGTAATTACCAGACATGGAATAGTGCTCACCATCGATATTCCCATGCTCGCAATCGACTACCACCCAGTCGACGCCCGGCACGCGAGCGAGGGCACGCGACACGTTGGCGCCAGGCACCATCTGCCAGAGTCCCATGCTTGGGCCTGGAGATTCTTGTAGTGCCTTTCTCAAGAAATTGCCTCGTTCCATGATCGGGTTTGAGTAGAGGGGAGCAATACAAGAGTAGAATACTCCGTATGGTGAGGGGTTGGCTGGTTTTACCGATCAGAGATGGCGGGGTATGATTAGGCTATAGCCTCGGTACCCCGACAAGAACTATCAGGTCCTAGTGTCCAACCTTATATCCTGTAATTAGCCAGAGAGTACCTCGCACTTTGAATGATTATTTATCGTTAGATCCTATACCCTTGTAAACGCTTCATTGTTATTGGATCCGAGAGAGATCCTGGCAGGCGTAGTAGGGCGTATTATTTAGTAAGGCGCAAGGCGTAAGGCGCAGGCGCTAGGTAATATTGGCATAGCGTGGAGGAGGGGTTTTTCTGCCATGAAGAACAAGCCTCAGTGAGACCTAACTGTGCTAACTTAGTTGAGGGTAATGTACTACTGGGCGAGAAACAGAAATTTACTCATTATTTATGATGATAGCAATACTAGCTTGATTAATCGACGGAATTCTACATTTAAAATGAAACAGTTGGCTAAGCCTAAAATAATATCCAATCGAATCGCATGGGCTACTTGTTCTTGGTCTTGTAGGTAGAATAGATGAGTGCTAATGTATAATCCATCTCACGTCATGCTCATCCTAGAAAAGGGAAGATTTGACGACATATCGAAACCGAATTATCGACGCAAATACCACGCCGAGCTTTCATGATGGTGGCTGCGATATCCTTGGCCTTTGCAATGTCTACAGTAATACGATCGATGAGGCCCTTGCCTAGAGACTCTGGTCCGGCGATGATGCCGTCTACGTTGGTTGTGTAGACGGTCCTGACTTTATTGGGCCCGGGGACCCTGGAGACAGCTATGGCAGCTGCAGAGGCAACCTACGCAACCAAGGAGGGACAATGTATTTACAGATGATGCTAACCGGCAGGTGAACTGCTTGAGATCATTGAAGCTACTGCGTAGTTCAAGTTTCCCCTTAGGGTTGAGGCTTGTAAATAGGTATGCAATAGCTATAATAAGCCGCAATGGCATATTGAAGTAGAATTATGCTGGCAATGCTGAGATTGTGGGCTGGCTTCTCTTGTCTTTCCACCAGATATTGTCCAGCGGAAATCTTTTAGTAAGAAAAATAGCCCCTGGTTCGCGAAATCAGCGGCTGATTGAGACATTCGGAGAGCACTGACCCGACGTGTGTCTAGAGTGTTTATGGATGAGATGACACCCAGCGCTTCCTCCCCAGTAATGCCCCGATGCTCCGCCATGATCTCCTTTAAGGTGCTCTGTACCTCGCGAGCCATTGTCGCTGCAACACCACAGACATATACATGTGCGCCTGCGGGGAACTTCAGCAGTGAGGTCTCTACTCCCGTCATACATGTAGACACTCCAGGGTCAGTTTCTTGACAATGCTGTGACAAGCTTGAATTTTCCTTGATTTTCTCTCTCCCATTTCTGTGGAGTCATCCACGAATATCCACATAATTCTGGTGCATCTAATATCCCCAGCTTGATCGTGTTCGAAGATACCCTGGCCAGCAATGATAGCAGTCATTGTATACTTTTGGGCTGAGTGGTATGGGCCTTGTAGAGCGATAAGCCCAATTACCGAGAAGTCAGATGTAAAAGAAAGTCCCTCAAGGCAGCCACTCTTACACATCACACAAACTTGCTGTTCATGTAACGTCCCGGCCTGGTTGACTCACAGGTATTGGTTCATAGGTACGAGCTTTACGTCAGCCGCGGAGCTCGGCAGTTGCAACTCATTAGTGACGGGCCGTCGCTAGTTAAAAGACGATTGGCCATGGCTGCACAGGCTGGTACTAGCGGGCTTGTTAGTTGCTATATATGACGTTTATTGTCTCGGAAAAAAGGCCAGAATGTAGTCCCCGATGACACACAGCCTACATGTGGATCCCGCTGACATTGTCTTGACTGTGTGTTGATCCCGCTGAGAGATCGACAGTCCGCGTGGTAAGGCGGCTTGACTATTTGTGGACCCCCAGCTGACAGATCGACCGCCTGTGTAGCATGCTCAAGGACAGGAGTGTTAATCCCAATAACATACCGTATTATAGCCTTAGGAGGTAGGGACAAGTGATTGAGCATCACTTTAATATAAGCTTTTCTCAAGCACTTCTAGACTAAAGAGTTTACATCAGTATATATTATAACAGTTAAGACTCATAGCTGAGAGCTTCTAACACTAAAATGAATATACTATATCTTATCGCTATAAATTCATGCTGTTAGGCATAATACCTCCTATCCTTGGTAGGCTACCTGGAACTCCACTAAGACTCTACAGAGTAACAGCCCCAATCAAAGCCATGACTGGCGGAGAGCAATTCGGTTACCATCCCCGATGACAGCTGAAGTAAGAGGTCAAGGCAAAAGTCTCGTCACGACCCTGTTCAAACTAGGGTGTGCCTACCATTTTGGAAGGTGATCCGGGTGATTTCATTACGTTGAATGTTACAATTCATACACTTTTCTCATCAAAGGATGTACTTTGTGTAGGTACATGTTGATTTATCATCAGTCGATCAGTACAGGGTCAAACGGTCGAGAAGGCATCTTTCGGCCGCTTTAGTTTCTCAACGATGTATATTGTACGTTCTCACTCTTACTAGAGTAGAATAACTTTAGGACTTGGAACATAAAAGGCAGCACTTTCCCGCCATTCCACAACCGCTTTTTCATCACAACTCATCACACTTTGTACCCAGATTCCTTTTACACTATCAAGAATCTACCCAAATCCCATTCAATTTCTTAGAACTTCATCATGATGTTCAAAAGCGCCCTTCTTGCCCTTGCCGCCACTGTTGGCTTGTCAGATGCTCTAGGGATCAACTGCCGAGGCAGTGGCCTTTGCAGTGGCAACAAAGGCGCTCTCGGCCAGCTCATTGCCCAGGTCAGGGCCATCGACCCCAACAAGACCTTCAGAAATGGCGAGCATGTTAGCTGCGTTGACATCAACAACATTGGCAACCACCCAGCTATTTGTGCGTTCTATCAAAACATTGGAGACCGCAGCTTTTCGCTTGCCCAGACTCAGACGTTTCTTCAGCAGATCGTCGACCACGGCTGCAAGCTTTGCGGTAGCGTCCCAACTGACCCGGGCAACAATGTTGCCAATGGTCAGCTGACTGTCAACGTCGTCATCAACCCTACCAGCCGCGATGCACCCCAAAGCCCGGCTGTCTACGAGAAGCGCAGCGACAAGACAGACCCTGCCAAACGTGATGCGCCTGAAAGCCCTGCCGCCTATGAGAAGCGCGGCGACAATCTCCTTGTCAGACGCCTTGGTATTAACTGCCGTGGTAGCTCCACTTGTGGAGTTGGCGGCATCGGACATACACCTAACGGAGACCTGAAGGATGTTCGTGATGCTGTTGCTTCTGGCGAAGAGGGCAACTTTGGTAACGGTGAACATGTTGCTTGTATCCCCTTTGCCTTTGGAAACCTCTGTGCTTTCTACCAGAACATTGGGAGCAGAACTTTTACCAAGGAGCAGTCTGTTACATTTCTCGACCAGCTTAGGCAGCATGGATGCTCCAAGTGCGGTAGCATTCCTGTTGATCCTGGCAATGACGTCAAGAACGGACAACTCACTGTTAACTATGTCGCATAAGTGGCCATCTACCCTTTAAGCCTTGCGATAGCTAGGCCTTTTCCGGTTTGTTTGGCTTTAGACATTCCGCGGTGCTAAGAACAGTCAATATGGAGATATTTGAATGAAGGGGAAGGTGGGATTAGTAGATGGGCGGAGAAAATCTTATAGTAAAGCAGCCTACAGGATGATAGTTTTACTATCTCAAGACCAATTAACCTGTTTACTATATCATTACCTATTGCTTTTACTGCCACTACTGAAGTTTACGTGTTACTGAAAGCTTAAGGTCTATCGACGCGAGCAATTTGTTCCATAAGGGCATTTAAGTCATGCTGTCAGCTTGATTCTGTTAGTGAGTTATCTATAATAAAGGAGAAGCTAAGATCGAACTGTACTAGTTAGTTGAAGGGGTTGTAGTCTTGGTACAGTGTTCGCGAGTGAACTTGATGGTAAGCGGGGTAGGTTGAAAGAAACAAAAAGCCAATCGCTTGCCATGAGAGCAACGGTTCATTAATTGGTTGGCGGGACGCTTCACGTGAAATGAGGCAGTTGACTAAGCCGAGGGAGTATCCAATCGAATCGCTGTGTAAGACGGTCAACGCCGTGCAGCAACTCCGAGCTAAACACTTCACAGCCTGATTTACATATGATGACGTGTCGGTTTTCATACGCAACCTGCGGGTCTCGAAATTGCGAGTTTGCGAACATCTCAGAATGGATTCAAAGTTGCGCAGACTTTTTCATGAGGTGCAGAGACAACTGCAAATCCCACTAGAGGTGCTAAAGCAAGACTTTAAGTCTGCCAATTCTGGCATATTCATGTGTCAGCAAATGCATCAGAACTATCGTACCGAGCTTGAACAGCTACACGAATGTCTATCTGGTATGTGCTCCTTGATCCTCCTGCGGTGTCCCCGTTCATTTACATTTCCAAGAAGTCATTTCCGGGAAATCGACGATATCGTCCTGCTCGCTATATACTGTACGATCATGTCTCTGGGGAATACCGGCCTTATGTGGCGTCCCATCAGTGATCCTGGACCCTGTTTCTATCAAGCAACAATGCTTAGAATTTCAGGATGTCTGCGGATTGATGGGAGAAGATATTTATACGGAAGATATATGGGAGAACACGCAACTCCACGAATGGGCGAGGTCGGATCAGTCATCGTTGTTGATGATTCAAGGCGGCTACGAATCTGTCAATCGCCTTGAAAGGTTTGCTGCCGAGGTTTGGGAACACCTCGACAGCAAGAAACCAACAGTCGCCATGTTACAGTGCCTGTCTTCAACAGATTTCTTTAGTGGATTTGATGAACGAGAACTACTGCGACAGATCGCACTCCAAGCTTTGCGAAAGGCTTCACCTGGTCATCCGATATGTTTCCTGGCTGATATGGTACACCTATTTGCAGAAGCTTCGACATGCGAAGACTGGTTCAGAATACTTGAGAGAATATTTGAAATGTTCCCGAGTTTGATTGTCATTCTGACGGTTACTGTTCTAGGGGAACGAGCTGAGAGCACGATAATATGGGGTATCGAATTCGAAAAAATGATGGCAAGGATACAAAAGAGGTCTTTGACGTGTTTGAAAGTATTACTCATTGCAACCCATCAATTATGGGTTGCACCACCAGAAACACCATCGCTGTTTTGGGTTGGTCCAGCACCTGAAACTGATTCAGATGATGGAATGGGTGGCACTTACACGCCATCGGAGCACCAACTTCCACTTAGCTTTCCAATTCAGAACAGAAGTGGACATAAAATATTTCAGATGTCGGAAGCATCACAGGGCGACACAGTATCGGAACAACCAGGACAGCATAATCCTATACACAAAGAACTGAAAGCAGGAAGGCCGGAGTTGCTTCAGCAGAGTTCTTCCTCATCCCATCCTACGCAAATTGATATAGCAGTTCTCTGCGCATTAACACTTGAAGCCGATGCTGTTGAGACGCTCTTTGATGGGCAGTGGACAGCCGGCTACAGTCGCTCCGAGGGAGATACAAACACATATACACTGGGGATTATAGGCCGCCATGGCGTCGTATTAGTCCATATGCCTGGCATGGGGACAATCTACTCCGCGACTGTAGCGACTTGCTGCAGATCTACCTTCCCTAGAGTTTCACTAACACTAGTGGTAGGAATTTGCGGAGGTGTCCCATTCTCCGAGGATGGGACAGAGCTATTGCTCGGCGACGTCGTCATTAGCGATGGACTAGTTCGGTATGACTTTGCGAGACAATATCCAGATGGCTGCTTGATTAAAAATAGCGTGTCAGAGAGCGCTAGAAAGTTACCGGTGGAGATTCTGGGGTACCTGGCCAAGCTGAAAGGTCTAAATGCTCGCAGCAGACTTCGAGAACGAGCGATTGAATATCTGGCAACCTTGAGTAAGGCACTTGAGGTTATGAAACCTGGGGTTAAGGAAGATATCCTGTTTGAGCCGACATATAGCCACAGGCATCATCCCCCATCCTCCTGCAACATATGTAGTGGCGATTCAGGCGACTCAACTGGGATGATTTGTGCACAAGCCCGTGAGGCAAGCTGCAAAAGTCTGAAGTGCGATATTGGAAGGTCTGTGGTCCGAAAGCGTCAAATAGAAGCAGCTGGCGATCAAGATAAGCTGCACCCGGCTGTGCACTTTGGGAAATTCGGCTCTGGAGACAAGGTCATGAAGTCAGGAGAAAGCCGCGACCGTATTGCGCGTAGTGAAGGGATCATTGCCTTCGAGATGGAGGGGGCGGGAGCATGGGATACTTTGCCCTGCGTGATTGTCAAAGGTATTTGTGATTATTCTGATAGTCACAAAGATAAGAGGTGGCAAGTGTATGCCGCTTCAACCGCCGCGGCCTACGCAAAGGCCTTCCTTGAGGGTTGGCGGCAATAGCCTATCCGAAGTAATATTATACGTGGTTTCCTAGGCTTGGCTGAATACTATCTAACCCGATTCATGTTCTCAAAAGGAAACGCGGTGGGTTCTTCATAATCACGTTTAGCTTAATCGCTCTATTATCGGAGAGCATTCTTGTTTATTCGTCCTTCTCGCTACCCTCATTGCTGTCGCTGCTATTGTCAGAAGCGCTCCTGTTATGAAGCCGTTGAAACTAATTTTGTTCTTACTTCACTTGTGACTGGGTCTCTGCTGCGATTGCCCAAGCCTCCGCACTCTCTGTTCAGTTCTTAGAGTCTCAGATGCGAACATTGATCTCTCATTGGCAGAATGCAGGATGTTCTCCTGAATGGTGAGAAAAAAATCCAAAGAGTGACCTGCTTCGCCAGGTTCTAAATGAGGAAATGAGTCTGGTTACGTCGACGCAGTAATAGGAGTGCCTTGGGCCTGAACTTGATCAAGCTTTATGATTCTGTGGATCTATGGCAGTATAGCTACAGTTATGGTTAGTATCAAGACACAATGACTTAGAATAATGGACACTCACTTCGACAATCCACCATGGGCTGCATGCGCTTGCATGCCATGGTTGGCATTGTTTTGTCCCGGCTTGCCGGGTTGTTGCTGTTGCATAGCACTAGCGCGTTGCTGAAGGGTGACGTGGAACTGCCTTTGTTGAAGGGCTGTCAGTTGCATCTGTAGTTGCTGAGGAATGTTGTTTTGCTGAAGCTAAATCTTGAGCTGTGCCCATTTTTTGACATCTGGGGGAATCTGAGTCTGGAGCTGGGTGAGGGCTTGAAGAGGTAAATCCATAGACTCCATCATAACTAGCTGCTGGCTCGGGGTCGGGGCTACATAGGGGTCCAAACCATCAATAGACTCGCGGCTCTTGGCAGAAGTATTCTGCTCAGATGAACGAATATTTTGAGCTCCACATTTGCTGCTCCATCGCGGCCGCCCACGAACCCTGTGCTTGGAACTGTTGTGGGCGTTGCTGGTGCTGATGATCAGGATCGGCAATTGGACTGTTCATATTTGCAAGTGACAAGCTGGCCCAAGCTCTAACATGTTTCTTCCCAAAGTCGGCCAATATCTTGTATTTTTGATCCTCTACCCCTTCAGTGTGATCTCGCGATATTGTGTAATGACAGCTTCTCAGATTGGAGTCTAGTAGACTCGGAGTGTTTTTTTGCACAGTCTGGGCAGCGTGGGTAGTCTTGCTCTGCTTGGAGTCGTTATTGGAGTTGTTATTGGAGTCGTCATCGAGAGGCTCATCGTGGCAAAAATGTGCGATATCTCGCTTGATACATCTGGTGCACGGTCTCTGAAGATCGCAAGACACGGGAGATCGTCGACAATATGTGCAAGCGTGGCTCTGGCTGTTGCCATGCGCGCGGCGACGATATGCATCGCTTGAACCAAGGGTCCGCGATCGCTGGCTTGGTAGGTCTGCCAGCATGCTCCTCCTCTCCTTCGCTTTCAACCTACCGCGAAGCTCCATGCTCAAGAGCTATGGAGTCGTTTTGGAAATGTGAAGCTGTTTTTTTAGTTCACGAGACTAAACAAGTGGGGGAAAGGCCATTTATCAGTCGTGGCATGGTGTCCTGTTTCCAAACGAGGCTAGCGCTTACACGTCCCTTGCTATTGGTTATCATTGCTGAACATATGACGCAAATATGCATATTAGGTAGACAGTGAGGCTGAAAGCACAGCAACAGTCTCACTCTTTCTACCGATGTCAGTCTTCTACCATTAATCACAGTTCATCAACTATTTTTCTCGAATCTTCTACCAATTCGTTCCTCGCTGGCCGAAGTGTTGCATCTCATTTGCATCCAGTCATGGACACCTTCCCAGGCACAGCCTCCAGACCCCAGGACGATTTTTCACAACCGCCTTTGACAAATGGCGAAGACACAGAAGATGGCTCTGGTGAGTGCATCACTCGATCGTTTGATACAGATCTCAAGCCAAACCTTAAAACCATCTAGATATCGACCAGCGGGTATCCAAAACCCACCACCGAGCACCTATGATGATCGACTGGCGTCGTAAAATCTGCAGTTTCCTTAACATGTCCAGTACCTGCACCGATGACGAGATAATCGAGGAGCTCGAAGTCAAGGACAAGCTCTTGAGAGAATCTGAGTCCTTGAAGCGATTGGCCCTTTCTAATCAGGGACCACCCAGAGTTCAAATAATCAATCGAATCAGTTGTCAAGATTCTGACGAGCAAGGCCTCTACCTAGATGAACCTTGGCTTGTCGAAAACGGTCCTCATCGAGCTCACCTGCGTTGCAGTCGATTGCTCGATAATCTGGAACTGTACCTTGAGCGGAACAAGGACATTGTTTGTATTGCTTACCGTGACTACGAGTGCTGTGGAAGGCCGCCGCCTGTCCCAAATCCCGGTCATCTTGAATTTCTCACCGGGGAAAGTGTTGACGTCGTCTCAGACGAATTGAGAGCTGCTTGGGACCGACTTGTTGTAGCTGTCAGTGGTGACGCTGAATTGACCACTAACATTCCTCGAGGAACGTTCGACTCAGAGGATGAAGATGGTCGCGCAGAAGAATTTCGACATCCGTATCTCTGGTGGTTTCGACATCGCAAAAGGATTGAGAGAATAAAGTCCTACCTGAGCCAAGAGTCCAAAGACCAACTAGAAGCATTTCAAGACTATTTGAGGGTTTATCTTGGTGATGAATGGACGAGAGTCGATTCCTTGATTCTCGAGGGGAAGATTACAGCCAAGTACCTAGGTTATCTCTTTGTAAGTACCAGGTAGTGCCCCCCATGCAGTCTACATGCCTTACGTGATACAGGCTCCTGGGCAAATTATCATCTCAAAGCTTAAGGGATTATCAGCGGCTCAGTGGCAAGCATATACTTCAACCAGTTGGCTTGCTACAAGCGTCAATGATCCAACGAAAGGCAGTTTCCTGGCATCAATCTATGTCAGTTACTGGGATTTCGATGGCAACTTCCAGCGATTCAACTCGACTCTCAATCTCTCAGGTTTGCCCTCCTTGACAGCAGAGTTTCCTATCAACACCATGATGGTATTCCCGATGGAGTACGTCGATGACGGTACTAGTTACAATCTGAGGCGACGCGGCCAGATGTTCTGGAAATGTCGCCATCGTAAATATGTTTGTGTTAGTGGTAGTCCTGAAGACAATCTTTCTGGGACAGTCAGTTTATGTACCCTACCCTCGAGGATGGTTACTCATACGCGTATAGACTTCTGGTTCTCGATTCATGATCGACAGAGCAACTTTCAGACAGATGCACCCTCCTACAAGCGGCCAACAAGCACCTGCCCGTTACCGGGATGACCTCGGGCCTGAGATTATGGCCCAAGATGAACCATTGCCTGACTTGGGAGATGGATTTTACATGTGCCTCCCGACATTTCTATATGGCTTCAATATGCAAAAGAAGGACTGGGGTAAGTGTAAAGTCGACTGATACTATCTAAGAATATGCTGACATGCTCTTAGTTAAGTTGGAAGTTGATCTACTTCAGGATGTAACTTGGAACAAGGAGGCTTTTGATCTGCTAGTCATGGAACGCCAGACAAAGGAGCTGGTAGAAGCTGTGGTGACAAACCACTTGGACGAGGACAGGGATACGGATGTGATCCATGGTAAAGGAAATGGACTCTTTATACTACTTCATGGGTAGGTGCCTACGTCGGAGATGCAATGGACCCCTGAAATCTGACTAAACGTATAGAGGCCCTGGAACCGGGAAGACTCTCACTGCGGAAAGGTATAGCCGATATGCCTGGTTATTCTCTTTGTGAGATATTCTGACAGAGATCTAGCGTTGCTGAGATTGCCAAGAAGCCTTTATACAGAGTGACTTGTGGCGACGTTGGTACGAAAGCTGAAGAAGTAGAGCGAGTATGGACTTCTCAGATCAAGAGGCCAGTGCAGTGCGCTAACTCTTTTAGTATCTTGAAGTCGTGTCACTTCTTGGAAAGACATGGGGTTGCGGTGAGTAGCATCTTCATTATGTGCATGCTTTACTTACTTCTTTCTAGTGGTGCTTCTGGACGAAGCCGACGTGTTCCTAGAACAGCGGAAGCTTGATAGTCTTGAACGAAATGCCTTGGTCTCGGGTGGGAGGACCCAATCAACGCACTTGAAGTGTTTCAAACTGACAATATCGTTAGTGTTTCTCAGAGTACTGGAGTACTACGACGGTGTGTAGTCCAATCTCTAATATTCGGCGTCGTACACTAACTGAATATGTAGGAATCATGATCCTTACGAGTAATAGGGTTGGTATATTTGACGAAGCATTCAAATCGAGGATTCAGCTCAGTCTAAGATACAATGACTTAGAGGAAGACCAACGGCGCCAGATTTGGTCGAACTTCATTAACCGGCTCGAGAAGCTCGAGACCCAGCGCATAACACAGGCCAACGAGCAATCTCTTATTAATATTCCTAGCACCCCTCAAACTGCTCCAAGGCTCGGTGTCGACATCAGGAGCATGCGCGATCGGCTTGATGATCTCGCGAAGGCTCCTCTCAACGGCCGTGAGATTCGGAATATGATTTCAACTGCACGTCAGCTTGCTGTTTTCCGTAAAGAAAAGCTTGGCTATCAGCATCTTGATACAGTCATGGCTGAGGCGAAGAAGTTTGGGGAGTATATCAAGCGTCTTCATAAAGGATACACGTCTGATCAGATTAAGAGAGGTCAGAAGGAACGATAAGCCTACGGATATCTTGATTTCGCTTTTTACAATTCAAGTAAACTTAAGGGTAGCCTCTGTATCAAAATCTCATCAGTTGGATGAACTGCCGTTAAATATTAAACAGTGATAACAGCACCCGTATCTCTCAGTTATTCGTAGGAACGTGCTTATCTATATTGATATTGAACGGCAGAAGATATTGATTTGGTAGCCGAGTAACCCGTAAGCCTCACTCCGGCGTCCTGAGTTTGATTGGGTGCCTCATTATCACATTTTAGGTACACGTAAGCGCCAACCTGTCTTTGGAGTCAGATGACAACGGATAGAACACGACCCTCTTTCAGCATCACCAGACAGTGACGCCGCTATCCTGAGCCAAGACTGCGCCCTGGCCCAAATACTGAGCCTTAAAAATCCGGATTAGGGACGTCGAACAGCCCGCAGATGCTGGGGCAGGTGACCAGAACCCGGTCCATGAAACCCGCCAGAGCAAAAGACCCCGCAGGGTCACCAATGGTGGTCAACGATCAACCCAACCTGTTCTCCCCATTCCGCCGTATCGGTACTAGACGGGACACTGGTCGAATCCTCAAGAATTTCAAGGCCAACAAGACTAAGACAGACGACAAGACGAGCCTTAGCCGTGGTGGCCAAAATTGGGATATGATATCAAGGTTGAGTCGATTATGCACAAAGAACGCGGTCGCCAAATACCATCACATCGAAGGATTTATGTGGACAGCATCCAGGAGTCCTCCCTTATCGACGTACTGAATACGAGTGACGACAGACCACCCGCAAGCTTGGAGCGTCAATGCGATAGCTGCGATCGAACTGATAGCCGCGAATGGAAACGTGGACCTAATGGAGCTGCAACACTTTGTAATGCTTGTGGATTCCAGTATGCTGTATGGGAGAGAAATCGTATATTAGGTCGAGGATATAATTAGTAACAGACCCTTAGGCTTGAGTTGTAATGTCATGCTACAAAATATCGTGCCCCGTATCCCGTTAGCTACTTAGCTTGGCAATTAACCCAGGATTGGTAGCCGCCTATGACCTAAAAGCAAGCGCCAGCGCAGTCTGTATTAAAACATAGCCCTCCTTCACATCATCTTATAGCAGCCAGACCAGTTTCTTTCCTACTTTCTAAGCGCTGGTCTTCCTTCTTCAAGGGGCACCTCCCAGTTGGAACAAAAGGACCCAGGTTCACAGCTCAGAACCCCAGGTCGGGAGTCAAGCGCTTTCGATCCCTTCGCAGATGGTGTCGGAGGTTCAGCGACCTCCTCCGCCTATGTATAACCCTATGTATAACCCTAAGAATATAGAAATTGCCGGGGACTGAGCCATGAGGAACAGTCAAAGTATGATTAGTTATTGCAGAGTCTTTTGTTGTTGATCAATGGGTCCCCTTCAGAACAGCAATACGCCCTCCGCTTTCTGCAGCAGAATTATAGAACTCACTGATAGGATCGCCACCCCGATCAAAGATAAAAGTCCCCAGACAGTGAAGTGACAGGGCATCCGGAACTAAAAGGGAAATCGACCTGTAAGCTTTGCTTATTCTCACAACTAGGAATCTTCCAGAAACAGAAGGTATCCTTAAAGTCCCTGAGCGAAACACGGACCCATTATTCAATATCGCGAGATCATACTTCGGGAGAGGAGGTTCATATGTACGAGCTTATAGGCAGCTTCGGGAAAAGGCCGCCCCCCCCTTCCAAGCGCGGAAAAGGCCAAGAATGATGCAACTATGAGTCCTCATATCAGCCTCAGTGGAGGAAAGCGAGACTGGGTAATCTTGGATGACGAGGAACGTGGCTATGGTACTTTTAACCCCAGCGGGATTACGAGAAAAGTCGAGCCGACCACCAGACCAGCTCGCCTTTCTTGCTGGGGACACCTGTATACAACTCATTCTGTAGGCTCAGACTGGATCTAATCAAATTCATTGACACAGTACAAAGCTCAACACGCTCAGGGTATGTATTTAGTACCCCTCATTTTCGATGTGTATAATCCAATCCGCAACTATGACTATAGTCAACCAAGACAGCTCAAACCTTCTACAAAGACCATCCTGATAAACAACGGCCGGCTCAGCATAGATGAACTAGGGCACATTGAAGCTACAGGTTCAATTAAACCTCTATATACTGCTTATACCGCTCTTTTAAACAGTTTTAAAGGATGCTTGAACGCTGGAAGGGGTTGTTTGCTTCTCAGATCCACTGAACCATAACATCACTTCAACAGCTGGAGATCATCGAGTAAATAGAGGCTTCAGACATGGCAAACAAGCGCAGATCACACTAGCCCATGGCTCAAGAATACTGTTGAGCAATTAGAGTTTAAGACTTGGATGGAACTCTCCTCCATCAGACAACGTACCTCTATATTAGACCATAACCCAGACTATACCTGAAGTCCAAGTCTTCGTCAACTTTTATCCTTGTCACCGATCGGATGATACTGACAACCAGTACGCTGTGGTATCAGCCGTTGGCGCTCTTCCCTACGGAATATAAAAAATGGGGAGATGCTTACAAACCGCCAGCCATCAGGATAAGCGCAATGCCAATCTTGCGACTCAAGGGTACTTTAATAGGGTGCAGTAGCCAAAACGGCAACAACAGCAATATCAAATCGCTCACACAGTTGATGACGGCTGACGCTGCGTGTACATTCACGATGGCCTGGCAGTTCTCACCTTCATTTACTGGACTGCGATATGCAATAGCCGAAATGGTAAGAAAGATGCAGGTGGCAACAACGACGAATAACACGGCGTAAGCGCAGATAATGAAGTGCATGTCGACAGTGAGTCTGAGATAGAACATCCCAGCCCACTTTGCGTTCTAACGATGATGAGCAATAGTGACGACGTTTTATGGATGGTGGTCTCCCCTCTAGTAAGATGTGAAGACCTTAACGGTCAACATCTTTGACGCTTGTACCGGCGCCGAGTCGCATCTTTCGGTGTTAGCTATAATCGTCAAACCTTGGTCGAGAATACTTACTCATTACAGCGCCTATAGATCCTATTGTCGCAAACTTAAATGGGATTTTACCGTGTTGGCTTGATATGTCTCATTGAGGCGTCATTCGCTTTAGGCATCAATCAACCTATTCCACAGTATTAGTTATGACCCCCGAGATTTCAAAGCTTAACCTACAGCTGCGAAGATCATAAGTGCCGCGAAGTGTCATTTAATACAACTATGAGGTTTTTGCGCCCACTTACTGTCATCGAGATGCCATTTGGTTATAACTCTCTTGCTTATCCAGATCCGCAGCGCAATAATCGACAAGCTAAGTAGGGCCAATATTACCGCAGTATTAGATAGTCTTGAGCTTTTACCGCCAGTGTGATAGAACATTCTTTTTTGCAATCTCGACTGGGCCATCGTGAGGTTCGCGAATATCCGTTTCTGTCATCTTAGATAAGATGCGCGTAGCGGCTTGTCTCACGTAGGGCGCGTCGTAGTGTGAAAATGTCAAAGTCTGCTGGGAGTCGGAGCATTTTTCGCTTGTAAGAAGACCATCCAAGAGTCAGAGGAAGTAAAAAGACGTCTAAGACGGCAAAGCGCTATAATGGCAATTATAAAGCGCCGTATACGGTGCACTTGCGTCAGTAAGCATACCAAGTTGGGCGCATTATGGAAGCTATACCGATCTATATTGGCTCTTCGGGCTCTTGGTGCCGAGCTAGTGCTAGAAAGATTATAATATCTGCCGCTGCTGTCATCCAAATACCGGATCATAAAACCAGGTGAGAGCGGCTCCTAGGCATCAAGTAATACTTACTTAGCAAGTTCTGTAACATACTTATCTTTCTTTTCCTCGATCATGCTTCGATTCTTCCCTGCGTTAGTTTTATAGCTTTCCTCAGTCTTCCTGAGACTGTCAATCCTCCCTTGCCTTCCATCGAAAGTTCCCTGGGCCTCATCAACTTCATCCTATAGCAGCTCAATAGTACCTCATTTTTTCCTAGCTATATCGAGCGCCTTAGGGTTCGAATAAACCTTGTTTGTTTATACTCAAAGAAATTTTATTGTTATAGATTTAAAAACTCCTGAATATCTGCTCTAATCTATCATTATTAAATTAATTAAATACGCTCGGTTCAGAATGTCACGAAGAACAACAGACAGTCCATGAACTTCGACCTATTCCCTGCCTTAAAACTCAAGTGGTAGAGAAAGCACCTTGAGCTCATTCCAGTTAATCCAGTCTCCGTCTCGATTGATACCTATCGTAACGGGCTTGCAAGTCTTAGATTGGCTTAGATAGCGCTCGTCGATTTGAAAGACTCCCCTGTTTGTGCGAAGCCTTGATTCATCGGCCTCAATAGCCAAGCGAATCGGTTGGTAGTTGAGTTTAAAGGTTTTGAGACACTGACCCGTTTTAGCATTTCGAATTTCAATTGTCCCATCAGACCATCCTAGACCCACTCTATTAGGTGCTTGGGAAAACGCGAGCGAAGCTAGTCCGCTATGCTGCTCGTGGTACAATATATTTGGATTTGTATAGGTTTTCTCCATTGTGAATCGAGATACAGGTTTACGGCTTCTCATACTGTAGGTTAAGACTTCCATACGGCAGCTGGATACAAGGGATTGGGAATTAGAAAAAAAACCCAAGCATCGGTGTGATCTCTGGGTGTGATGGGGAGTGATTGTCGGAGTTGTTGGTTGATTCAGTATGGTGCAAACCCCCAATCGTCCTGCAGCCTAAGGGCATTGTCCTTATCTTCGTCAAAACTGCTGACTGCATCGAGACCTGGACAGGGTTCCCCAAAATAGGAAGGCCTAAAACTCACTCTCGTACGTCTCGTTTTGGGAACGAGGCATGGGCCCACAGTCAAGGCGACATAAGGATGACTGCATGAGTCCCAGTCTCTATGTGGAGAAGCGGCACAGCAACTGACGTATCCGACTTCAGAGCCAAGCATTCACATCCACAGGAGTGCATCGGAAGCTTAGGTAGCCGAAATTTCCGAAGAGAACACCTTGCTAATGTAGAGTAGGTAGGGTCTCATCGGTGCAATGCGACGCTGACTGCTCTTATCATATTTACTGATAAATCGCTGCCTGAAATGTGCAGCATGGCGGTGGGAGCTCTTGAACCCATTCATACTAGTTAAGCGCTTCTCGCATGTAACCAGTATGTCCGAAGCCAATGAGCTTTCGCGCTACTGCAAAGATCTCCCTGGGCGCCAGCGTAGCGGCCGCGGCACGGGACGTGGGCAGCCTCTTTCGCCGGCACGCCAGGAGCTAGAATAGCCTAGTCAATACGAGAAACGCCATCTTTTGAATACATCGCACACCCTTAGGGCTGGACCCCAGTCAACTTGAGGCAATTTCGCCTCCATGGCGTGGACTGCTGTCTTTTCGTCGATACGATGTGTCCAACGACCCTGTGATATCACGGGGTTCCAGCACAGCTGCGAAGCAGCGTAGAATTTCAAGCCATGACACCGGCAAGCATTACGGTAGCCAAAGGTCAACGTGACGTTCCTTTATATTATTGAAGCACGTTTTCTCGAAATTCGGGAGGGCGCTAGAGTAGTGATTGACATCAATTCAGCGTGATAATGCTTGAATACGTTATGATCTGCCGCTGGCTTTCATCACATGTACCATCACCTTGTAGTCCGTGTAGATGAGGCTACTGCCAGCGTCGCGCTCCCAAACAAACCCGCCCTGATCCAGCAGCTGAAAGTCATATTTCCAAAGCAAGTTTCCAACAATAAGTCGGATGCTCTGCTGTGCCATCTCCCTGCCGATACATGCCCTACTTCCAATGAGGAAAGGACGATAAGCGGTCCTGTTGTCCCTCTTGAACTCGCTATCTTCCGCAACATCGAGCCATCTCTCAGGGCGGAAGGCGGAGGGATCTGCGAAGTACTCCGGCGACCTTTGGATTGTGTAAAGATCTGCGGAGACTGTGGTACCGGCAGGGATGTGCACCCCATCTATGGTGCATGAAGGAGCAGTACGCTGTGCCGTTTTGCCGTTTGCGGGTGGAAGCAACCTCAGGGTCTCCCGGATACAGGCGTTCAGGAATGGCAGCCTGGCAAGGCGCGCTCCTGTGATTTCTTCGTCACTGGCAAAGGTCGAGCGGATCTCAAAGCAAACTCTGTTATACGCCTCGGGATAGCGTAAGATGTGGTAGAAAGTGGCGGCCAGTGTCGTAGCTGTTGTCTGGTATCCGGCCAGGCTGCGGTATCTCTAAGCAAAAGTCGCATTGAGGAAATTGGTTTGTACATACGTTAGGCCCATGGCATTACTGAAGAATGCATCCGCGTTGAGCGTCAGGTCTTGCTTCTCGCTGCCCATGATAGCGGTCAGGAAGTCTTCTCTTCCGTCTTGCCTTTCGGCGCAGCTGTTGGAAATTCGTATCAGATCACTGGAATTATCAAGAGGTTTGAAGAAATACTCACTCGCGCAACTTCGAAGATGGCACAAGCTTGGAGAGTTGCGACGGGAACGGCAATGCTGTGATGAGGCTTCTAGCAATCCCAAATACTGAAGCAATCCCAGGCAGGGCGAGGAAAAAGCTCAAGGCCTCGACCATGGGCATCGTTGATTTACCAAGCTGCTTCAATGACTCGTAAGTAGCTGAGACGCTCTGTTAGCATTATTTCTGTCGGCATGTCCAAGGTACCGCTTTCAACTTACGGCGCTTTCCAGACATGAGAGGTTCACCGAAAGCAAGATCACCAATGATCTCCCAGAACATCGTCTCCAATGTGTCAGCGATGTCTACGGTACCGCCGCTCTTGGCAAGTTCTCCAAGTTCGGACATGGCCATGGCAATATGCAGCTTCTGGATGGGTTCCTGTCTTGCAAGCGCTTGAGGGGTGAAAGCTTGCTGTATCACCTTGTGCAATTTCCTGTGAAGTACAGGATTAGGTATGGTGATGAGGGTCGGAGCGTTCAACACGAGGTCCGAGAAAAGCGTCAAGAAAGTCCCATTCTTGGAAAAGCGACCGTCCTCTTGTTTCGCGTAAATTGCTGTTTCTGCTTCTAGTGAAGCAAATGAGACTTCGTTGGGTCCGATTCGCACGACATTTCCTGAAACAGACGAGTCACGTCAGTCAAACAGCTTTGGTCGTGGATGCTGAGGGCCTACCGTATTGTTGATGGAGAGCTTGCAGTTCCGAGTTGAACCGCATGCGGTGCAGAGCCCTCATAATCCATAGCTGTTTTCATAATTTAATCGTTACCCGCGCACATATTGAGAGAATAGACCAACCGGACAGAATTTGGCCAGAAATGGGCCAGGAATGTGGCGGAGAGGATGTAAGAAGCAGCCATAGATAATGACTGACACGAGGGCAAGCGCCAACTGAGAGAGAAAGAAATGTCAGAACAATAGCCATTTTTGATCGATTCCACAGAGTATGACATACGATAACCAATGCAAGACCCAATTGCTGTCCCAAACTCCAGGTCGATAATGGTGAAGTGAAGGCCATGGTGTAGGCCCGTGATTGTCGTCAGTGCCAAAGCAAACCAGATGGAGGGGGGCTGAGATGGGACGTCAGTTCTTGAGATCGATTTCAAACCCCGTACGTACGGTTGGTCTGTGCGAGCTCTCCCGAAGCATCGGCTCTGGAAATTCTAGCTAGCGACATACCAAAAGCTAAAGGAGAGACTGGGGATAAAATTCGGGGACACTGATTCACGGCGGAGCAGAATCAGAGGCTACCGAAGCAAGGCAGGCCTCTGAAATCCTTTTTTTTTCCACCACCCCTTTCTTTACAGTCTTTGAATCCTTTGCACGAGCTTTACACTAGCGCTTACGAGCATGGGTGTTTAAGCATACGGGACCAGACAAGTTTAAACTTTCCCATGATCTACACAATCGTCGATCTCTATTGGCACGCGTGTTCGCGCTTCGAATATATGGGACACATCCCTGCCGGCCCTTATCACGTAGCATGTAAGTTTACGTAGCATTCAAGTCCTAGACCCCTACGGAGCTCCACAACGAAGTCAACTACGGAGTACCCTGCATTGCGATGGTGATGGTGTCTCGTTATCGGCTAAGGCTATCGAGTCCTAAACCGCCACACATACCAAGCCCAGAACGTGGGCTTATCACAGCCTACTCGGTAGTAGCTGTTGACGCGTCAGACAACTATCAACGGAGTCCAGTAGGGTAACAGGATAATGCAAGTATCTAAACTCGAAGAAAGAACAATAAGATGGTTATCTCTGCTATCCACATATGTTCATTCCATCTCTAGAGACAGGTAATTGAACTTTTACGAAGCATTTTATCCCGCTTTTACCAATTATGGATCCGTTACTGTATCGGTCGAGACTCGTACCGGTGGAGGAAGCTCGAGAGACGGGTTGCTTTACAACCCTTCCGATCCGAGTTCACTTGCGGGATGACCTCGCTGATGCCGCCAGCCGGCGCTTTGTCAGTGACTGGGCCAGGGAAATGGGAGATGGCCGAGAGAAGAAGACTTACTTCTCTTTCTCGCCTGTAGGCAACTGGTCTTCTCTAATTTACCCCGAAGCCATTCCCGAGCGTCTGGGAGTTTTGGCATATCTTTCGGATCTGGGCTTGATTCATGACGGTAAGTTTTACCTTCCAGATTCCTGTCCGTAGTATGGAATCTGACAAACTTTCAGACACTGGTGAGGGCCTCAGTATCGAAGAAGCCCAAGCCGAGCACGATGAGCTTTATGCTGCCTTGGACCCAGACGACAAGAGCAGTCTGGATCCTGACTCAAGGGCAATGAAGACCAAGAAGCTCGTTTCACAGTGCATACTCGAGTGTATCAACCTCGACCATGAGCTTGGGTTGAATATGCTCGCTGCCTTTCGTGATGTCTGGCTCGCTATCAGCGAGAAGAACAGCGACAAGGAGGCACAGACATTAGAAGAATATCTGAAATACCGCAGTGAGAACGGCGGCATGCTGTAAGCAGATCCTCTCCGCATTTCCGAACTCAAACATAATCAGCCCTTAGAGTTTTCTGGCCAATGCTGCAATTCAGCTTGGGAATATCCCTCTCAGAAGCAGAGCACGAGCTCGTGCAGCCCATCATTGACGCGGCCACTGAAGGTCTTCTATTGGCGAATGACTACTTCAGCTGGGAGCGCGAACTGAGAGAAGTCCAGTCTGGTCAGTCCAAGAGGATTGTGAGCGCCGTGGAGCTGTTTGCCCGAACAATGGGACTTTCAGTGGAGGATGCCAAGGAGGCGGTCAAATCCAGGATCATCAAGTCAGAAAGTGATTTCTGTCAACGCCGCGATGATCTCTACAAAGCTCGACCCAACATATCATCAAAGTTGAAAAGATGGATTGATTGTGCTGGCCTAGCGGTCTCAGGGAACCACTATTGGTGCTCTGCTTGTCCGAGACAAAACGCGTGGAAGAACGAAACACTTTCAAATGGCCAAAACGGCCACAAAGTTCACAATGGAAACGGGTTCAAGACTACGCCCGTTACCAATAAAACTACTGGCGATCTTCAAAGCAGTGGTATCAAGATTCTCTCAAACGGTAACGTGGGCAACGCCATCCTCAGCGGAAACGGTGCCAAAACTGTTGTCAATGGCAACGGAGCCAAAAGAAAACTCTGCCAGTACGAAATGGCAAGTCCAGAACAAGAGCCATTAGTTCAGAAAAGGAGAAGCAATGAGACAGATGTTTTGTGTCAAAAACACGACATTCAAACGGTCTCCCAGTACCCCCTTTACAAACCATCCAACCTGGCCATGGATGCGCCGGCAGCCTACATCTTAGGAATGCCTTCCAAAGGTGTCCGTGACACCCTGGTTGATGCTCTTAACACCTGGCTACACGTGCCTTCAGCAGCGGTCAAGACAATCGCGTCAGTTATAAACCTGTTGCACAATGCATCACTCATTTTGGACGACCTGCAAGACAACTCTCCACTCAGGCGGGGGCTCCCATCAGCCCATGTCATCTTCGGGCAAGCCCAGTCTATCAATAGCGCAAATTTTATGTTCGTTAGAGCAGTACAGGAAGTAGCTCAGAGTCTTAGCCCAGCTGCACTGACAGCAGTGCTTGAAGAGCTTGAAGGCCTCTATCTCGGGCAAAGCTGGGACCTGTACTGGAAGTTCAACCTAGCATGCCCTACCGAGGCCGAGTACGTCAACATGATTGACCACAAGACGGGCGGCATGTTCAGGATGCTGCTGCGGGTCATGCAGGCCGAGAGCACCGCTACGGAGACACAACGCCTCGACTTCGAGCGGCTAACCCTGCTCTTCGGGCGCTTCTTCCAGATCCGGGACGACTACATGAACTTCGGAGACTACGCGGCCCAAAAGGGTCTCTGCGAGGACCTGGACGAGGGCAAGTTCTCGTACCCCATCGTCTACTGCCTCGCCAACCACCCGGAGTATCGCGGACATATCCTTGGCGTGTTCAGGCAGCGACCGACGGTGGCCACGACTACCGCTTCTCCGCTTTCCAAGGAGAGCAAGGCGCATCTGGTGAGCTGCTTGCGCAAGTGTGGAGCGTTTGAGAAGACGCTCGAGTGCCTGCGGGACGTGGAGCGGGAGCTGGAGTCGGAGATTGACCGACTGGAGCGTTTGACGGGAGAAGCTAACCCCATGCTCCGCCTGTGCCTTGCAAAGCTAAGCACAAAGGGGATTGCCACGTTGGGATAGAAGAGTTGGATGGGTCGCGGATTTGTGGCACATACTGTGTAAGGATCCCTCTATAGGTCGTTTTCTTGGCGTGGTATGTCGATAGAATGTTGATTTAGCGCTTACCGCGTATGTCTTTCGTTATCTTGTTGAGGAACATACACACACACAAGTCTATTACCCCGGGCAGGCCAGTGACGAGATGGCTCTATAAGCTAAAAATACATTTATTATGCGAATAATTGCCTCAATCTCGCCAAGCTTGTATGGCTATTGTCGTATTCTTTCTATCCATTTGCGCTGCAAAGGATGCGCCAAGTTCCGAATCCTCCAGGAGTCGGGCCGCTGGAGAAAGGACTACTGCACGGTAAATCCTAGATAACACCCATCTGCTTCGCGTGGAAAGCAGTGATATCCTCCGACCCCTGTAGGGTTACACCCGGGACGGGGCGACTCCCGCTCCACCTTCATAGACACTCTGGCTTGATAGGGCGAGACCGACCTTTCCAAAAGAATGCAAGTAGGACTAATGGAACGAAAACCTGTAGCGAAGGGTGTGAAGTTTACATGCAGGTGCGCAATCAAGTACGGTGTCTACAGGAGAGCGTCATGCCCAGTCTTCGAATGCATCTGCTGGGATCTGGACGGGGCGACTTTCGACCATGACCTCCTCTTGCCTACATAAGCCTGTGAATCGTGGGCTGGAATAATGGGCAAGTAATTACAAGCGAATTATCTGGGAAGAAGCAGGCAGCCATATTCCGATATTGCGCCTACGTTACACCCAATATTCTTGGCTCAACTTTCGTCATTCTCCGGTTTTCAGAATCCTTGGTTTTGCCGCGTCGGACCAAACGATAATGCGTCAATCATCGACCTTGACTTGGACCTGCGTTCTCCTGGCTCCCCTTGCGGCGAGTAAAGGCCTCATAGCAGACTACAATTCATGCCAGAGTGCGGTACGTACAGCTCCAGCGTCAGGACAGTTAGTCACACCCCCCTGACACCGGTAGTGCGTCTCGCTATCTAAACAGCTATCCGTCGAGTCAGTTGGCGACTACATTGCAGAGTTCAAGCAGCAGCCTATCGCTAGGGCGGGAGTGGAGACCGGGTCATTGTACTGGTCGCAGCAGCAGCAGGCCGTCCGGCCGGCCTGCCTCGTTCACGCCCGTGAGGCCCAGGACGTCGCACTCGTGGTGCAGACGTCGCGCTCCACGGGGTGCCCCTTCGCCGTCCGCGGGGGCGGGCACTCCGACATTCCCGGATTCAGTAATAGTCATGGTGGGATCACCGTCAACATGGCCGGCTTAGGCGATGTCAAAGTGGACGCGAGTGCCGGCGTAGCTCGAGTAGGAGCGGGCGCAACGTGGGGGACGGTCTTCAAGGAGCTTGATAAGACAAACAAGACTGTTGTTGGGGGCCGACTGACTGGAGTCGGTGTTGGAGGATTGCTTCTGGGCGGTGGGCTTAGCCACTTGTCTGGATTACATGGGTTGGCGTGCGACAACGTTCGCAACTACGAGGTAAGTCGGGACCGGGATCGCAATGCGAGACTCCACGTTTGCCATACGCGAGGCTGACGTGATACCAGATTGTCCTTGCCAATGGCAGCATCTTCGACGTCTCGCACTCTACCCACCCGGATCTCTACCGAGCGCTTCGCGGGGGTGGCAATAACTTTGGAGTCGTGACTCGTTTCGATCTGGACATGTATGATCAAGGCCCCATGTGGGGAGGCCTGCACGTCTGGCTGTTGCTACCATCAGTGACATCGGCCGTCACGTCAGCCTTCGTAGAATTTGGCCACGACGCCCCGTCAGATAAGCATGTTTCACTGTTTGCGGGCCTCGGGTTCATGCAGGGCAACTTCGCCTGGGCCGTGGGGCAGTACGACACTCTCGGAAGAGAGGAACCTCCCATCTTTTCCAAGTTCAGAGACGATGTCGAGACATATGGCGCTCCCAAGGTTGTCAACACGGCAAGGGTCACGTCACTATCGGACCTTGCTGAAGAGCTGAATCTTTCAGAGCCGGCGGGCATGCGGAGCCGGTTCACGACAGCCACCTTTAGGATTGATGTGGATCTACTTCGGCTGATGGCCGGCTACTTTGTGGAAGAGGTCGAAAGGGCTCTGGAGAATGGCTTACGTGAAGACAAACGCTTTGCGCCAATGCTGGGCATCCAACCCCTGACGAAGAACATTATCAGGGCACAATCCAAGCGTGGAGGAAATGTAATGGGTCTCGATGAAGAATCTGGACCGCTCATTGGTAAGTTTGATCTCTTCTATCATAACGTACATGTTGTTTGTGGGCTGATTCATGCGACTTCCAGTCTGTTCTTTTGGCTGGGAATGGTTTCGTGAGACAGACGATGCTGTCGTGATTGCCGGCATCAAGAGCGTTCTTGAGAAATCCGTAGCCGCGGCGAAGGAAAAGAGTTTGTATCATCCTTTCAAGTACATGAACTATGCTGCGGAAGACCAGGATCCTATCGCAAGCTATGGAGCTGAAAATGTTGAGTTCTTGAAAAAGGTCAGACAAACCTACGATAGCGACGGACTGTTCACGGAACTAGTGCCTGGTGGCCACAAGATCGAATGATCATCTTTGGATTAGAATCATTGAATATAGTCTATGAACATTACAAAAACCCTCATATTCACAAGAATACACTAGATTGCCCAGTTATGAATGCGGTCAACCAGATTCAACCGCTGTTTTCGACCATGTTATTCAGCATATAATAAGTGGGTGACACCCGCAGCGCCGGGAAAGCGGTCACAAGTCCAGGTGCGACTAGATCATTCACAAATCCTGTACTGAGTATAGCCAAAGCAATAAAAGTCCACACAAGCCCAACAATACGCCACCACGATCCACGCCATCCGAGTTTCTCCTGAGCAAAACGAATGACCAGATCTTCCAAGAGCAGAATGTTAGGCATCAGCAGAAAAAAGGTGAGAGTTCTTGTAAAAGACTCGGACGGAGCTGCCATCTTTGCTGCCACCCAGTGGTACAGTCCAGACAGGGTGAATGCGAAGTACGATTGGGTTTGCCGACTGAGCATAGACCCTCTAGGTGCTCTGACGACTCTCCTGGCCACGACTCTGCTAGGGATTTGCAGGCCCCTGCGAAAATTCTGGTGCCACGTGCGGTTCCAGAATCTGCTCAGGGTGTAGCACTCGACCCAAGGTCCGTTTACCGGGTGGACGTCTTCGATGCGCGTCCAAAAAAGCCCGGACGACACCCCGATCATGCAAGCGACGTGATAGCCGATATCCATAACGGCAATCGACGAGGCCCACCAGCAGGCTGTAGCAATGCAACGGGGGACGAAGTCTAAGTCAAGGACGCCCATTTTCCCATCATGAGTTAGCCACTGAAGAATACCGGCAGCAATATCATGGCTCATGTATTGCTGCAGTATTCTTTGCATCGATAGCCTGAGGAAGGCGGTCTTGGAGGTGCCTGGAGCAGGAGCTGGAGGTAGAGGTGCAGTCCGCCAGTTCCATCCAATACCTCTGGTGGAAAAGGCATTGTCAAAACACCATCTTATCCGGTCCCATGCACTGAGAGAGTTGAAAGGCTGTTGGCGTTCCTTCCCGTCCCTTGTGGGCTGTGTCCACTTGTGCTCCAAGTAAGGGTCTTCGAGCACAAGAAGATTGAAGTTGACCAACGCGACGTAAAAGACTAAGAGACAATACTGTTAGAATATCGACTTGGTGAAACGTTATGTTTGGTGCCCAACCTGTTCCAAAGGTGTAATTCTTTGCAATATCCGGGCCAGAGGGAAAAGCAAAAGCCACAAGCAGACAAAACCCCCCGAAAGGAAGCAAGAGGATCCAGCGCAAATGTCTCGGGGTTTTGGAACCCAACAAGACCAGGATAGGAGTAGTGAGCCATATAGCACCAACGAAATCGGCACGTTCCAGAGGCATTGCGACAGGCTTGAACAATGTGACAGGCTGCCCAAGTTGACAGTATAGTACAGGTGTAATGTTAGATGGTATCTCAATTGTTGCTATCTGACTTTGGACGATTATCCTTCACGTTCTAAGGAAAGAATTCAGCCCAGTCTCCCTGGCCAGCTGTACCAATTTCCCACTCAGTATCTCAGCAACTAATTTCATCGATTGTCGACTTAGATACGGGCCGTCTGACATGCCGAGAGATACAGGCCACGCAGATCAGCTCTGCCTATAGGCCACACGAGACGACGTTGATAAGGCACTACGACCCTTGGCGGGAGGATCCCGGGCCGCCCGCACTATTGGCACGCCTGTCTAATCGGGGCATGCGACAATGCGATGACGACAGCGCGGGCCCGGCCCGGCCCACTGAATCTACCTGCAGATGGGCCCCTCCACTCAACCGACGTAGTACTCCATCCTACCTTACTTCGCAAACACCTCAGTGACGTGTACTCAGGGGTCTGACTAATTCGATAGCCGACCCCCTCTCCTTAGATATCTCTGCGTTAGGGCTTACTAAGGCTTACTTGCAGCTCTGGCAGCAAGCCTCTGCCTTATCGGGCGGTTAGGGTCAGTTACCGACGAATCCGAGGGGCTGTAATTGGCGCCGACGAGCATTGTCTCCATCATCAACCCCTGTATACAAAGGTTACACCCATTTCTAGACTGGCTAGACTGGTTAAATTTCTACGCGATCTCGGTCCTGGCTAATGTGAGACAATACTGGGCTGCATGCTTCGACTTGGGGATTTTGATCCCAGCAATCAAACTCAACACGTGAACGGGTCCAATACGAGCTTGCTATCATCTCAACACGACTTGTTGTTGAGCGATAAGAGCTTGCAGCATGTCACCGTGGCTAGATACCATTTCCGTTCCATAGGGCTCCCCAGCTACTCTTTGTCTCTTCTAAAGAACCAAGATTGGGCTGACATGTCTATACTCATCGTTCCTGTCGAGACGACCAGGCCCTTGCTGGTGCTGGCGATAGCGACTCTAATCATCTTTTCTATCGTTTACTTTCTCTACCTCACTGTTTATCGCCTTTTCCTTAGCCCAATCTCTCAGTTTCCGGGCCCAAAGCTAGCAGCATGGACATACTGGTATGAATTTTGGTACGATGTAGTCGCCGAGCCCGAGTACACCTTCAAAATTGGTAGATTGCACAAGCAATATGGTCAGTGTTCATCTTTGCCAGCATAAGAATCGAGGGAGTCAAACTGAACTAATATCCGACCAGGCCCTATAGTCCGTATCAATCCAGACGAGATTCACATCGCGGATCCGGACTTCTACAACACCATCTACGCTGGCAGCGGACGTAAGCGTGACAAATGGGACTGGATCACCCGGTCTTTCGGCGTCGACGAGAGCTTGATCGGCACTCTTGGCCATGATGAGCACCGAATCCGTAGGGCGGCCCTGTCGCCGTTCTTTTCCAAGCAAAGCGTTCGCGCCCTGCAACCACTGGTGGACCGGAACATGGGAATCCTCCTTGGGCGCTTTCGCGAGTTTGCCCAGTCCGGAACCCCTCTTAGGCTTGATGATGCCTACGCTGCACTCACCAACGGTCAGAACCCTCATCTAAATGCCGAGAATGTATTTGCGTACTAAGACCAGATTTTCAGATATCGTCGAGGACTATGCTTTTGGAAAAAGCGAGAACAGACTCCAGGCCGCGGACTTTGATCCATCATTCAGAGATGCCATGCTTCAGGGCGGCAAAGCCGGCCATGTCCTGAAGCACTTCCCCTGGCTGATGGACATGCTGCGCAAGCTGCCCAACTCCATGCTGCTCAAGCTGAGCCCGGCCATGGGCGCTTATTCCCAGCTCCAAACCAGTGTGAAGAAACAGGTGGCCGACATCACACAAGCACACCAAATGCACGCGTACGACAAGACGCGCCGCACCATTTTTCATGAGATCCTGAACAGCAAGCTCTCCGACTACGACAAGTCTACGGACCGGCTCTGGCAGGAGGGCGAAGTCGTCGTCGCGGCGGGTACCATCACCACGGCCTGGGCGCTCGGCGTCTCGACGTACTTCGTCCTCGCTACGCCCGACATACTCTCGCGGCTCAAAAACGAGCTCGAGGCCGCGATTCCCGTTCCATCGCAGCCCCTCAGCTTGCTCGTGCTCGAGCGTCTTCCTTTCCTGACGGGCGTGGTGCAGGAGGGCGTCCGTCTCAGCCATGCCATCTCACACCGGCTGCATCGCATCTGTCCGGACGAGACGCTCGTATACCGCACCGACGATCGCGAATGGCGTATCCCCCCTGGTACCCCCCTCAGTATGACCAGCAACCTGGTGCACCACGACGAGCGCGTCTTTCCCGACTCTCACACCTTCAAGCCTGAGCGCTGGGTCAACGACCCCCTGCTGGACCGCTATCTAGTGTCCTTCGGCAAGGGTGGTAGAGCTTGCCTGGGTATCAATCTGGCATATGCGGAGCTCTACCTCACGCTGGCGGCACTTTTCAGGGTTTACGGGACGGAGGAAGTTCAAGGGAAAGACGATGTCGGAACCTTGAAGCTCTTTGAGACGACTGCGGCTGATCTCGTTATCACGAGCGATACTGTGGTTCCTGTGATGCCGGAGGATTCCAAGGGGTTGAGGGTTACGGTACATCAGCGACCTGAGTAGGTGGCAGCGGTCTCTTGGACTCTTAGTTTTATGGTCGTGACAGGGTAACGAGAATAATCTCACCGACCTCATGAGTTGTTTCGGATCATGTAGAAAGTAGCCTGATAGGTTGCTGTTTGCAGCCCTAGTTCTGTTTGCGTATGGATATAAGCAAGGAATTCTGATAGAACTTGTCGTGGGATGCCGCTGTGGGCGATTAGACAATGACTTATTTAAATTGGAAAGACATGAAGAAGCTACCCTAAAAAATGTTTATTTTAATTACTTGCATTTACATTTGGATTCTTGTTCAATTTGCTGTTTTAAATCTCTCAATACTCTCTTTAAGTCACTAAACATCTAGATCCTCGGCTTCCTATCTTGCTCTTATGTGGATTGACTGGACCGCGACGTATGTTATCATGTCGTGAGCTGTCGACTTCGTGCTGCTGATATAATAGCCGATCGAGTTCAGTCGATGTAAATTTCGTGAGCTGTAAAGCATTTGCGGAAACGAACAAGTTCTCTAAAGTCTAACAACTAACGGGCAAGGAATTTAGAACCCTCGTATCAAATGTCCAAGGTGGTATATGATTCTTAGTGTTCTTCTTAGTTTTTCTTTCTTTGGCACTAATCTCTTTAGATAATATAATGCTTATAGGTCCTGCTATTATAATAAAACCAATATGTGTACCTGAATTAGCTGAGAGATTTATTAAAAGCCTCTACTTACCTCTTAGTATAGACATAAAAGCGTTATGGCCCCAAAAGAAATAGTACAGTTCTTAACACCGTAAAGTAAATAGTTTGTCCTGATATAGCTGAAAATCGGTTGAGAGGCAATCTAGCCAGCCACTAGCTCACGCTTCAGGATGTTCAGGTTGCCACTTTCACCTGCTAAACCCTGTCGAACCCGTATTGAGCGTGAAATCAGCCTGAGATGGTCTAGAGCTTTGTCTGTAGGGAGCTGGATCCCATGACCAACATGTCCTAGCGTTAGTTTTAGTGTAAGATGGGAAAAGTACATTTCCTGAGCTAAATTAATCTAACCTGCTATTAATCCCTCACAGGACTCTCTTCTCTCTTTATCATCCAGTACATCCCTTGTGTACACGGTTCTAAAGCTTCTCAAATTCTTCTCTCAATACTGTGATTGATCACCATGTCTGGCACGATGCAAGGTGCAATGAATGTTGCAGACACAGCTGATCGCAATGCTTTTGAGGAGGAAGCCATCGAAATTGCCTCACAGTGGGCGCAGGAAAAGGTTGAGAATTTCTTGAATGACATTGAGTATGGCATCAAGTATGATCATTCTTTTCCTTCTTCTAACATGACTACAGAAGCAATGGCAACGATCACAAGTTGCTCAAGATCAGCCACATCATCAGTCGCCGCACTTCCATTGATGTCTTCACTGGCGAGAGCTCAGACATTGGCAAATTTGCTAAGGAACTCATCGGAAAGCTTGCTGACAGTAAGGTCATGGAGGGCCTTGAGAATTTGGTTGGCACATTGTTGAACAAGCTGTTTGCATCTGCTTCTGGTTCAGCCCAGACGGAAAAGATATAGTAAGTCAGCATCATTGAAGACCAGTGTATACACGTTTCCATTAACCGACCTCTAGTGAAGTCGCCGTTGATGAGCTCGGTGAACTCAATCGTCTTGACGCATTTTTCTTTTGTTATCGTTTTGCATCAAGTGGAATAAGAAAAGCCGTCATAGGGACATGCATCGTTCGTTCTGCTGCTATCATGGTCGATGACAACGCCTACCGTATGGTTCTCGATAGCTCCGCCACTCTCTCCGACGCTCAGCGTGCTTCTCTGGTAGCCAAGTACCAGAACCAAGGCGAAGCTGCTGATTCTACACTGATTGAAGCCCGGGCCAGGCTAGCCCAGGTTATTGGCCGGCGTGTAGCTACTTCAGAGCAGTTCCCCCAATAGAGGTTGACAGCCACTAGTTTCAGATCTGAGAGCACTGAAATGAGTGCCGAGTCAAAGGTGGGGGATCTGGTTAGGAAGACGGGTCGACCGATGGAGTCCGCGATTCAACTTTAAGACGTTGGGTCGTGGACTTCTGCAGTTATAGCATGTCGATGAGACACATTAAGCCAAAACATGTAAGAATCACAATTAACCTCAACTTCTAGAAGACGAAATACGCATAGCCTCAGGTTGATAGCGATAAACTTTAGTAAATAAAATAGCTCCAGTTAAATCTGCAGATAAGTCCCTAAACAACTCCGCCCTTCATTACTTACACATTCAACTTCCGAAGCCTCCTCTGAACCTCTAGTACGTGTTTCCTGCCAGGATCATTATCCATACCAGCATCACATCACGTAAGCCCAATCTCTTGACGCATATTTATACGAGCCTTTGGAACGTATTTACTCGAAGCCAGCATGCTGGATAGTGCTCGTGTGATAACAATGCTATGAACAGCCTGGCCTTTCCTAGGCATATCGAAGATCTCCTCGACAATGGCAGAGATGTTCATATGCTTTCCAGACTCCTTGCAAAACCGTTTCAGGCACTTAAACCATCGTTCTACGGTCCTCTTGTCTGCTAGCAACTGGATGTCCAGTCTGTGTCAAATGCCCTGAAGTAATCGAGACGCTTCGGCTCAAAACCTAAGTTGGCCATATCATCCCAATCTATGGGCATATCCATGGGCATTTGTTTATCTGTCTCCGTTAGATCCTCGTGTCTTGCTTCAATTTCTTTTTTCCTGGCTGCTTGCTTCTTATACAGGTCCAAAACCTCCATAAGAAAGTCTGAAAGTGAGTCGATACTTTCTTGGTCCCGTGCTTGCCCTTTTGTAACTACTATAATCGGCAGTAAACCATCAGTGGCGACTTTATTTTCATCCATTATTTGGCGGCGGCGAAATTGTTGAAGTTGAAGCCACTTCTCCTCGGTCTGCCAAGCATATGGGCTGGGGTTATTGTAGAAGCTGCACTAAGCTCTGTCTGCTGATTTGAGCTCTCAGCCACGAGCCTCAACTGTAAATAACACAACGTTTTGAGATTTGTTTGCCTAATCTTCAGAATTGGTTGTATAATTGTGATTTGCTGTATCATTGTAGTAGTTCCACAGGATGCACACGTGTGACTAATTCGCGTGACGTGACTCAGTCGAAGTGGCGAGGTCTCTAGGTAATCTAGGGGGTAAAACAAGACATCTGACGTGAATATCCGATTTTGTACGGTGAATGTGGATTCCCGCGCCAGATTTCTTATTTCACCCCGAGGGTAATGCAGAATCACATATCCCACAGCAGCTTTTGCATCGCTCTAGTTCATGGCTGGCTGAATATCTATCAAGGTCTGAGCATATAGCACAATGAGACAAAAGATTGAGTAAGCTGTATAAGGATAAGCTGAGACACCGCTGATTTGACCACAAGTGCAGGTGAGTGTAAAGATGTGGCTGGCTGAAGGGCTGAAATAAGTTTGAATGATTTAGGCTCTAAGTGCTAAAGGTTTTAGGCGAGAATGTTCTTCTCTGTAAAATGGGTTTTGAAGTCAATCTATGGCAATCCGGCGGGCAGTTCTTATGCTGCTTGAAATGGGGCTACCCGACTTTTCTTTTAATTTGATACACCTGATAGCCGACGCCTTCATCGAGCGCCCTAATCGCATTCTAGTTCCTTGAGTTCGAAGTTAGAGAATACCCTGCCTTCCTGCAAACAATAAAATATTTTCCAGCTTTGTCACTGCGACAGGTCGTCACAACCAGAGCTCTGGCTCGCTAAACTGTCCAAATCAACGTGGTATCGGCGCCATCTTCACTGGCCAATGTCAACAGCGCAAGTAGGAGTCAATCAGCCTATCCCCACAAAAGCCAGGGCCCGTCCCATTAGAATTCCGGGGACCTCTGATTGGCCTAGGCCGCGAAACTATCTATTCTCATGCAAGCCTCATCACTCCTGCCGTGACGCTGTTGCTTCAGGGAAGATCTCTGTATGTGTGAGGTGAGCTTCCGAGCTGAGACATTTGCTTCTCTAGCCACATTTTTGCCATTGCTTACGCATGTTGTGCAGATCCTCGTCGGATAACATTACGCGATAAAAAACATGTCCCTCGTCAGCTCTTGGCGATTGTTCCATCGACACGATACTAATCAAATGGCACTTTCTTTTTCGAAAAGTTGGCTTTACGACAGCGGATACCATATTGGTGGTTAGAAAATGAGTAGACCTAAATAGTGTTAAAAAGCAGAGTAGGACTTGTGTTAGGGAAGATAATGGTGTTCGTTTATTAGGAGCTCTTGTCTACGGTCATTGCTGTAGTCCTATTTATAGCACGGGCGACTACTGAGAACAGTATGGCTCAGTTGAGTAAACGAGCTGGGATGGCTGATGATCTGGATGATTCGTAAGTCCATTAGCCAGCCTCTGAGATTAGAACGGTTGGATTTTGGTTGAACAGGATGCGTCACTTAGATCACACGCCAAGACTGCTTTTGGTGCCAAAAGGCCACAGTGCAAGGCAGCCAGTCTCGTTGCTTAGTACCCACATTCAAGGGGTTGCCAAAAGGGCTAGTTCGGGACAACTCCATGCCAAGTTGGTAAATGATGACAGCTGCAAGACTATTTCCCTTAGGTAGGTTGGCCGTAAGAATCCTTCCACATTCATTCAAGTATCTGTGACTCGGTAATAGACCTCCAGAGATCCTTTTAATTTTCGTTCAGAGGTGTGAAGCAAGCAGCACCATCCATGTTAACCACAGTATAGCCAGTTATGGATGTTGACCAGTCTCAAGTGCTAGGTCTACCATGGCCTCGACAAGCCACGTGCGGCTATAGAGCTTTTACCAGGCATGTGATATATCTAGGATAGGTTAAGACACGGGAGAAGACCCAGCTGAGCCTTGGCTATAATAGTTCCACCCTATACTAGGATCAATCATTCAGAGGCAAAAGTCGCATAGCCAATCGAGTACACAAATTGATGTGATATCGATTTGCATCAGTAAACTCCACTACGGCGTAGAACACCTAAGAATACGCAAGAAATACATGATTGTTGCGGTGAATGTCTCGGATCTGTGACGGTGTGTCACAGTCACAGGAGAATGATGGCCGAAATGGTAAGCCCAGGGCTGGCTAACGTCAACTAAACCTACTCACAGCCAGCCACAACAAGCCACTTTCTAGCCAGTTTTCGCCCAGTTCCAGTGCGGGGTTCTTAACCCATGACTCGTTAACCAGTTATTTACTGTAAATACACCATTTTAGTCATAAGTAGTTTTATTTATAGGTTATATTTTGGTCGCAGTATCTTGTTACGTGTGTTGTTGAAAGCTGAGCATTAGTCGAAGGAGGCATTTATTATATAAGTGGACTTCATACCCTGAATTTCGTTTTAATCACTTAATCACCATTGTTCACTTAGATTACCCTACATCCACATACTTGGTATCTATATTGTGTTGTCCTGTGTATTCTTTTCCTTATCACTGTATTTCAAGATGGAGGGCCAAACCGGATTTCAGCCAGAAAATTCCAGTGATTCGTTTTCGCAAGGAGGCTTCCAGCAGGGAGGTTTCCAGCAAGGAGGCTTTCAGCAGACCGGATTCCAACCTGATTCTAACAAGGTACAGCTGCATATCCGAGCGAATTAATCATAATGCAATACAGTGGCTAATTAGTTCTCAATAGGGTTTCCAGCCACAAGGCCGTCAAGAAGTGCGAGTCGACGCTGCAGATCTTGAGGCTCTTAGAATGTCGATTGAGAGTGCAAAGGAAAAGATTCAAGAGGCTGAAACCGTACTTAAGAAGCTTGAATTCACGCCTGCTAGCTGCAAAGATCCAGGATTCTCCAACAGTGGATTTTAGACCCTTAGAGTGTTTTCAAGAATTGATTTATTGAACTATACAAGTGTTGAGATGCGTAATATTTATTTACTGCCTTGCCTCTATATCACGTTAGCATCGCTTTCAGTGCCAATCCTTATATATGAGCCAAGAAACACACTGTGAAGCATTTCATTCTATCTCCAAGTTCAGTATTCCGCAAGATAGATCTAAGCCACTTAAACAGTAGTCACCACTATACATAGTACAGTACTCCATAGATATTTCTCTTTCGAACTTTACTCTCAAGCCGCTATTCCATCCCGTGCCGACCCCACAATTGCCACATGGGCAAAGGTGTCGGGGGTGTCTGGGACATGGCGGAGCTGAGAAACGGAGGCTAGCTCGATTGGTAATAGTCATGTACCATAACTGAGCTGAACTGAGTGGAATTGAGATTCGACACCGGACACTTCCGAGAAGTGAATCATGCATTCGTATGATCTCAATCTATTCGGCTAATGCACCAACATTCTTGACATTCACATTCTTACGTCTTCCAACATGGCAGCCAGCCACAGTGAGCCAAACAGCTGACCGTAACCTAAATCTGAGCTGTTGAGTCTTGGTGATCAGACGATCAGTCATCCTAAGAGGGTCTACCTATTTATCCATCTCCCAATGCAGCATCTTAATCCTATATCATACTTGCTAAATATTATGCCTTAAACCTTTTACTGCCTTAACATTCACATGCTATATATGCTTTATTTGCAGTTGAGATATGTAGATAAGAGCTTATATCACTACCCAGATCCTAGCAATTGAGCCCACTGGCTACGGAAGCTGCTAGGCCCAGTCTAGCCATCTTAGAGCATGGCTTGCGGCCGGAGGTGTACCCCTTCTAATATGTCTTTTCCAAGAATCCCGAATGTAGTACTTAGGATCTACATTAGATGTAGCTAGTCATATTAGAATGATTAACCAACCCATACCTCATCAAGATAGTGACCGCCCCCCGAAATAGCGCACCCAAACCCAAACCGGCCGGAACATGCTTGCTCTCCCCATCGTTGGCCAGTCGGGTCGAACCAACGTGGTTAACATGCGGGACAGTAATTTCAGCTGATACAGGGCCGCCAATTCCGTATCCCCGGTCCATCCTTCTCATGGTAGAAGCAAGCATACTAGCGTAAGTTTAATTGTCACCTATGCTAGTTAGAGCTCTACATTGCCCCATGACAGCATTTGCCAACCTTTTCACAGCGCATTCATTAGCATGTGGGTTTGGTCTTATAACAGGCCAGGGGCCCCATCACACGCTACAGGCTTGTCAAAACATCAAAGCGATCGTCTTTGAGCTAATTTCACGAGCTGTTCTTTACGTAAAAGAGTCGAATCACTGATATTAGTCTAGTCATCATAAATGCCGGAAGGCGCCCGCAAGCCGAGCTGGCGTCTTTTTGTCTCAACGCAGCCAGCCACCAAGGTATAATCCGTCCACGTGAGTTATGAGAAGGTCTTGTGAATATCTCAGGCAGCCACAAACAGATCGTTTACAAAATCAATCCCTTCTATCAGAAACCAGTTCTTCCCACTTGGATGACTGTATACGTCATCCCGAGAGCTCATAGCCATTATCACAGATGACTTTAAACTACATTGGTTCTGGACTTCAACTTTTGGCCCGAGGCGCCTTGCACCTACACACCTGCAAAATTCGACTTGTCACAGTGACAACCGCTCGTTCCGAAGTCTGTGACATAAAAATCGTCAAAGAGATAACTGAGACATTGAGACTAGCATAAGCAAACTAGAAGTCGGCATCTTCCATTGGGAGGAACTTCTTCTCCTGGTGGAGCTCTTCCGTCTTAGCCTCGCCCAGGGTCTCGCGCATTCTTCTCTCGATGTTCTCCTTGAATCGCTGGACATCCGGATCCTCATCAACCTGTTCAACTCTCATGTGGATCAATTGAACCACATGGCGTAAAATGTCGTCGCGGGAGGTGTCGACGTCGTTTGTGCTAACGTGATAGTCGAGCGCCCTAGTGGCTACCCAAGTCCGTTCGATGACCTTTCTGTCCTTGACGATCTTCTCGTACTCTTCATTCATCTGCCAGAAAAGGCCATCCAAGCCCGTTTTGAGCTCCTCTACCAATGGGACCAACCTCTCCAGGTTGCAAAGGACATTCCAACAGTCATCCTCAGCCCTTTTAGCATCATCCCAATGTCTTTGGCAGCTATTGACATTTCGTTCGTTCACTCGGACTTGTTCGTCGATGTCCCCGCCACCTCCAAAGAACGAGGAGATGTCGTACCAGCCCTACACAGCAAAGATTTAGTATTAACTGGTTGCTCAAGTGATCATAGGAAATGCCAATGATACCACAAGCTCACTTACATCTCTCTTATTTCTTGCATCCCTCAAATCGCTTTCAGCAGACGCCAAACTATTCAAGCACCTCTGAGACGATTCTTTTGCCCTTTCGAGCGCGCCTCGTGCGCTGCGGACTTCCCCATTTATGTTGGTGAGGAGGGCAGTGATATCATCCTGAACTTGCTTGTTCTCCCCGCCATACTGAGTAGTATCTATGAACTCCTGACCAATGCGGTCAACAGAACCTTCACAGGACTTGGCCAGCTTGTGGAAGAGATCAATAGCAATCGGGAGCTGCGGCACAGCATCTTTGCCAATAGGGGATTCGCCATCGGCTATCTGCAGAAGCTGGGCGACTAAGTTCTCAAGTCCTTCAAAAGCGGCATCATTGGCCTTGTTCAGTAAAGCGGCAGCTTCAGTGAACAGAAAGCCATCTTCATCACGCTGCTCCTGAAGTCTTTGCTGGAACTTGGTCGATTTGGTCTGTAGATCGTGAAAAGAATTGAGATAAGTGTTGTACATCGTGAATCGGAAGTAAAAGGACTTTGAGGAACAAAAGATGTGAGATGTTCAAACATCAATACAGGTGGATAGAAGTTAGTTCTTTGACTGAGCTATGATTCTCTAGTCATATTATAGAGATGGAGTCCTCTTTCAACTAAAAGTTCTCAGACCAAATACGGGGCGGATCATCCTCAGAAGTTCGCTTCCAGTGACTGACTTTCTGTTGCCAAGTTCGTGGCACGGCCGAGAACTTTCATTCAGCTCGGATCTGTCAAGCCACTAGTTCGTCACATGGATAGAGATATCGAATCCAATACTCAACTTAATCGAAAAGGGATGCCATCTTATGGTTTTGCGTTGGATTTCTCCACTTCTTTATTGTGCCGCGTATCGGAAGGGCCGCCTTTGCCCCATCTCCTCACCGCCATCAATCTTCAGAAAGGGCCACCCACCAACCCTCTCAGATGGGGGGATTGAGATAAGGATGCATACCGCTTGTATCGACTACGTGGCGTGTCACAGAGTAGCTGAAAGTCCCTATGAAGGATGTGATAACTTCACAGTCGAGAACTGTTTTTAAACAGGCTATCGCCAAATAGCTTCATTTGCTATATATACTGTGGCTGGCTGAAGGCTCATTTTGGATCAAAAGGCTGGAGCGGCGCGGGAAGAGGTCTGCCGAGAAATGCAATGAATGCGTAACTCTGGCTGTGGCTGCCTGAACATGACATGGCAGATCCGACAGTCTCACGCTTATGATGAGGTTCCGCTGAGGATGAACAACTTCGAACATCTAGCTCTCATACAGAAGGACCTTACGATGTAGGAAATAGCTGAAGTCTACACCCTACCATAACTTGCGAAAGTCTGGCCTGGCTCTTCTCCAAGTATAAAGAGAACAGGTGTTGCTCATTAAATTCACTTCCAACAAGACTTGAATAACCATCACTACCCATCACTGCATCTTTTAACTTAAACTCCAAGAAATCATCTTTCTTCATTTCCCCAATACTACCATGTCTGCTGCTGATCTTGCCAAGGTTGAAGCCGCTCAACAGGCCGTCTTGAAGAAGACTCATGGTGGCAAGGCAGGAGCCCAGTTTGTTCAGGAGGTCAAGGAGTCTCTTCTCTTTCAGTACAACTGGAATGAGCTTCTTTCCGCAGCTCCGACTGCCATTACTTTGGTTGGTGCTTGCCATGTTGCTGCGGCTTCACCCGAAGCCGCAGCTATCAGCTTGGCTGACGCTGTCCCATCTGGAGGATTCAAGTATTTGCGGTTTGTCACCCTCCCCTAGTGCTTGGGGTATCCTGCGAAAGTATCGACCTAAACATCTCTAGTGTTGCCGTAAACCCTACTCTCAGGGCCTGTCTGGTATGTGTTGCCTCAGAAGGCGACAAGGCGTTTCGCATTGCGGGAAGTAACATGTCAGCTATCGCTGGCACGTCTTCTGAGCTCATACAGACCGTCGCTCGCACCGTCCAGGCCATCCAGGGTCTTCCGGATACTCAGCGGAACTTGACGAACGAACTTACGAAGCTGCGAAGGATGTCTAACAATTGCCTGAACTACGCTCAGGAAACCGAGAAGGCCTTTGACACCTGGCTTTTAGCTGTTTCTGAGTTCCATCAGGCTTCTGTTCAGAAGCATGGTACCACTGAGAAGGAGTCGCAAGACAACCTGTCGGCGAAGCTCCAGGCTGAGATTGAGGCAAGCTACACAAACAAAGAGCTTGATAAGGCCGATAAGGCTGCTGAAGAGATGAAGAAGTCGCTCGCCAAGCAGGAGAAGGCCTTTCAGGCGGCAAACGATGCTGTCCCATCTGGTAGGTGGACTTGCTCCCGCCCAATACTGTGACATGCAATGCTAACAAAGTCCTTTCGCAGCTTGGGAGACCTGTGCCATGGGTGCTTTAACTGCTATCACCTCGGCAGGGCCGTCACTTATTGCCCAAGCACTGCCTGCCATCGTCAATGCTGCCAACCCCATGTCTGCTGTCAATGGTCTCGTGGGCGGGCTGGCTCAAGTTGGTCGCCAGGGTGCTCTCAACGCTCCCGGCGCACCGCCTGTGGCCCAGGCTCTTCTCGGAGGTGATCAAGGCTCTCAGAGTGGTGGAGCAACTCTGCAGTTCAACGACGCAACTCCCGATACTGACCCTGCATACGTCGCTGCTCCTCTCCTTACTCCTTTCATGACTACGCTCTTGACCTACCTTACTGCTGGGGAGGGCAAAACCCCCGACTGGTCAAAGTTCAAGGACCAGACATCGAAGCAAGGATCAGGTACCGAGGGCCTTACTTGGCTCCTTAGCAATCTCCAGATGCAGCAGAAGTCTGCAAAGCTAGGCAATACTGAGCCTAGCACGGAGCTTTCCACTGCCTTCGACGCTAGTATTGCTATCGTGGAGGAGATCAAGAAGGAAGTCGCCAACCAGCAGAAGCTGAGCTCGGCAAAGACAGATCCAGCTGCTATCAAGAGGTGGCAAGACACAATTACCAAGGCGAAGCTCACTGTCACTAAACTTGAGGCTACAGCCAAGTCGTTCCCCGGCTCTTCCTCCAACGCACCCAAGTTGAACAACATATCCATCGATAAGAAGGACAACAGTGCCGTCACTGCCGCCCTTAGCACTGCTACTGAGAAGCTTGCCCTCAATCAAAAGGCCCTTGAGACCGCACAGGCCAACTACACCAAGGCTGTCGAAGCTGCTGCGGAGGTTCAGAAGAGATTGACTGGCATTCAGACTAAGCTCAAGGGTATCGAGATTGCTGGCGCAGCCCTTGAGCGTGTCAAGGAGATCTTGATTGAATGTATTGCGATCCTTGTTGAGCTCAAGGTTCAGATCAGCAAGCTTACTACCTTCTTCAATGCTCTCTCTACCATGGTCAAGGTCATTATTGACACCAAGGTAAAGAACTTCGACACTGATGCTACTGCTATCGGTCAGGAGGCTTCTCAGAGGGGTATGCTGAAGCTCAATGATCTTGATATTGAGACCATCTACATCTCAACCCTGCAGATCAAAGCCTATTTTGATCTCCTCCAGATGATATGCCAGATGTATACAACTGTGCACGCCCAATACGTCAGCCCGGGACTCGATCTTCTCACGGAGCTAAGCAAAGTCACCAAGACTGCAGAAGAGATCGCTCCCAAGCGTGATCAGCTCAACAACTTCACGGATGCTGCACATAAGGCTATAAATGAACTTGTTGCCCAGGTAAGCATTTGTACCTTCTTAGGGGTCTCTATCTTAATGAACACCACTAACATCCACTGCTTCCTCACAATAGAAGCAGCAGGAAATCTCAGACGGGCTCCAGAGCCGCATCGACGCCATTGCAGAGCAGACAGATATCCTGCACAAGGTCGGCGTTCCCATGCCTGCGGCTGGCATCATTCAGGCCATGAGGACTGGCGGTGAGGTAATCCAGGACGCAGTGAAGGACAACCTGCCCACTGGTATGCGTGTAGAGCAGAATGCAGACGCAGCATTCGACTTTTGAGTGGAGTATCCGCGATATCAGATAGGCTAGGGTTGAAGACGAATACAATCTTTTCTTGAAATTCAAATTTAACTCATCATGAACGTGAGATTTAAGCGTACTCTTGGATACGTTGCTGTGATTCACTTGTTAGCCTATGTGTGAGTATTGCGAGATCTCCGCTTAAAGCGGAGCGTTCCGCACGGCGGGATATCACACAGGCTCTTATTTGCATGCTGCCACCTTGTGATTTAGGCTATCAGATGCCAACACATTAATTAGTCGTCACTTGCAAGGTAACCCTAACAAAAACATTCCTCATTCCAAGCCGCACTACTACAGACTGCCCGTGGTACTGACCATCCATGCATAAGAGCATTACTTCTCACCCTCATCATGCTTCAGCCCAGCATCCTTCGCCTTCCTATCCGCAAGCTCACACAAAAACCTCCACTCATCACCACTGACTTTACTCACACTTAATCTCGACTGCTTAAGCAACTGCATCATCTCCAAAGGACCTCCAGGCTTTCCCAGCTCGCGAAGTTCCTTCAGACCAATAGGCACCGCGAACTTCTTCCTGAACTCCACGTGGACCAAGTCCCAGATGGGTTTCTCTCTGGTGGACTTGGGATCGTAATATGGTGCGCCTGGCCGACGAGCGGACCCTAGTAATGTTAGATAAGGGACATGAGGTGACGGGGATGGGGGACTTGCTGTCTTCTGAGAATTCTTTGACGATTTCCATTATGCCGACTATGCCGGGCTCTTTACAGTTACTGGCGTAGAAGAAGGCGAGATCGCCGGCGTTCATGTTTCGCATGTTATTCCGAGCTATGAAAGGTCAGCCTCACTTCAGATTATCTACTGAGCTTGAGTTCATACCAGCATACGCTCGAATGCCTATATCAAAGTCAGTCACCGAGATTTCTCTGACACATTGAAGAACATACCATCCCATCCTTCGGGCTCTGTCTTTGCCTTCAAGTCATCAATAGAAAACTTGACATCAACGCCATTCTCAATACGAGTCTCGGGCTCTGCTTTCATGAGCCAGTACCACTGGCCATCGTGCTTCGGAGCATCAGGATTAATTGTCGGGATGGAGTCGATATCTGGGTCTTCAGAGACACCACGAGAGCTAGACTGGGCAGATTCCTGTTTCTTGGCCGGCTTCTTTGCCTTTGGTGCTTCGGGCTCCTCAGTCTTTGTTCGTTTGGGTTGTGCTTTCTGCTTGTCTTGCTTCTTTACAGTCGTCGTCGCCTTGGCAACCTTCTTGGGCGGGCTTGCTTTAGCTGGGGGAGGCGCTTCAGGCTCGGGATTTCCTTTGGCAGCTTGTCGAAGAGATCTTCGCTTCGGTACAGCTTGCTCTGAAGCGTCGGCCGTAGGCGCACTTCTTTTTCGGGGTGGCATGTTGGGCTGTGAGTGTGTTGAGATTGGCTCCGTTGAAGGCCTGAACGCGCGACGCGTCTAAGTTGAGGCTTGAGGTCTCCGCACAGCCACAGTTTGCGCCACATCATCAAACACCCTGTACAGAAGCCCTCAGAAAGTTAAATCTCTCAATAGCTACAGTCAATGCTATCTTAAGGCCACTTTGACATATCCATCCTTTGCAGAAGGACTTTAACCCAATAATTCTTTTTTCGGGGCCTGAATCTACAACTTCTCATTCCTATGTTCCAAATCCGCGATGCGGGGTCAGCCAGCGAAGACGCTGATTTCATCACTGCAGCCTTTGACTCTTCTTTGCCATTTCTCTCCGAGACCGGCAACACTGGTCAATGGGGAACAATTCCGTTCTCTCAAAGAGATGGCTTCTTAGAAGGCACCCGGGACGATATCACACAATCAGAGATCTTCCGACTCAGTAGCCAAGGTCAACGGCGACGAGTTTTCATCGCAGAGATTGAGGAAACACCCTCTAGTGAAAATGTCGTGGATCTTTACCGCCGGAAAGATGATCAAACGGGCCAAACCTTTGTCTCCGTGGGCGCTGCGATGATTCTCGACGACGAATTTGCAAGTCACATACGTTCTGTTCCTGTCCTGGAGCCCTATATACCCACTGCCGAGAAACGTGGTGGCTTTGTGTTTCTGGACTTTCTTATCGCAGACCATCGCGTACCATCAGCTCAGCGTAAAGGTGCTGGGCTGGCACTGCTAGAGCATGTCAAAGCCTACGCGTGTCAACATGAGAAGCTAGCCATTTTCCTCGACTGCTGGACAGGAGGTACAGACAAGCTAGTCGCGTACTACGAAAGCGCTGGCTTCAGTCCGGTGGCAGACTTTGAGTATCATAAGAGAAATGGGGATGTATGGCCTGGTAGGCTATTTCGACTTGATTTGGCACCTACACTAGCTTGATTCATGATACTCGTGATCTAACAAACGGTCGATAACGCATAAGTCTTCTTAACCACGTTCGCGGTGACGCTTCTAAGAGAGAGCAGTATTTCCATTACTTCACAGTCGTAACATCATTTACAGTGGAACATATTTCCTCAGCCAGTCCCCCATAACCCCCGTCGCAGGGTAATCCCCATCCCCAAGCCTCAACAACATCTTAAGATGCCCCTCAAACCCCTCCCCCTCAAAAACACGCAACTCCACACTCGTCCCCGCCGCCTTGAGCGCCACAGCCAACTCAGCCGCCTGCCGAATGCCACCTTTCCTCTGACAATGCAGCAGCAGAAACGCCCCCGCGTTCGGTGCAGCTGCGTGATGCGTCGGCGACATGTCCTCCAATTTCTTTGGGTCGTCGCTTAGTCCTTTGATCATATTTGTGATTATGGGACCAGTGCTGTCGGAGAATTCTGCTAGCGCGTTGTAGTTTGAGCCGTCGAGAGCGATGACGCCTTTGAAGACGGAGATGCTGAAGCCGGACTTTTGAGCATAGGTTGGGTCGGTACCCAGTAAAGTGACGACGTGTGCGCCTGAGCTGTGGCCCATGAGAACTACACGCTCTGCATCGATGCCAAGCTCTTCAGAATGCTTGATCAAGTACGCCATCGAGTCAGCGATCTCTTGCACCTGCTCCTTCACAGTGATCTTTGGGATAAGCGTGTAATTGATCGATGCAAAGGCATAGCCAAGGTCGTTCAGGTAGCTGACTTTCTTTGAACCCGTTGAGTCGAGATAAGTACCGATTGTCCAACTCCCACCGTGGACATACACGATAACAGGGGCCTTGGTGGAACTTGAAGTCGGTTTCCAGAGACGAAGGCGTTGAGCTTCTCTTTCTCCGTACACAATGTCTGTTCCGCCTTGAGGAACGTCTGAGTTCATTTCAGCCAACAATGCGTGTACTCTGTCCATGTTGATGTCATCGTTGGTGTCTTTGTATATAGAAATGCCGGTGACCTCAAGTCCCCGGGCAGCCAAGTCCTGAGGACTCAACTTCGATGCGCTGGGTGTCTCTGAAGAAGTCATTGCTGAAGCTCTGTAACTTTAGAATAAGAAGAGTGAATTAAGTAGTTTGTGAAGAAAGTCAAGGTCAATTCCACTGCGCAAACCAATCTATTCATAGTATTTCCTCTTCTCCACTTTGTTCAAGGTCCGCGTAACATCGCAACGTAAGAAATCCAGCTACCTAAATAAATCCAGATGCCTGGTCAGGCAGACGCATGAACCAAACAAAGGGTCCTTACTCGACTTCCAAATTCGGTGTGGCCTGGAGCGGTTTCGATTTGCTTATCTCCATCCAGTTGCCGTATACCCGGGGTCCCTGGAACAAGTAAATCCACCAAACCAAGGCGTCAATTTAGCCTAATCCATCTGCGATAAGAACCTCCAACGCGTATAAAACCAATGGCGTGACATGTTTTCTCTGTCAGCCCGGTATCAATAACAGAACAGTCGAATAAGCAATTTTCGTCAAATCCAACCAAACTCCAATCATGTCTTTTCATCTTTTCTCAGCCCTGCATCATCAGGATGCTCTCAGTAAACTCAATCACCGAGCGAAGCTGCTGTAACTGCCCGCCCTCGAGCAACATAAACTCCTGATGGTTATTAATCATCTCCTGCGAGAAATCACAACCATCCTCTCCCGGTTTCGCATCAACGCCCAGCTCATCCTGAAAATCCTGCAGATGCGATGAAATATGGCTCAAGACATCTGGATCCAGCGTCAGGAATTGAGCATACGACATGGTCTTGCAAGAAGACGAACCCATGTCTGACTCGATCCAGTCTGAGGGGTTGTTGGTCAGCGCTTTTGAGATGGCTGTGGTGATGCGCTTGAGGGACTTGAAGACTAGTGGATCCGACACGTTTGGCAATGCGGAAGAGTCTTTTAGTCTGGAGAGAAAGATGTTTATCATGACGAAGTGGTCTTTCATGGTGTAGAGCTCGTCGCGGATCTGGCGGACTTTGGGGTTCGGTGGTTGGTATGGCTTTTTGTGAGGTCGGTCGGGCGGTGCTGCCGGGGGGAAACCCATGTGCTTGGTTCTAAACTCGTCACAGTCCCTAGAGCATGTCCATCAGCTTCAGAAGATACTTGTTTGGAAGAGGGTTGACTCACGCTTTCAGAATGGGCAGAAAATCTGTAAAAAGATCCATAATGTCTTCTAACGCCTCGAGGCCCCGAGCTAGCTCCAAATTGGCATGCAGAGGGATATCTGCCGCTGTTAAACGCCTGTCAAGATCTGCTGGTGGAGCAACACTCGAAAGAGTTTCCTGCGTTTTCAGAACAACCTCCTTCAGCGTCGACAGGGCTTCCCATGTATCGGGGTTCATTGGAATGTCTATCAAGGTCATGTTGGAGCCCTTGGCAGCCCAGTGCTGAGCGTAGACCTCAAGCATCTTGCCAAGGTCTGCTGTTTGTGCGCAGAGCTGCGTGCACGTCGAGCAAATCAAGCTCATGGTAGAGATTGCATTTCCTCCGATGTCATTCGCTAGCTTGGCAACGGCGCCGAGGGATACAGTGGCGTCGTGGCAGGCCTGGTGATAATCGCTGGGATTCGGATGGGAGGGTGAATCACAAGGTGCGCTGGCCTCCACGTCCGTGATCTGCTCATCGCGTTGTGGCTCAGGCTGCTGCCGTTGAAATTCAGGGAAGAACTCGACTGTGCGATCTTTTGGGGGCAACTCAGGCAACGGCCGTGTAGATGGCGACGATTGATTTGGTGGATCGACATGGATTCTTGCATTGGGGTCTTGCGCGGGGAATGATTGCTGTGCCTGGACGATTCTGGACTGCTCGAGGGCGTTATCTCGTAGGCGAAAAGCGAGTTGCGGGTGTGATATGGGATTCGATGGGCCCGCGTGGGATGACACGACGACGTGCGTCGGTAGTGCAGGGATCTCTTGCGGGGAAGGGGACGGGGATGGCGACGACGGCCGTGAATCGAACGAAATGACGGATGCAGCGCTCTCGACTTCAAGCCAGTCGTCGGCGATAGAATCTCGACGATTCTGTGACATTTTGGTGATGGTTTGATACAAAAGCTCACAAAATTCGATGGAATGAAGGGGAACTTTTGATGGTTTTGAAGGGGAGGATGAAGAGAGTTGGGGGAAAAAAGAGTGTTGCCTTTCAGCCTGGATTAGGCAGACGTCGCGGGTTGCATCGAGGCTGCGGTGGTCAGCCCTGTAAAGTTCACTCAAGCCATTAGGTCAGCAGTTTGCCTGGCTCATCTTTGGAGACGGGAACCCATTTTGAGATACAACTTCCATTCAAGAGACACTATTCGTCCAAGGAATATCATGCGTTTTGATACTGCCAATGAGTAATAGTATTGGGGAAATGGATGAGTCAGTAATGGAGTCACCTTCAATCCAGGACAGGCAGAATTATGTCCTTTGCGGCAATGACGCTTGTTAATTGGCCTGTTTAGGATGGACATGCTTCATCACCCAAGAAATGCAACAATATCATTTGGTAGGCGTCAGGCCCTTAGAAGGCTCATGCGCCATTGACGATATCAGCGCTGCGATATTGGTAGCGCGTCGTCAGTCGTGATCTAAAATTAGTTAGCGTCTTGCATGGAGTCCATCGGTTGATTCATAGCGCCAACCTTACGAGATTCCCGCTTTAGTCCCTCTAAGCCAGCACTACATTCATTTCTCGGAATAATTATTGTTATTGTAATTTGCTTCATCGCTTATTGGGCATCGCCATGTTTGTACGACATTGGGTAGCATTGTGGCTTGCGGGGTAAGTCAGCCCAACGAGGCTCTTACCTGAGGCCTCAACTCAAAACAAGCGGTCGGCGCAGGTTAACTTTCAACTCACCACCGAAATCGACCCTGAGCATTTGGTACACCGCTGTGAAGTAAGCTTCTCGAAGAGCACGTCACCCGAACCAGCAGAATGTCGGGCCTCGAGCCACTGGCGGCCCTGGGCCTTGTCTGCAACGTCCTTCAATTAGTCGAAGTTGGACTCAAAACAGCCACTCTCTGCAAAAATGCCTATCGCACTGGCGAGCCTGATCCAGAACTCAGCGTTCACGCCCAAACCCTCGCAGAGACCGCTTCGAGTTTGACTCAGTCGCTGGAAGATTCACAGCAGCCTCTCAGCTACGATGACTCGAGACTCTTGACTCTAGCTCAGAACTGTCGAGATGCCGAACAAGAGTGGAGGAAGAAAACTCCAGCTCGCTTCCTTTCTCAACAAAGGCCTCGCAAACGAGCTCGCGTCGGAGCAGTTCTTCAAGGCATCGTCAACAAGCCAGAAATCGATCGTCTAGAAAGTCAGTTGCAGAAAGCCAAAGAGTCTATGGAGACAGACCTTCTTGTTGGGGTCTTTAAACGTCTCGACATCTCTCAGGTTGAGACAGATGACCTCCAAGACAAGCTCCAGAACCTACTTCAGGCAACATCTACCAGTGAAGCAAAACTTCATAACCTCGTAAAAGCACAAGTAGCCCTGGTCAATACGCAGTTATCAGACCGCATCGATCAAGCCGAAGCATCTGCCAAGACTCATGTGACAGCAGAGCTTGCTAGTCATGAGTCGAGACTGAAGTTACACGCCGACAAAGGAAAAAACACTATTCTGACAGAAGCTGAAGCGACTGAAAATATTCGGAGAGAGAATGAGGCTTATGAACGACTCTTGCGCAGCTTCCAGTACTCCGATATGAATCGTCGACGAAATGAGATACATGCCTCCTATGGGTCGACCTTTAACTGGCTATTCGAGGGGGAGTTTGAGGATGATTATCCGGAATCAGAGGCGTCCCAATTCTCCTTTCAATCAGACCCACAATCAGACTCCGGGTCTGAAAATGAGGCAGACTCTTATCCTCAAGAACTGGCTCGCAGCAGCTTTTCGGCATGGCTCAAATCACCCGAAGCCCGTTATTGGATCAGCGGCCATCCCGGAACCGGAAAGAGTGTTCTCATGAAGTTCATCATGTCCCACGAACAAACAACGGATTCATTGAGGGAATGGCAGCCTGAAGTCCAGATTCTATCTCATTTCTTTTGGAAGGTGGGCAGTGCAATGCAAAGTAGTTTCAAGGGCTTCTTGTGTTCTCTCGTCTACCAACTGTTCTCTTCGGATAAAGAGCATGCCACGGGCTGTCTCGAACAGAACCCCGATTGGTCTCGTAAGGCCGGACCTGGCGATTGGGACAAGGATGACCTCCAATCCTTAGTTCACAGTCACGCAAGGCAGTCCGCTCGACCTTTCTGCCTTTTCATCGACGGACTCGATGAGATTATGGATGATGAAGGTGTAGGGACCCTAATCGACTTTCTCGATACTCTGGAAGAACCGCCACGTTTAGTCAAGATCTGCATGTCAAGCCGTCCAGAATCAGCCATACGAATGCGGTTGGGCCGGAATGCCGACATAAAAATGCAAGATTTAACACAAAATGACATCGAGCAGTACGCACGGGCTAATCTGAAGAAGGAAGTTTCTCTGACAAACTCTTGAATGTGTATCGAGAATCTTGCAACGTATATCAGCTACAAGGCGGAAGGGGTATTTCTCTGGGCTGTTCTGGTGACAAAATCAATTGCACGTGGTATCTCGAACGGCGACTCAGAAGAATTTATCCAAAGAAGGCTTCGGAAAACTCCCAAGAAGCTTCACGAGCTATACCTTGATATGTGGATGAGGCTAGGCGAGGACTCAGATCTTTATCAGCGTTCGACTGCACTCATCTTCAAGATTGTCCTCTTCAACTGGCGATCAGCCCAGAAAGACAAAGCATTTCATTTCCCACTATCCATTTATCCAGGTGCAATATCTATTCTGGAATTGATATTGGCCTCAAGTGACGATCTGTGGTCCACGCCTGTTCGAGAATTTGATAAGCTCTCTGCCACAGACCTTGAGCAACGGTGCAAGGAACTATTGACCGGGTTGCCATCCAGAACGGCCGATCTCTTTAAATTCGTTCAATCTAACGGCCTCGAAATATCAGATGAGAAACAATGGGTTGACAAGTCACACTCCTATATGATTAGTTATGACAATCTACGGGTAGAGGCAGTTCATCGAACAGTCTTCGACTTCCTGATCGAAACAGACGATGGAAAGAATATTATGGAGCACCATAAGGCGTCTCAAGAAGAACTTTTCATCAGACTGTTTAGATCGCATCTTCTTCGAAATTGTCTGTGCCCCCGAGATCGATACACAAACGCTCAGAACGAGGAGGATCGCAATTGGTTGTCAGAATGGCAACACCTAGATAATCAGCTCCAGTTACTCTCATATCACACCGACATTATCAACGGTTCGACTTTAGTCGAAATGCTAGATCTTTTATGGGCCTCTTTTATCCAAATGACTAAAAGTCTCCCAACACACCCAGACCCACGTTCAGATATTGTCAAGCGGGCATGTAAGTTGCACTACTTACTGCGCATTGTTCCTAGGGGATTCGACGATTATATGAGAGTTTATCTCATCGAATGGGAGAGTACTCGACAATTCGATGCGCTTTACAAGGTTCTAATTGCTTGCCTTAAATCAGATACTTTCCTTTGTAGTGACTTTGCATGGACCGGAAGGCAACGTCTTATACAACGCATTCTTTCGATTCTTGTTTCTCATAGATTCCATATTTCGACTCCGAGTGGTCAGCAACTAAGCAGCGATACTTTGGTTAAAGCCAGCATAGCGTGCTTTCTTATCTCTGCCGTCAATACTTTCCGACACTTGCAGTGCCAGACCTACCCCACATCCTCTTGGGCTCATAGAACTAGCGTCATTCTCAGAATGCTTAGGGACTTCCGTTCTTCATTATGTCTCGGAGATCACATCCTTGTTACATTACACGTGAACGAAGCCTGGATGGGGGATCGACCAATGTTCAGCTGCAGACGTCACCGAAATACTGAAACGGCCATTTACGTGGAAATCAGCATGTCCATGCTTGTTCAGATCTTTTTGCAACAAGCAGTGCAGGACAGTACAACTTACGACCGTCATGAAATCGAAGATGCCCTCAATCTGAAGGATTGGCCCCAGACTATAAAGTCAGCCATGCTAGGTGTGGGTGACTACTTTGTGGAACTATCTAGCACGGATGTGCCCATTTTTCAAAGGTACTGTCACAGGCGACTAGTACCTGCACTTTTCAGTCGACCAATTGAGGACTTGGAGGATACAGAATGGTGTAAGGAAAGATTAGCTGAGGCTCGGCGCGATATAAAAGAAATGAGTTGCCGTGGAGCAGCACAGGTTCATGCGGCAAATGAAACAGAAGCGTGGATCGGTCCGAACGGGATGAACTTCAACCTTTGCAGCTCTTGCGAAGCAAGAGAAAGTAGTTAAGGCTATAGGTCACATTGCTCTGTTATTTAGTAACGCTTTTTACAAGAATACAATCTCGTAGAGGTGCTCAAGAGCATGGGCATATCATTTGTTCTCGACATGTATACTAGTCAAATCAAATATTGCGGGACATCATGCGTAACCACCTTTGACTAGGGGTGTTACCTCCCTTCAATCATCTTCTAACATAGACAGTGTGGTTGTCAGATCCTGGTAAAAACCACTCCAGCCATCTGGTAAACTTCCACTATCAGACGCCTCGCGCTGGCTCTCCCCCGAGGGTTCCTCTTGGAAGATGCTAGTAAGTTTCTCCTACGTTTCAGAAGAAGGTTCCTTAGACACCATACCCAGATCAACTGAGTAAGCACTAAAGAACTCTCGACTCCTACAACTTTCACCCTGAACCTGTTCTAGTAGCCGCTGTATAATAACTACTAAAGGAACACCCTATCGCCTCGTCACGACTATCCGGTTATCCACTATGCCACTGGCAAAGGGCATGTAGTGGGCTAGATGGTGATAGCCGCGTATTCAGAGTAGAAAGTAAAATCGTAATTCATTGCTGGATAAACCTCGTGGACATGATTCACACGGCACTGTACACCTGGAAGTTCAATGACCCCCCAAGCAGCTGCGCATGTCGCTCTTTCAGCACATTTATCTCTTATGTCCAGCCTACTTTGTGAGGAGTCGTCCGATTCCCCATACAATTGCATGCGCTGAGCCATACTGGCATTAACTTCCTACGAACGACGTCCCACTTAATCCTTTGCTAGCGTACCTTAGTCAACGTCATATTCATCAGGGACGCCGCTACCACAGCCGTGAGACAGTCAATGCCCTTCTCATCATCATAGATCCGTAAGGCCCCTTCCAAGAACTTGGTAGGTAAGGTAGCGGCTATCGGTTTACAGTGGGTATCTTTATGTGGACCTGGCAGTTCTCAAGACTCACAATAGCCCCAACAAAAAGAGCGTTGGCCAGTATTCTAGAGCACAAGTTGGTCTCTACATTGACCAGGTCATCATATAGAAATGTATCGGTGTCGAAAAGGGTCGACCAGGCCTGATTCGTGTTGAGATATAAGGAGATGGCCTCCGCAGCGAATTGGCTGCTTATGAGGCTGCTTGTTTCGCCCGAGATATCCATATGATGAAGGCGAGAGTCGATTAAAATACAGTTCTCAACGCCAAAGGATGTTCTGTCTAACAAATCATGCGGTTGGACCACTGTGTTAGCCGTTACGCTCTAAACACCGCCGAGGAGAAGGTTCGATAGCCCCAGGTCTTCAAATATGTTGGCGTTCTGTAGCTCGATGCTGAGTAGACCTAAATCCAGAAAATCTGCGCCGACAAGAGGGCCACGCTCACGTTGAGCTTTTGCTGTGAGTTTGCGTAGCAGTGTCCTCCTTTCTGGCGGAGCCATCGTAGCTAGTGCTGCGGTTAGATGGGTTGCCATAGGTCAGATTTGTGTGACGGGAGGCTTTCCAGCCAAACTGAATCAGAACCTGAGCCTCCTCTGCTTCTTATTGGCTGCTTTCGATATGTATATTCATCACTAAATACGGCTGGAGAGAGACATAGGTTATCACACTGAAAGACAATAAGACAGGTTTTTCCATAAAATCAAAACAATGTAACATAGGGCGCAAAGTTCAATTCTTGGAGAAATTACAATAAAGGAATTGACAATATATCCACAGGAAAACTAATACAAAAGTGGACCTGCCTTCCATCAGGGCTCAAGAACTTAACAGGGAGCCCAGTAGTCTGCAACAAGCGAGCACACAGTCTTAGTCTTGCACATGCGGTTGTTGTAGCCCGGATAGTAGCCCTTGCAGAAGTCGGCAGTGAAATACTCCGGCGTATAGTCTGAATACTTGTCGCTAGGGTAGCACTAAGTATCGCGTTGTTAGCAAAGCATGACATTCCAGGGGCCACAAGAGCGACTTACAAGCTCCCCACCGTCGACTCTTTCGGCGCGGCCGCGAATATACCCGCAGTAGCCGTTAACCTTGGTTTTACCATCGGCGTTGATGCAGGCGCAGGCTTGCACCTCTCTACTCGCAGTCGCGCCAGGGACTGGTGCAGGAGTGGCCATGATGGCGGGGATGGCCAGAGCGAGGGTAAGAAGGGACTTCATGATGATTGATTTTGTATGTTTGCTGATAGTACTGAAGGAGTGCGATTTGCATTCAATAGAAGCGCTTGTAATAGTGACACGGTGAAAAAGTTTAGTGTTGACAAGATAAGTATTCATGTTAAACGATATGATGGACACCGGCTTGGCAAGAGGTTTATTCAGCTATTAAAGAAAGCTATAGTAACCATTACAAAGATATATTCAATACTGCTTTAAGCATTCTTCTTATAATACACCTCATAGTTTCACTTACAATGCCTCATTACATGGATGACTCTCTTGGAATAAACCTAACGAGATTGCACCGTAACTCATTTCTGGCAGGCATAAACCGCAGTATATAAGTGTCACATCATGAGCTCGTTACTTATTACTGATAGAAAAGCCAAAGCGAGTATGTAATGATTAACTGCCTGCCACCGCACCTTACCGCACCAATTAAAAGCTTACAGAACAGTCCTCAAAGGCCGTCAGACATCCGAGGGCGCGGGGTTATGCATACACAACCTCGGTCTGATACCACGCCAGGTTTACAATACAGAGTTGCATTATAGAACAGCCAGAATTAACTGCATTTCTGAATACGCTAAACCCAATTCTCCAAGAATTTTCAGGACGGCAAAGGGTCGATCCGTCGTTTGTCATGTTCTATTGAGGGTCCGGAGCGAAAATTGAGTTGCTCGGTATAATCAATCGGATCATATCATGGCTAAATAAGCAATGCTTGTTGTGAGTAACTGGTCTAAGAGTATCAAAAAAAGAAAGATTATTGTCATGTATCATTACTCGGTGCATTTAATATCACGTCTAAATGGGGTCTGAAGAGTGTTTGGATTTTATATTGTACACGAGCTTGACTTCTGCAAGCACATTCACTATTATCTACATATAAAATAAGCCTGACCTTTCAAAAGATCAATCTTCCTCCATCAACACATCCAGTTTCTGCCATATGTATCTCAGATAACTTAGAACTGGCGAGCGTGACGGCGAACCTTCTTGGAGGCACCGTTCTTGGAGCGGAGCCAGTCAATGAAGGTGTCAAGAGTAAAAGTCTTGGGGAGAGCACCATCCTCGGAACCTTCCTCCTCAGTGACAGGGGCCTCAGTGGAAGGGACCTCAACGGCCTGAGTAGCAGCAGCAGCGACAGAGGTGATGAGGCTGGTGGGCGCGACAGGAGTGGGGGCAACGGGGGTAGGGGCAGAAGGAGCTGGAGTCGAGATGGTTCCGTTGGAGGGGGTGTCAGGGACAACGGGCTTGGTGCCAGAAGCAGAACCGTACAGAGCAGGTCCAGGAATCTCGTAGGTGGTTGAACCCTTGTAAGGGTCGAAGAGAATGCCAGGCTCAGAGTCGGTGTAGAGCTCAGTGGTCAGGGTACCCTCAGGGTTGTCGGTTCCAGAGCCAGTGATGTCAATGTTGAAGCACTGGGGGTAGTTTTGAGCACCATCCTTGGAACCAGCACCGTGAAGAGCAATGATCTCATGACGGAAGACGTAGCTACCTGCAGCGAGAGTCTCAGGAACAGTGGTAGTCCAGGTGTTGTTGTTCTTGATGAGATCGGCAGCAGCCCAGGTTCCATCCAGACCAGCAGCATCGATCTTGACCCACTTGAGAGTAGCAGGGTCAGCAGAAGTGCACTTTCCAGAGCACTTGGCAACGTAGGTCAGAACGGGACCAATGTGAGACTCGGGCCAAGCCGACCACTGAAACTCAACGGTACCACCAGCCTTGACGGACATGGAGGTTTTACCAGGAGCAGCCTTCTTGTGGCAGGCAATGTCGGAGGTGCCATAGTCGGAGGGGGGAACGAAGCCGTTGTCGAGGTTCTCAGCGGACCATGCAGCAATGGTGGGGATCTCGCCGCCCTGCTGAGCCTTGTAATAGGAGCTGAGGTCATAGCCGGCCTGGTAGGTTCCGTCGACCTTGATACCAGTGACAGTTCCGTGGGCGAGGGCGACGGAGGCGAAAGCGCCAGCGAGAGTAGCAGCGACCTTGAAAGACATGTTGATTCTTTGAAAAGAGAGAATTGGTGAAGGTGGTGAGAAAAAGTCAGGTGAGAATTTGAGAAAAGAGTGTAATAGACCAGCTTCACACAGTGAAGAGAAAGAATGGAATGGAATGTAGAAAAAAGAGTGAATGCACTGCACTTGAGATGAGAAACTAAGCTGAAGAAACACAAAACAAGACGACAAGAGTTTCACGTTTATATATGTTTCTTCACCATATTTCGTGATCGACCAGCTCGTTATCGCCCGCCAAGAGTCATCTCATTTCACAGTGGTGGAAAAGCACGTCGTCTCAGCTTCGTGGAGCCGCACGCCTTTTTCGGATAAGGCCCCGGCCCCAAGCGCGCGGTAATAGGCCCAAGCTCCAGGGACTGTTACAGCTTCAGTTGGACATTCAAGGTTAATTGTTTCTGACTTGGCTAAGTTCATCTGATGTCTGGGTAAGATGCACGTGGAAGGCCTGAGACGTTAATTTAATAAAATTTCCGCCTATCGAACTAATCGTTTAAGCTTATTTCTGGGTCCTGCGTCTGTTGGTTGTTGCTGACTGGTGCTTTGGCGGATTTTCGCATTGGGCTAGTCAGGGGAAATGATGCAATCCTGTCTTCTGTGGTTTCGTGTATCGGAATGTGGGAGTTCTTGGAGAGACACTGTTGAATCGCTTTATTCTGACAGTGGGTCTTCCATGAGAAATTTTAAGCACTCGATGCCAATCAACAAAGACTCAAGGAAAGGTCGTTAAGTTCTCTGTGCTGATGTACGTTATAAGCCAAAAGTCTCAACTGTAAATGACACTCAGCTCACAACTCATACATCAAGTAAATGCTGCAAAAAGCTCCAATGCCTTTGCTAAATATTCCTGCGGTTCTGAGTCCGAAATTCTTTCTTCAAGACTTGTGCAGCCATTTGTTGTTGAAGATCTACGTTTCATCGCCAAGACTGTCGGTCATCAATCTGATCGCCCCTAAATCTTTACGCGGGTTGAGTCCTTGTACGCGGTTAACCTGCCCCTGTACCCTGTATCTGTCTTCTCACCTGGAACACCCCCTAGCTTGGCATCGCAAGGTCTGGAAACGAGACCCCTGATTACTGGCGACAATCTATTCACCTGTACGGAGTAAAATTGACCCTCATATTGGCATCCCTTCAGATACTCCATATAAGAACGCAGAATCAGTACCCTATATCGTGTTGCTTGCAGTTAGTTAAGACTCATGGTTAAGAGCTTAAATCAGCAGAGAACATAATACATTAAGAGAGATAACCTAGAGGCCTAACATTCTATGTTGCTTACGCTTGAATGTTGATTCAGTGTTATATTATTAGTAAATGCAACTGATAGTTCTCATTCGCAGATGTGATTTGATAGGGGATTGTAAGATAAAAGAGATGTACAGCTTTGATAAGGCGTTCCAATGTTCCCTCTATGTGTTGCTCAATGATATTTACAACTCTCTCTGCTGTAGCCGACGTGCGGCTTTCTATTGTGTCCTGACTAAGCGGTTATGATAAAATAACTTTTATAGTTAGACCCCTGCATCGGAGTTCGGAAGATGGACTCGACAAACCTTACTCCAAGATAGGTCTTAACCTAATGATAGACCAAGAAGCGAGTATTACACAAAGGGTTTCCGGAGAATACAGAGATCAGTATGAAGCTGTATTTATAGCGGCTGAATGCCTAAATCGTTCAGCATTCGACCCGGTATCTGGGTGACGTATTTACTAGATGTCAGATGTGCCGGCTTATGGCGCGGGAATTGTCTTGGCCCACATAAACAGTCTCCTTATCTGATCAAGGTTAGACTGTTACGTCAGAGACATTCAGCTTTCGCTGGTTTTCGATGTCCGGCGCGGAATGTGACAGAAGAGCCTTCCATCGGGTAAATGGGATATTTTACGTTGAATGCGAAAAGCTTATATTGCATAAATACCGTGGTTGGTGGTTCGAAACGTCATTAGATAAGCGGGACATTTAACCAAATCATTTTTCCAGAGCATTGTACGGAGTACTGATAACTTTCCACAAAGATATCATCGGTCAGTTCGCAAAGCGCATGTCTTGAGAAAACAGATGTATTTTCTCTAATCATATGACTTTATGTTTAATTGAGCAACTCAGCAAGTTTTCAGTGTAACATTTGAAGGCTTCTGTTTGTATACGGATAGTCGGATCCAGAGCCCTTCTTCAACCGAGATTCGGGAAGTCCGGAATTTGTGTCTTAAAACTTTATGCCGGTTTTCAAATATAACCTCAACGTCCAACTGGTTAAGAATGGACCCCCGCGGACACCGGGTGGATAATGTCATGATCAGTCCACATATTTATACCAAAATGTCTCCCATTATCCTCCATTACATCCTCATGCAAGCAACATCCTCGCTAGCGAGTAAATACATTGTTTACAAGCATTATTTTGCACCCTAATTCAACCACGACTTCACTCCATATTTCTCGAAACGATCTGGACCGAAACAAAACCAGAGCCACCTTTTCGAAATGTCCAACATTACGGATGCGTCGGAACCGCTCACCCAAGAACAATACGATAAACTGAGGTCAGGATGTCAAAGTCTGATAGAAGGGATCGATACTTCCTACGGCTACGTCCCGACCCTGGGTGCTGGAATTGCCTTCTGTGTTCTTTTCGGTCTGAGTCTTTTTGGCCACTTTGTGCAGTTCGTTAGGAAACGTCGATGGACATCGCTTGCCTTTGGAGTCGGAGCCTTGAGTATGTCAAAATACCCTTCCAGGATCTCGAGCGCAATCAAGAAGAGGATATACGTTACTGACACTATCAATTAGCTGAAGTCATTGGTTGGGCTGGTCGAACGTGGTCGAGCGAATGTCCCTACAATGACAACGCGTTCTTGATGCAGATTACAACTCTCATCATCGCCCCGACCTTCATCACGGCAGGACTCTACGTTATACTCGGCGCTCTCATTAATCGTCTTGGTCGTGAATCTTCTGTGCTTGGACCTAGAATGTACGCCATTGTGTTTTTGTCATGCGATATCATCGCTCTCATTGTACAAGCTGTTGGGGGAGCTATGGCCTCTACTGAGTCGGACAAGATTGACGGTGATACAAGGCCGGGAACAAATATCATGGTAAGCTTCATAGTCTCTTTTTTCTTTTTTGGTGGGGAAACGAAGCGACAGTAACTAATTAGAATGATGTGATAGGTCGCTGGTATCGTCTTCCAGATGGCAGCCATGGTGGTTTTTGCTGTCCTGGTTATCGACTTTCTGAGGAGAGTCTTTGTCAAGAGATCTTACTTGCAGTCGAGGAAGCAAGGCATGTCCGATGGTAATGCTTTGCCTAAAACTTATACTTGGCTTTTGGCTGCAGTCTTTATATCCTTGACCATGATTTTCATCCGAAGTATCTACCGAACTGTTGAGCTTCTACAAGGCTGGAGTGGTTACCTGATTACCCACGAGGGATACTTTATTGGTTTAGATGGTGCCATTATGGTTGTGGCTATAGCGGTTTTCAATTTCCTCGATCCGGTCTATCTGCTTTGGGGGCAGGATGATAAACTGGCGTCATCTCTTGGACAGAATGAGCTAAGGGGGGCGGGAGATATCAGTATGGAGCGCTGGGATGAGTCTACTATAATGTCTGACTAAGGCAAGGAATTAGCCTCACAGATATCTAAAGGGAATAGAGGTACTTAAAAGGTTTATACAGTATAATGGTTAATTATATTATTATTAATAACGTCAGTCATTGTTCTGTCTCGTTACACTTTATCACTGCTTGATCTTATAACTCGAAATAGGCTGCCATCTGAAAACCTCAGTTTCGACCAATCTCTTCTCTATACGTATCTTGCTAGCTTTGAAAAATGGGCTAACTACAGCACGACCTATTGACTGTCGATCTGTGAGTTGTGTTACAATAACTACGCGATCATTGGATAAGAAAAGCCCTCTTCGCCATGCATGATTCAGTTGACAGCCCAAGCCAATCTCATTTGCTCGAATTTGCTAGGCGCGAGCAGGGGTCTTTCAGCTTGTTCTACGAGTATGCAGTGTGAACAGAAGCCAAGGCGGGGTTTATCTGCTTGCATTGGCCAGCTTCACGAGAAATGTCGCGGTGTCCGATTTTGTGCAAGATCAATTCCCTTCTTTGTTTCCCCTTCTGTTTTCTGATTCTTTTCATCTACGAATCCCAGTTTTGTTCTCGCTGTACCCGCATCAACAATTCTCATGTCTTCACACCAGTATTGGTCAACATATCACTACAAACTCACGTTCTTTCATCACAAAGACAGTATGGCATCTAGCAATCCACCGAGCTCCTCTGTACCCAGTCCTTTGCCGCCGCAGGTTTCTCCTCCGGAAAATGAAGCTGAAACCAGACGATCACCAACCACTGAATACTCAGTTAAGGTCGCTTATACAAGCAGATAACATCGCAGAAGTCGAGGAGCTCTTGAATCGAAACAGGCTCTTAGCCAATGCCTCCATCTTCTACGAGACTGAAAAGAGCCAACGGCCTGTAAAATGTCTCGTCCTTCCACTGACCATTGCCGCAATATTCGGTCGAGTTGCTATCCTTGAGATGCTATTGTCCAAGTTCAATACCGACGTCAATGCCCCCATTGGCACAGGAAGTCCATCACTTCATCTCGCGGCCGAGTATGGCTGGCTGGTCGCTGCCACTCGTCTCTTATCTCACGGGGCGGACATCAATCGGATTGACGTGTGGGGATGGACTGCTTTGCATCACGCATGCAGAAATGCCCGAACAGATGTCGTTAGGTTTTTCCTAGAGAAAGGGGCAAATTCACGGCTACGAGCAAATGGACGCCGCACAGCGTTCTCCCTTGCGTGTTCTCAAGGAAGCTTGCAGCTGCTGAACCTCCTCTGGAATCAGGGGCCGGAGGCACAAATCAGCATGCCAGATCTCCGAGGACATCAGCCCTTACACCATGCAGCTGGTGATTGTTATCACCGGGTCATTCCATGGCTCCTGGAGAAGCAAGCAGACATCGAGGCACGCGGGGAGATTGGCCTCACACCACTATGTGTGGCTTCCATTGCAGGATCATTCGAAGCTACTGAGGCTCTCTTATTGAAAGGAGCAAACATCCATGCAAAGTCCACAATTGAGAAAGCAACACCAATACTTTACGCAAGCCAAATGTTGAATTCTCGATTATCACTTCTGCTTCTGGAAGCGGCTGTATCCCTTGCAGATACGGACCAGAGGATATAACTGCTTTCACCGCATGCTGGAAAATAAAGGGGGTTCTTTGCAAGACTTTGTGGAGACCACCATTCTGTTTGTTAGCAGCGGAGCGAGCATCAACCACCTAAGTGTTGGTGACGTGTCGCCTCTTGTATTTGCATGTCATCAGGGGAAATCAGTGCAGGCTAGGATCTTGATTGGCTATGGGGCAGATGTCAACCAAAGCGGCTCAAGGACAGGCTTGACACCACTTATGCTGGCCTGCAAAAGGCCAAAGAATAAGGAAGTCATTACTATGTTGCTTGACCGCTGTGCCGACGACACCAAGACTAACCGAGGTGGAGGGACTGCTTTGGCAATGGTATGCCTTTTTGGTGACTCCGAAAACGTCGAAATCCTTATTTCAAGAGGGAGCAAGGTTGCTCAGCTTGATACTAACTAAGCCATACGCCATTGTTCAATGCAATGGTGAAAGGACATTTTCACATCATGCTACAATTACTAAAAACCGCGGCCTACTTTCCTTCCAATTCTATTGAAGCACCGGCGTTTGTAGACCCTTGGTCAAGTAGGGAAGACATTGGAAACGCGATTTTGGAAGGACTCAAACGCCTACAAGACCCGCCACTAGACGATTTGCATCCCATTATGTACTGGGCTGTCGCAAATGACTACCTTCCCTTGGCTAAAGAATGCATCAAGGTCGACAAGTCCAAGTCCATTCTGCAGAGGAGGAGAGGAGAAGCTAATTGGCTTCATATTGCTGCTCAACACGGTAGTTCAAAGATCATCCACATCATTTCTGATGTTGGGGCATCTGAAATGGCTACGAATCAAATCCCTGCAATGTATTTGGCAGCCAACCGTGGTAGCCGCGAAACAATCGAAGAAATTCTCAAATTAGTTCACGCTGAGGGTCCCATCCAGCCTGCACATGAAAAGGTCAGTCTCATCGTGCAACAGAATATCTGAGAACATACACCGCTTTCTGTGTCAACCTTGGGCCGACATAAAGCAGTCAGTGACCTCTTCTGGGAGGAGATCAGAAGTCTAGGCACGGTCGCCAAGGATTATTTAAGTACGCACAAGACACAGGCGGTTAAGATCCTAGAGGCAATTGCCCGATTCGAGAAACCAGGTCACGAAGAAACCCTCAGGCATTTGCTTGAACAATGGTGTGGGCGAAAACCCGACAACCAGATGACTACTCTCGAGTTGGCGGTACGTTGCTCCCAACCGACGGTAGTATGGTGGTTACTATCCAACGGGGCTTACTCTTCTAGGATATGTCAGCCTTCGGAGATACTTTCCCATCTGTTCCAGGTACCGTCCATGAAAAGATCAACAATCTCTTTCGAGACAAGCCGCCTATTCTGAGATTCATCGCAAATCCCAACTACGATACGCCACCGAAATTGCCACAATGTCAAGAAAGGTCAGAGGAGACGTTGAACTTGTATGGCCTCATCATCGACACCTGTTCCTGCGGGACGTACACAGAGAAAAAGGAGACCATCAAGAAGATCATATATGATGAAGGTCCAACGGCCATAATGGGCAAAGAAAAGCATCATCCACCAGCGGTTTCGTGATTTCAAGCAATCACTCCCAGGATATCAAGAGGAGCGACCGCTGAGTTGTTCGAGCCAGCCGGCCCGCGATCTGCTCTTTCGCTGGATCCATTTACCTGTTGCTGAGGTAGGACACAACTTATCCCCATCAATTGCTGATGCTGACGATCTTTTCGTGAACAGATGCATCTAATGAGAGTAAGCTACTAACACCTCGCTGTCACATACATGTCACTCACATTGTTGTGTACAGGACCTCGCCAACCGGTTATCACACGACTCGGGTGTTTCAGAAATGGACCATGAGCTTATGATGCAGCATTTTAACTCTAGTTGGACTGAGTTATCTGCTGGGGGGAGAGGGAACTACATGAAACCGCGATGCGCTGTACGTACTGGCACTATCGCCATGTTATTTCCGAGTCGCGAGCCCCTAGGTCAATATTGTTGACCATGTGCAGATCAGGTATCCTAACCAGCCACTGAACAATTCTGTCGGCGGACAGAGACCTAAGCAGCAAATGTCATTCATGGCTTTATACGTATGTTATACCTTAAACTCCTGAACCTATAACTGTATTTACAGACTGACTTTGATTGGGCAAAGATGCCATACCTCGGCTTCGGGACCTATGAGAACAGTAGCGGTAGTCATCAAAGCTCTGCTGACATACAAAGAAAAGGAATTGACGAATCCATCCAAATCCGCAGACTGAGACATATCAGCCACAGGCGCATCACCTTGGATCAGTACTACTACTCGGTGCTCACCGCAATAGATTAACTTACTGCTTGATCTGCGCCAGAAACAAGCCAGTATAAAAGAAGCCGAGTTCGGCAGGATCCAAGCCAACGACTCCGCGCGGCAGTCTAACAGCATACTCATTTTCACTATAGTGACAATCATATTCGTAAGTGGCACCGGCAACAATTAGTAACTACCACTTACTATGGAGCACAGCTTCCGCTGTCATTTCTCTCATCTCTCTTCGCGCTCGATGTCTCCAATTTTCCCCACGAATCTGGTGAGCTTAGGTATCAAGGATGGTGGCTTTTCCCCATTCTTTGTAAGTCTCACGTATAAGAGAAGTTAGGAACCAATGCTGACTTTATCAAGCAGTTGGTATGACCGCTATCGTCTCCGTACCAACTATCATATTGGCGTGGAAGATCAATAAAGTATCCGACTGGTGGAAAGGGACGGAGCCTTTGACCCAAACTGGTCGACAAAGACTTGCTAGGGAGGTGGACGGCAGTGGACGCCACTCAAGTCGACGGAGCCAACTCAGTGGTGCTGTGAGGAGGAGAAACACAGGTGGGCACGGAATTGTTTGATTTGGTCTATCTTATAGTACCAACAATACATCATACTCACATGAGATTATGTTCAAAAGGAAAATCACATGATCGAACATTGAACACTTTACTTGGCTTCATGCCCGTAAATATATTAATCTAAGAAATTATCTAATAGAATGTAATAGGTGCAGGTAATAGGTGCATGTACTATGCAACGTATATATCTCAAAACCGTCATATGCTCGTTGCTCCATGTGAGCAGTCAAAATATTTACAGGAAGAAGGCGACAAAACCGGCCGCAAAGAGAGCAGCTCCGACGCTACCTCCGACACGTCCAGCACCGGCAGTGACCTGGGTGGGAGTGGTGGCAGGAGGAGCAGGGTAGGTCTCAGCAGGAGTGCTAGGAGCAGGGACAACGGGAGCAGTCTCAGCAGGCTTGCTGGGAGAAGGAGGCTGAGGGTAGCTAGGGTGAGACTCCTTGGGAGGCTGAGGAGCGGGAGGCTGAGGAGCGGGAGGCTGGGCAGGCTGGGTCTCCTTAGGGGGTTGAGGGGCAGGAGGTTGAGCGGGGTGAGTCTCCTTGGGGGGGGTGACGCCAGGCTGAGTCTCCTTAGGGGGAGCGGGGTAAGTCTCCTTGGGAGGTTGAGGGGCAGGAGGCTGAGGATAGCTAGGGTGAGACTCCTTGGGAGGCTGAGGAGCAGGAGGCTGAGGGTAGCTGGGGTGAGACTCCTTGGGAGGCTGAGGCTTGGGAGGAGTCCAGGTTCCGTTACCGGGGTGAACAGGAGGAATAACGATGGGCTGAGTCTCCTTGGGAGGAACAACGTGGGTCTCAGTCACAGGGCAGACGGTGGTAGAGACAGCGTAGGTCTCGGTGGTGGTATGGGGCTTCTCAGGGCAGTTGGTAACCTCAGGAGGGCACTTAGTAACAGTGTGGACCTTGGTGGTGTAGATGGTTGAGGTTGTCAGCTTGGTGGTTGTCTCGTGAGCAGGAGGAGGAGCGACGTGAGTCTCGGTCACGGGGCAGACAGTGGTAGAGACGGGGATGGTCTCAGTGGTGACGTGAGGACCGACAGGGCAGTTGGTAACCTCGGGAGGGCACTTGGTGACAGTGTGCACCTTGGTGGTGTAGATTGTCGAGGTGGTAAGCTTGGTGGTCTCCTCATGAGTAGGGTACACAGAAGAGGGGTGCTCCTCAGTCACAGGGCAGACGGTGGTGGAGACGGGGATAGTCACGGTGGTGACGTGAGGGCCAACAGGGCAGTTGGTGACCTCGGGAGGACACTTGGTGACGGTCTGAACCTGAGTGGTGTAGATGGTTGAGGTGGTCCACTTAGAGGTCTCGGGGTAGCCAGGCTTGGTGTACGAAGGCTTGGTGTAAGTTGGCTTCGTGTAGGAAGGCTTCGTGTAAGAGGGAGGCAGGTAGCCAGTCTCAGTTGAGGTACCCTTGGCGGGGAGAGTATCACTGGGAGGAAGGTAAGGAGTCTCGGTTGAGCTCTCAGCAGAAGGAAGAGTCTCAGTAGGAGGGAGGTAAGGAGTCTCGGTTGAGCTGTGCTCCTCGGGCTGGGTCTCGGAAGGAGGAGGGTAGACATCAGTGGTCTCCTCAGGAGGGGGGTAGACGCCGGTGGTGTCCTCAGGTGGAGGGTAGACACCAGTTGTCTCCTCGGGGGGAGTATAGACACTGGTCGTCTCCTCAGGAGGAGGATAGACATCAGTGCTCTGCTCAGGAGGGGGGTAGACGCCGGTGGTGTCCTCAGGTGGAGGGTAGACACCAGTTGTCTCCTCGGGGGGAGTATAGACACTGGTCGTCTCCTCAGGAGGAGGATAGACATCAGTGCTCTGCTCAGGAGGAGGGTAAACACCGGTAGGCTGGGTCTCCTTAGGGGGAGTCACAGGCGTGGTCTCCTCGGGAGGAGTGTAGACGTCGGTGGTCTGCTCAGGAGGAGGGTAAGCCGCAGCGGGGGGAGTATAGTCGGTATCAGGGACAGCAGGGACAGGGTAGTCCCTCTCGACAACAGCAGCATTAGCCAGGCCGACGGCCGCACTGAAAATAACGAGACCTCGCATCTTGATAGATTTTGTTTAACGAATGCTATAAACGAGTGAAGCGGTTGGTTAAACGAAAGGTGGGTGAAGAAGAAAGCCGGAAACAAATAATTCTGGGGGAATCACCCAAGACTCTTATACTCGATGCAAGGTGTTTCCCCTCCCCCCTCCCCCTTGGCAAACACCCCAGGATCTTATCATCTTGGCTCCCTCGTGTCCTATCGGCCCAACTGTGTAAGGTCAGAAAAGAAATACGGGCTCTTCTCCATAGTTCATCCCGGTAACGTGATGTAATAACAGCAGGAAAAAAAAAGGTTGGTTGGGTAAAGTTGTACATATGGTGGACCTCTGCTGCGGGCGGCTCACAGGGATCCATAATAAATTACATCCATGCTCAAGATCACGATGTTGGAGTGCGACCGTATGGACAAGTTCGGATGTGACGGAGCACCCATCGTGTTCGTCTATTACGGTTGGTGCACGGTGCAGCCAAGAAAACGCTTGGTTGAGCCGCTTGAGTGGCTACCAGTGTTTCGCCGTTTTTTTAATTAGATAAAGTTAATCAAAACACGCCGCGTAGTTACTACTGTACTACCCTTCAGGCACACAAACCGTATTTATTACCCGTAATGTTTGAGTCAGCCTGCGGGGTAACGTTTGACCAAGACCTGCGTTAGCTCTGTACTTGGCTGGTTATGATCTGACGCGGGCTGTACATAGTGCTGTCTCAGTGGTCTGCCGTGCCGGTACTCCCTTGACTCCTTACCTACTAGCCTACCAATTCACTGACGGAGGGGGGATCTGCAGCCCCTGCCATGTTGCCTGGCCACAAGTGGTCTTGAGTCTTCTGGTTGATTCGTGGGGCTCTCGTATACAAAAACCGCTGCCCTTGGCGTGTGTGCTTGCTTTGCTTGACGCCCCTACATACACGAGGGTGGAAAAAAAAAGGTTCCCTGTAGATCGCTGCTTATCTCCCCACTCTGCCACTAAAAATCTCGCACTGAATCTCGAGGTTGGCCAGCAGAACAAGCACGTTGAGTTGTGAAGGGATTGTTCCATAGAATACAGTGGAGATTATGCTGTCTTGGAGTATGTCAGCCAAACGATGTCTTTTGTTGATGTTTGTTGGTTGTTGGTAATGGGTAGCATCAGGGAAATCCACTCTGGATGATCAAGGTAGCATTTCGAGGCGAGTTCCGTTTAATCCTTGTTTGGCAATCATAGTCGGTTGATGACAAGACGATGCCGAGAGAAGGGCGGGAAAGTTACTGTTGATATCCTTGCTTGGCTACACGGCAACCTTCGTTGGCTGTTGAGGACTCCCTTTTCATCAAGTAAGTACTGTGCTGTATGTCGACATTGAGGCGCTCTTCTCACCATCCAATACGGTATTTTCTTATTACCGATAAAGCCCATTGGAGTCTGTGCATCCCTGTTCCTGCATTCACGTACAGTATCACTCGGTTGGCGCTTGCATACAAGTACTGTAAGGTGAGTTGTTCAATTGTGAACACCAATCTTCCGTACATAAGCCGGCAATCATTGGCGTACGGAGTAGAACCTTTAATGAAATTATCACAAGCGCAGATGCAACCATTCGGCAGATTAATTCTGCCTACTTCAAGCGGGCGGCATTTCGAAATAACGCCATCACCGACCGAATTGACTTTGACAGCAGAAATCTTATTCAGCTTCAGGGTAGCAATTGTCAACATCGTACCATCCATGCCTCAGGCCTTGTTCCTTGTTCAAGGTAGGTTCGGAGTTTGCTGCCGAGGAACAGAAAAAAGTTTGACAGTTGGGCTTGGCTCCACGCGACAAGCGGAGCCGAAACCGTTTTGCCCGACAGGAATGCGGGAATCGAAGACAATCGATCGGGTATATCCTCAGTTTTCTAGCTAGAAAATCAAGGATAAAAAATGGACCGTTATTGTAACGGTCCAAGCGGCTCAAAATCCAAGATATTTGAGAGTCGGTTCCAAGATCTTGGATGTTCGTTGTTGATGAGGCTTTTTTATCCAATCGTTGACGTCAAGTTGCTTCGTTTTTTATGCAACTAATTCATAAATACGAAGTCTTGAGTCTAAGGCTAAATGAGGGCTGCAGACTGCAGCGAAGATCTCTGGTGTGATGGAGGATATCGGCGATACGGGTTACGGAAAAGGGGAAATCGTAATTCAATTGAATCTGGCCCTTTCTTGAGATATTCCGTACTGCACTTTTTTGCCGTCAGCTGTCGGCAAGGTAAGGCTGTCTAGATTCATTGTCCAAGCTTGAGCTGTCAATGCCCAGCTCGTAACCTTTTTTCTTTGCATTTTAATTAATCTGGCTATTTTTACACAGGCGAGATTACCGTAAAGACAATGGATGGGACTCGTCCCGCCGTATAGCAAACAACTTTGATGTCCAACCCCCAAAAACCGTATCCCTCAGTGTGACCATGTCTCGTGCGACCCATGGAAGCTGATGTGACATTCCCAATCGAGTTGCCCAGTCTCCACCTCCTTTTTTTTTTCTTCTCCTCCCTCCTTTCTTTTGCTTAACACCATCTTCCCCGTATTGCAGAAGTTCCTGCATTTCATCTCACCAGAGCCACTACAATCCGCGCAAAATCAAACTGTTCCCTCGAGTCTCCAGAACCAACGAGAACTGCGATCGACAGGGGGTGGTTTCATGTGCGTTGGTCCACCGTTCAGTGACGAATGAGGCTTGACTCTGCTGAGGTTAGCGCTCGTATTCCTCCGGCCTCACCACTGCCAATGCGGATAAGCGGAATATGAGAAGCCGAGGCGGCTCCATCGGTGACTCGGCCGAACCATAAATATGGCTATACGAGCCAGCTTTTTGGTCTTGAAATTACTTGGTCTGTTTGCTCATCACTCGAGACTATGACGTGAGTTTTTATGTGTCAGGTCCGGCCTGACAGATGGTGAAAGATGTGATTTAGTACCGTTCCGAAAGTGACCTCCGAGCTTATGAGAGTGATGAGTGAATTGGTCTCATACCTTCTTCACCGAACTCATCAGACTTTCACAAAACCTTTATTCTAAGCTCGACCAATATGCCGTGAAGACACTTCACGTGAGAATAAGTAAGATCAGTATAAGAGTGAGTGTAATTAAGTCAACAGTGCAGCTTCTGTCTACAATTAATCATAGCTAAGGGAAACGTAGTGCATAGAGCTGTTAAAACTAAATGAAATCGTTACCCAGAGTCTCATAGTACTGTGCTTAGGTAGATGGTTTCTATGGACTAGTAACCTTTTCAAGCACATCAGAAATTATACTTCTGTTATTCAGTCTTGACTGAAATATCGCAGTGAGAAAGCATATTCCTGGTTGTCTTGACGATGGTCTTGACGCTGGTCTTGATAACTATAATATATACCTAAGAAAGACCTCTGGTATAGAGAAGATTGTGCCTGGCTTTTTAACATATTAAAGCCCAAAAAATGCTATAACTATGCTTGGCCTCTGATAATTTAGATCGAGAGTATGTAGATATTTGCTCCATGCTGGAACAGCCTAGTAAATAGGCGCGATCTAGGGTAGGCTTTACCAGGTTTAACCAATACTGTATTCACAAACTTAATAACCAGGTCAATAACACAAGCCTTTAAATTAATGTTTTCTCCTTAAATTACTATAAGGACAGTATCTTATATATATCTTATAGTCTTGAAATTGGAACAAAGTCCACCCTGCTTGCCTATAAGCCAGGGTATTTAACTCTCAGCAGTATTGCTCTACCTAGAAACAGTGACTTATTACCATTAATTGAGGCATCAACTCATTCATTGTAATCTATGTCTGATCCGCGATATGCCACTGATCACTAGCATTGCATTGTTCCAATACGACGGTATATCCACCTCTTCATTCTGCGGCTTCTGAAGTGAGAGCAAGTGGCCACCAATCAAGTCTGAAATGAACTGACGGTTAGTATCCCGAGAAACGGCCCAGGAACGTATGCGGAGCGCAACATCTTATTGTCATTTCTAATAGTTGTAAGTACGCTTGCATGCCTTGCCTCGAGTACTCAACATCAACCAACCAATTATCGGCGCAAGTCTGGCTGGGGGTCTAGAACGATCAATCTATGCCAAGAGTCTGTTTCGCCATACGTGCCTGATTGCAACGGACATTACCCCCGATCCACGTTTCTTATTTCAATCTGGACATCTGAGCACTCAAACCAACAAGCCTTGTCAACCAATCGTCAAAGATCGAAATCGTCGGGACCGACGATTAAGTTACCAGGTAGATCTTGAGTCTACCTCTCTACTGGTAAACGACTCATCATATTGCCCCCGCGCTGTGGCGTCGACAATAGCTGTTAGTTCCTGGGCGCAAAGCCTCGTGCAGACAAACAACTCCTAGGTCCCCATTCCAGAGTCGCACAAGGCCGTTAGCCAAGGGCCTTGTTTGTCCTGTGGCTGGTCTCTAGAGAGAATGCGGATAAGATCGCCTATTGTCAGATCGTGGTGGGAGACCCGATGATTGACGATATCATTCCCGAATTCCATCTTATCGGTTTGGCTTGGTTTCCGTGCTGCTGGGAACCAATCATGTGTCAGTGATCGTCCCTGGGAAGACTGGGCTTTTTACACTGCTTATGGCAAACATTGGTCTTAGCTTATGAAGCTGAAGATTGTCACATCTACGAGCAGCAACAAATATGACAATTAGATGCAGTTGATGTATCGACTTCACGGCCAAAAACATAGAAGAAGAGCACAATTCGTGGCGAAGATATGTTCTGCCATGACGGTTCCTGGGAGATGAGGCGCTCAGGAATGCACCCCATTCTCATCAGCCCTAGCGTATACTTCCACCAACGTCAATGTCATAGTCTAGTACAACAGAAGCCAACCAGGTATTCGGCAACATCCTATCGGAATTCCCGATCCGCTCTAGACCCAACATAATGGATGGTTGTACCTGTGATACGATTCACAGCATCAGATGCATGCAGGGTTGAACAATCTGCAGCCACTGCCGAAGTGCCACAAAGTATCTTTGGGTTTCACAGCATGCTTATAACGCTGTGCGACCCTCCCTCGGTCTTTACCCCCCCTTTTGACTGTTTGGTGATCTCATTTCACTATGACGCTCAGCAGGCGGTTTCTCATATTGGGGACGATATGCCTGCTGTACGATGCAGCGACGGCTCAATCCCCTGGTGCTATGCTTGCAAACGCGCCGAAATGTGCTGTTAGTACTACAGACGTTGTACATGATGATTTAGCTACTGACGGGTGATAGATCGATTGCCTTACCGAGCTTCTGAGCAAGAAAGAATTTGCGGAGATGGGACAGGAGGCGACGTGTAGTAACAAGCCGTTTGCCAAAGCGATGGGTGTCTGCTTGATGGTGAAGTGCTCTATGAGACAGACCATGGGTGCGTAGTTCCAAGAAACGTGGGTTCAGTGTTGCTAACGTGTAGAAAGACTTCATCAAAGAGTCGTCGGCTGCATGCGGGATCCCACCGACCAACAATACGACGTCGTATCGAGTAAACAGTACAGTCGTGTTTGCATTTGCACTCGTCTTCTTCGCTTTGAGGATAGTGACTAAAGTTCGGCTTGGCCTCACGTGGGGGATCGACGATACCCTGACCACATTATCGGTAGTGAGTTTCTTTACCTTGCGTTGCTGGACGAGTGCTTACGGTAATAGGCAGTTATGATTCCGTATTATATTGTGCTGCAGATCAGTAAGTTCCTCCGTTTCGTTCCCCGTCTTTCAAAGGCAGTTTGTTGACTTGAGACTTTTTAGTGCTTGCTTTGGGACTTGGTCTTGACATGTGGTTTATAACCGATAGCCAGATCATACTCATTTTCAAGGTTAGACCAAGATATGATCGCCGTAGCTTGCAATGACCAAACTAATATTTCCTCTCAGTTATTCATCGTCATCGAAGTCTTGTACCTAACAGCACTAGTCCTCGTCAAAGCAGCAATCCTGTGCTTCTTCCTCCGGATCTTCCCCGACCACAAGTTCAGGATTGTAGTCAAATGCACCATGGTCTTTAACGCTCTGATATGGGTAGGATTCTTCATCTTCGTCTTCTTCCAGATCCAGCCGTTTTCGCTGTTCTGGAATGGATGGCAGCAGAAGAAGGGCCATCTTATTCTGACCGGGTTCACTAATTTCACTCTGCCGCTTGCGGGGATAAATCTGGTGCTGGATGTCTGGATGCTCATTCTGCCCATGACGCAGCTCTGGGGAATGGGATTGAAGCTCAAAAAGAAGCTCGGTGTCATTAGCATGTTCAGTGTTGGGATATTGTAAGTGTTCCAAGGGATGCATCTTGCTTTATTGGCTAACAGCGTAGTCTTACAATTGTCGCTGCGATTCGAGTACGCGAACTTGTAGCTTTTCTACTCTCTCAGGACTTAACAGGTAGATATTTTCAGTCAACTATTCAGAACACAAGCTAACATACCAACCAGTCGCCCATGCACAATCAGCCTTCATCTGGTCAAACGTGGAGATTTCGGTCGGCGTCATGGTCGCTTGCATGCCGCACATTCGACATCTGGTGAGACATATAATATCGCGAATGAGAGCAAGGAAGGGTACAGAGCCGCGACACAACAACAGGAAGATTTTCGTTGATCGATCGCTTGCGACTATTGAAGTGGGGGACTCGCAGGCCATTGAACTTAATGATGAAGGTGGACTCTTGACGGCAAATACATGTACTACGGCTTCATCTGCGACACGAGTTGGGACAACGTCGACGACAAAAGGTGGGAGAAAGGATAGCAAAACGTATGCGTCGGTCAGTTTTGCAAGCGATGGAGATACCCAAGTGTAAGATTAGTGTGTTATGACTACATGTAAGAAATATAATAGGGCATTGACATGAATGTCATCGAGATGACAGCCATGATCGACTAGACTAGCAGGCATCGTGAAGTGTCAAGTGGGTTCTTCAGGTCGGTGAATTTTCTAGCGTCATCTGATAAGGCCGTTAACGACTCACTACTGCAAGCACATGCACGCCAGGAACAGATCCACAGTGGATAGATGATTGTGTCATTCGTTAAATATTTATTTATTTATTTATTTTGTTTCTTTGTTCATTTGTTTGGTATCGTCAACATCATCAAGACATATGAGCCATTTATCGGCAAGTGTATCCACCGTCAATGACAAGGTCAGAGCCAGTAGTGTAGGTGCTAGCATCAGACAAGAAGTAGACATACGCAGCCTTGAGCTCCTTAGCATCACCGTTGCGGCCCATGGGGATCATGCTCCTCCAGAGCTCTTGGGTCTCGGCGTCGATGAAGTCGGAGAGGCCGGTGTCGATGTAGCCGGGGGAGATGCTGTTGACGCGGGCAAAGTCGCGCCACTCGTTGGCGAGAGACTTGGCCATGTGGATGCAGCCGGCCTTGGCCACGTTGTAAGAGGTCTGCTCTTGGGGGAAGTTGGCGATGTGGCCGGACATGGAGGCGGTGATGACGAAGGAGCCGTGGCCCTGCTTCTTGAAGAGGGCGCCGACGGCCTTGGCGCAGTAGGCGGTGCCGTTGAGGTCGATCTGGATAACGTGGTCCCAGTCGGCAGCAGAGCCGTCGACGACACCAGCGTTGGCGGTAGCACCGGCGCTGACGAGGTTAGCATCAATTGGGTCAGCGTGTATAGAATTGGAGGGGCTCACTTGGCAACAAAGCCATCAATCTTGCCAAAGTCCTTGACAACCTCTCCGACAAATCGCTCAACGTCGTTGTAGTCGGCAGCGTTGAGCTTGTAGGCCTTGGCCTTGACGCCGTACTCCTTGGTGAGCTCCTCGACGTTCTTGTCGGCGCCCTCCTTGCGGGAAGCGTAGGTGATGGCGACGTCGGCGCCCATCTCAGCAGCGCCGCGGGCAGCCTCGATGCCCATGCCGCGGGGTCCGGAGGCGCCGGTGACGACAACGACCTTGCCCTTGAGGCTGAGGAGGTCGAGGATGTGGTTGGCCTTGGGGATTTGCTGAACCATGGTGACGGTGATAAAAAAGGTGTTTGGGTATTAAAAAATAAAAAATAATAGAGGAGAGATGGATGGAGGGGTAAGAGAATGAAGAGGGGGAATGGGATGGGCAGATGCTAGACTATTTGTACGGCATTGAGTGTCTACTCAGATCATGGCGTGGTCCCGAAATAAAAGCAGCAAGCCCAAGGAGCTGAGCTGGCTGCAATGGATGGAGGGGATGGGTCCGGTGATGTCATGGAAGCAGAGAGACCATGCAGTGCTTGTCGAGCGAGCTAGGCTAGAGACACCAAAAACGAGGGGCATCGGCGATTACAAAGAGAAGAGTATCCACTATCAGACTCTCAATGGGTTGTCTGAAGCTCCATGCCCCTCCATTGTCGCTGCAGAGACGCGTCGAGGGGTAACAAAGTCAGTCAGTCAGTCTAGTCTGCTGGGTTGAGCACATGCTTAGTTAGGCAGAGGACAAGCCAAGTCTCGGTGGGACGCACGCATGAACCCCCATGTGAACGACATGTCTTGTGTGATGATTTTTTGAACCAATTGGACTTTGTATTTAGACTTTTTGAGTGGTGAGACGTGGACGTACATACATACAGGTACATACAGTGAGGCGGGGTGAAGAGCTTGTGCTGCCAACCCCTCGATCTGTCTCTGGCAGTCAATTGCAACGGCAACTGAATCAGTAGATGGATTCTTTCATCATTGATCCATAACTGAATCTTATATCTTGCCAAATACCACCGAGAATAGAGTCGGATGGAGTTGAGAGTGGATAAACCGAGCGTCATTCTCCCGTCTCAAGCTCCCCTCCCACTCTCTTCCTTGCTTAACTAGAGCGAGTGCATCAACACGACCCCGCAGAACGGCCGGCTTCACCGCTCCCCATCTGGTTTAGCTTGAGAGGGCAGTACCTTGTTGGATTGGCTGAGCACGCGTCGACGTGTTCCGCGTCAGACGATTAAATTGCATGGCCTTGTCCCGGTCCGACAGAAAAACCTACCCTAGATTGAAAATCGCGATGATGAGTTAGCATTTGGTGATGCTGACTTAGCCACGGTAGAGGGGATATATAATACTGAGTAATGCTTATCGCATATCGTTAATACTAGAGTCATCAATTTTGGCGGGTATAATTGTTCATGTAATGCTTATCACACTGACCGAGGCGGAAAACGTAAAATGTTGTGAAAGAGGGGTTATCGCAGAGCACATGGAGCCACTTGTTGAGAATATCACCCAAACAACATTCAATTGGACACGGAGAGCATCATAATAGAACTTGTCTTATTTTCAGTAGGTCTAATATAACCCTTGATGCATGCATGCATGCATGCCTAGACGTCGCCGCTTTAAATAAGGTATCGGAAATCCCGCTTCATCCTCAAAGCCTCGTCGGGGCTGTCCATGACCTCGACGGCCGCCGTATGCGCAGCCACATCCTGGCGCGTCTCCCAAGCATTGGCCTCTCCCCTCTCGAGCTTTTTGTTGAGGTCGATCAGCACCAGCCGGAAGATGTAGCATCCGACCACCGTAACGCCAAACATGGACAGCACAATGCCGTAGCTCTTGCGGTACCCGTTCTCCTTCAGGTCCCAGACGTACGAGCCCGCGACGTTGCCGAGCTGGCTGAAGGCGTTGATCATGGCGATGGCCACGGCGCGCTTGGCGGGCGGGCGAGGGAACGAGGAGCTGATCCACGAGTAGAAGACGATGAAGCCGGCGTAGGATGCTGCTTGCAGGAAGAGGGCGAGGTAGCGCGCTGCGACATTCTCGGTCGCCATGCTGATGATGAAGCCGGTCGTGCCGATGCCGATTGGGCCGACGATGTGCCAGAACTGATTTGTTGTTAGTACAATTGCGCGACATGACGGGTAATAGAACTGACCTTTTCTTGGGTTCTGTCTGAGTGCCAGGCGTTGATGACCGAGACGATACAAGAGAACACCCATGGAGGAGCGCTCATCAGAAGAGTAGGCACGTATCCGAAACCAAGAGTCCCTGTCAAACTGGGCTGTTCAATTGTTAGCGATACGCATGCGATTTACATCAATTGACTTACAAAAAAAGCGTTGAACGAAAGACCAACGACATAAGCAGTAAAGGTGAGCATCATGATGTAGATCTTGAGATCCTTGACCGCAAGCTTAAGACCGTAGAAAGCGCTCTCCTCGGAAGAATCCTCATCTGCCTCGCCGACATCCTCAATCATCCTCAGCTGCGCAACCTGTCGCTCCTCCTCCGTAAAGCCCCGCGAGTTATGCGGCAGATCGGGAAGAATAAACGCAGCAGAGATGGCGATGCTCATTGTGATTGCGCCCTCGATCCAGAACAGCCAGCGCCATGCTGCGTGGCCCAGAACACCCTGCATGTTGGACAGCACGCCCGCACCGACGAGCGCGGAGAAGGCGTTGGAGATGAGGTTGCCGCAGAACAAGATGGCGTTGCGCTTGGTCAATTCGCGGCGCGTGTACCATTTCGACAAGATCAGAAGCGCACCCGGCAAGAAAGCAGCCTCCACGAAACCCAAGAAGAAACGAATGCAGACCATGCCCGCAAAGTTGTGCACACTACCCGACAGCGTCGAGATGAGACCCCACAGCAGCATCGCCGCAGAAATGTACAGCGACGGGCGCTGGATGCGATTGATGAACATGTTGGAGGGCACCTGCATGAGGATGTACCCGACGTACAGGATGCTCAGGCACGTCGCGTACTGGTTATAGCTGAGGTTCAAGTCCTCCTGCAGACCCTTGAGGCGCGCGGCGGCCATGTTGTTGCGGTCGAGGTAGTTCATGATGTAGATGAGCACGAAGAGCGCGCAGCGCGTGTCGAGCTTGCGCTTCATCGACTTCTCGACGGCCTGGCGGTGCTGCGAGTCCATGGCGAAGGCGGCTGCGGCGCGGGATTCGGGGTGCGACTCGACGCTGAGCTTGGCCGAGGCGACGTGGTCGTCTGGCTTTGCTTGATCTGCCATGTTGACGGTGGTTGATCAAGACTTTTTGGTAGGTAAACCTAAAGAAACGAAATACTGTGAGCTACCAGTCTCACGCAAGCGACAACACCTGGAGAAGGGGAGACTGACCTACCTAGCTGGGCATGATGAAGCCTTTTTAAGAAACGACCGCCGCTGGCAAAATACCGGCTGCTGTGACACAAGTTACATCATTGAGCAGCAAGTATGGTGTAGCGCGGAGAAGAAAGAGTATGGAGAGTATGGGGAAGAGGTAAGGGTTTATCCGCGTAGGTTAAGCCTGATTAGGCGACTATCGCGGGTTCCCCAGAGGTTGACAGTCACCCTCGCTTGAGGCAAGGATTTTCTTGAACCGGTTGTTTGCAAATTTGAATGTCACACTTGATGCGCAAGGACCCAATGGTTTGTGGTGGTGGAGTTGTAAGTGTAGATCTTTGCTTTTTGGAGAGGGAGATGGAAGGGAGACAGAAAAGGGCGATAACGACGAGAATTGGGGGGACAGCGATAAATTGATAGAAAGGGCAAATAGTACGAAAATGGCAGTAGTAGTTTAAGAATATGTTGATTGGTAGCACACCTAGTGTGAAGGACTCAAGAGCTCATTGGGAATCATGGTGACTGCTCCAACGCTCACAGCCTATCTCGCAATTCTGTCCTCCACACGCCTCCAAACATTGCAACGTTGGAGAGAATGCGGAGACTCCGCAAAAAAAGCCAGAGTCAAGTGAGGGGAACTCACCAACCCAAAGCCCGTGCAAACCCCGACATTTACCAGCCAAAAAAAAAGGCCCGAATGCAGTCTCTACAGTATGGTAGATGGCCCCGGAATTACTGCTGACTCGCAAGGCAGCAACATTTTAAAATTCCTGCCCGTGGGGAAAACGCGTGGGGGGGTTTTGTCATTGGGGAATAACTTCTGGAGTAAGGAGGCTTTCCGAGGAACAGAGTTTTCGACTTACGGGGGTTTGGATGGGGCTCAACAACGGGAATTGTCGGTCTGGGTTGGAGTTACTAGTAATGATAGACCCTAATTCCAGGGACATGGTCGTGGGACTCGGCAATAAGAGGGTGACAGTTACCCCAAGGTTTGTAATAGACTGTTGGTGATCGTTGGTCTTGGTGTTGGAGAGTTGGATGCCAAGAGCACTCGGTACGCGGAAGACAATTCCACGGCCTTGGCGCATGGAACGTTTCTAGAAGAAGAGATTGTCAAAGAAGTGAGGCTCTTTCAGTACTGTCAGTGAGTCGTTGCGTTCATCTAACTGGATGTGTTCACTTCAAGCGTGCAGCGCAGGTAGTGGATGTTCATAAAATGTATTCGTTCAACGAAACATGCGCTTTTCGCGCTCATCTATCGCTATGCTCCATAACCACAAACACTCTTCCATTAATTACTCCAACCGCCCAGCCTCACTAGTCTCATCCCTCGACTGCTTCAGAAACGGTACCAGCGTCGTCCCCCCCGTCCCCGTCAACTCCTCCCCATTCTTCTTCGACGAACTACTCGCCAGGTTCTGCGGTCCATCCTTCCTCCCGCTCCTCGCCGGCAGAATAATATACCGCGTCACGATCTGGATATGCTTGTTCCTAAACACCGTGAGCGCCTCTGTCGCTGCTGTGAATGCAGCTTGGAGACGTTCTTGGGCGGGTGTGCTGGGTGTTTGGGATGCTAGCTCGCGGATACTGCCCTTGCGAGCAACGTGTGTTAAGAACCGGCGGTGAGGACCTGGCATGTAGTCTTTTACAATGTCGTGATAGCTCCGTTCACCGGCTTTTTCGGTGTTGTTACCGCTGGTGATGTGCTCTACGCCTAGAACAACATCGAAGAATTGGATCAGGGAGCTTTGGCCGTTACTCCCCCCGCGGAGATGGCGCCACTCGCCCTTCCCATTACCTTCATCGTAGAAAACCCCCTTGGGCAGACCCGCTGCCTCCATGTTCTTACTCCCCGCCAAAAACGGACGAATCTTGTAGTAGAACGTCATAGGATCGCACTTCTCATACATGCGCTCTAGCAAAACGCCGACGCTGTCGATACAGGACTTGAGCTGTTCGAGAGCAGAGATGATAACGTCGTAGTCGCGTGTCTTGACGGCTTCGAGGGCTTCCATCATTTTGGGGATGATGGCGCCCGCGCGAGCTTCCATGGCTACGCTGATGAGGAGGAACCATTTTTCTGATTCTGTGCCGGTGAAGGTGTGTAGAGTGTCGAGGTGGTCGAGATCAGTGAAATCGTCGCTTGAAGAGGAGAAGTTCCATAGGTTTGCAGCGGCGTATGAGAGAACGGGAGGGAGTTCGAGATGTTGTGAGACAGCGAGGAAGGGAATGGTGATTTGTGGGGGAAGAATCTAATCAACACTGTTAGCACCCATATCAAATTAAAGTATAAGTAGCCTAGCTTGACTTACTTGGGCAGGCTTCTCTCCTCCCCAAACATACGCATGCGTCAAGAACGCCAAGATGGAATACGCCCTCCTCCACTCCGCCTCAGACCGTAGTCTCTCCGTCGACAGCACAGGAAGCGTATCAACAGCACGTCTTATATCAAAATACTTGATCAGAGCGGGGAGATGCTGAATAACAAGCTCCCATGGCTCATAGTAGGAGTCGGGTAATTGTTTGAGGGGACTGTGCTCAGGGAGGAAAGCGTTGCTCGTCACGGCAAACTCTTTTAGTTCGGCTGTGAGCTTGATGCGCGGAAGTTGGTACGTAACAGCGTGTGGCGACATATTGAGCTTAATGCAACGCAGAGAAGCTTGATGGAACTTGGTAGAGAAGGACAATTCTTAGAAAAGCATCAGTCTAAAATACAATTGTAAAGCCCATGGGGGGACGAGTTTCTTGTTTTCTTACTTCCGTCTTCCGTGTACTTGAACCTCCGTCTCCGGTCTCCGTGACAATCTCATCCGATCCGTGTTGTGCCCGCGTGACCAATCGCTGTACCTCGCTATATCTAAAATGGATAATGACGTCCACCATGCGGATGTCGGGATGCGGATGTGCGGATAGACCCTAACATCCGTGCTTCCGCTAAAAAATTGGTGGAGGCTTCACGGAACATAAAGTGATTTCGCAATCCCACTCACAAACGGATCATACGAGTTCTACCACATCAGTTCATTACATCACATCACCCTGCTTGTTACAATGGAGCTCTCTGGATTCGTCGAGCGTTTGAGGAGCGGTGCTGCCGCCAAGTTCCCCAGCGATGCCAACTCTCTCGACTTTGCCCGCCATTTGGACTCGCAGGATAAGCTAAGCCATCTTCGGGATGAGTTTGTCCTGCCGACCAAGAAGTCCCTCAAGAAGAAAGCCCTCGATGGTTCACTTCGTAAGCACATACACCTCTCCTCTCGAATATTTAGACTAATTTGTTTCAGCTGGTGCAGTCAATGGTACAAATGGTCACAGCAACGGCAATGGCTCTGCAGCTGATGATCAACAATGTCTCTACTTCGTCGGCAACTCTCTCGGCGCTCAACCAAAAGCTGTGCGGGAATATCTCAACGCTCAGCTCGAGACATGGGCTTCTATCGGTGTGAACGGACACTTCAGCGCTCTTGACAACTCACCGCTTCCCGCATGGCAGGATCTTGCTGAGGACTGCGCTATCAAGTCGGCAGACCTCGTTGGAGCTTCTCCGCATGAGATTGTCATCATGAACACACTCACAGCGAACCTGCATCTTCTCATGGCGAGCTTTTATAAGCCGAGTGAGAAGAGACACAAGGTTATTCTGGAGTGGAAGCCGTTTCCTAGTGATCACTATGCTATTGAGAGTCAAGTCGTTTGGCACGGTCTTGATCCTGAGAAGAGCATGGTTAAGATCCATCCTAACGAGGACCACATCATTACAACTGATTTGATTCTCTCAACCATTGATGAGCATGCTGAAGATACAGCTCTTCTTCTCCTCCCCGGTATCCAATACTACTCCGGCCAACTCTTCGACATCCCCCGCATTACAGCCTACGCACAAGCGAAGGGCATCGTGGTCGGTTGGGATCTCGCCCACGCCGCTGGAAACGTCGAGCTCAAGCTCCACGACTGGAATGTCGACTTTGCATGCTGGTGCACATACAAGTACATCAACGCAGGCCCCGGCTCCATCGCAGGCGCTTACGTCCACGAGCGCCACGGCAAAGTCGAGCTCAACGACGCCACCGGCAAAGCGACATACCGTCCCCGTCTGATGGGCTGGTACGGCGGCGACAAGAGCGTGCGCTTCAACATGGACAACAACTTCATCCCCACCGCCGGCGCAGGCGGCTTCCAGCTCTCCAACCCCTCCGCCATCGACCTCGCCAGTCTCTCCGGTGCACTATCCGTGTTTAACAAGACTACCATGCATGATCTGCGCTCGAAAGCTCTGGTGTTGACAGCCTACGCGGAGTATCTTCTTGATCAGATCTTGGCTGATAGTTCAGACGCTGAGCTGTTCAGGATCATCACACCGAGGGATCCGCTGCAGAGGGGAACGCAGCTTAGTGTGTTGCTGAAGGATGGATTGTTGGATAATGTTAGTGCGGCGCTGGAGGAGAATGCGGTGATTTGTGATAAGAGGAAGCCTGGTGTTATTCGCGTGGCGCCTGTGCCGCTATACACGAGGTTTGAGGATGTTTGGAAGTTTATGCAGATTTTGAGGACGGCTTTGCCTTAGATGAAAAGATAGATAATGTGTTAATGAAGCCTGATTTTTGGTTAAGTTTTGAGAGTCTAGTGACGTCTATTCAAGGGCTTGATCGCGTTAGTAGATGATAGCCACTAGCTGTCCGTGATAGTTGCTTTTACGCCTCATCTGTTGAATCCTCTCCAACTCCATTTAAGAACGTCCCTCTACACAGAACAATTGCATATCATAAGACTCGCACGATGACGTTTTCCAGGCATTGAGCCATATGATCTATCACATTATAACCCGCATATCATCGTCTCACTCGGCTAGACATGGCATTCCATAACCGAGGACCAGCCACCGTCTTATCTTACACCACGACGCGCAATCCTCGTCGGATCTGATATCAGGAACATACCCGCCTGATCTGACACCTCCGAACTTCCGCACCAGCCGATTCGGCATTGACGTTTCACAGATGATGCGTCAAGTCAATGCCACCTCCCGCATCCAACAGCGCAAACAAGTTCAGAGCCGATCCCGAGTCAGCTTCATTCCCCATCGGACCGCCCCAGTAGCTCGGATCAGGCGTCTGCATCATACTCTCACTCAACCCCAGGAACGCTGAGTCCAAGTCGCCAAATAAAGGTGATCCGACATTCTGTAGCCCGTTATGCTGTAAGAACGTCCTGTCGAGTGATTCGCGACCTCTGGAAGATGGTGTAGTTATTGATTGGCCTGTGAAGGTGGGGGATGAGTCCATCGTGTCGGAGGGTATGAGACCGAAGAGTTGGCTCGAGTTTTCGGTGCGGCGTTGACGTTCGGCGAGCTCGCGTTTTTCGAGGTACTCGAGGGCCGTTGTTAGAAGGGATTGGGCTATGAGCGAATATTGGCCTGCGTGGGTGTCGTGTTTTGAGCAGTGGTCTAGAGCGTGGATGGCCATGCGGGTGTACTTTTCGAGGACGCGGCCAAAACCACCGAGGAGGCCAACTCCAAGCACGAGAGAGCTGGCGAATAGCCATGATCTGTAGCAGTTAGAACCAATTGTCGTAAGTTGTATGTCAAGGAAGACTTACACAAGAATGGGAACATGTCCAACAAGAATCCCCTTCTGAATCAGATCCAGTATCGGATCAACCATCAAACTCGCAGCATCAATACAAGCATCAGCAAGTTTCGACTTCCCACTCGTCAAAGCAGATCTCCCATTCGAGTTGACCGAACCATCAGAGAGCCGCCGACAAAGCTCATACATAAGAAACGGTCTCGACACCAGCATCACAGCGTAATAATACGTCGCCAATATCTGACAAGCACCACTCGCCTGCGCTCTATCCTGAGCCTCCGGGTTCGCAACTATATCCTTAAGCTGCTTCAACCACCGCGAAGACCAGTCTCGTAGCTGAAGTGATATCCCCTCCGTAAGCTGAAGCGACACTTTTCGCCGTGAGTAAATCTCCGTGACAACACCCTCAAGCACCAAGAAAATCTGCACAGATGCATTAAGCAGATCCACCGGTTCTTCCACGTTCTCATCAGGACTCTGATACGGAACCGTACAGTCAACGTCTGAAGTAGCAGGCGGTCTGCCCATGGACGAACTCAGAAATAGATCAACGACACGAATACTCTTCCAAAGCCGATCGCGCTGTCTGTGAATATCAGGCCCAAAACGCGCGTTGACTTCTGTTCTGTGAATACCGATGGAGTAAGCTGCGCGTACCGCTGTTCCGAAGAAGAGAAACGCCCCGTTGATCTGGCATGAGCACAGCATGTAGAGTGTGATGAGCGTAAACATCTGGACTGTTGAGACGCTGAGATTGCCGGTGAGGTTGGAGTATGCTTTATCGCGCGCATACTCAAAGTAATCCTGCGATCGCTCCTCATCGTTGATCTTCATTCCGATGGCGAGGACAAGGAGGTTGACGATGGTTGTCGCGTCGTCTTGCTTCTGGTCCATGTTTGCCCAGAGGATGAGATCGTCTTGAAGACGTCGGTTGTCGAAGAGATCCACGAGGCCGGTAGCAATGGATAGGTAATTTGATACTGCGAGGGGGATATCATCTGGGTGAACGATTGGTATGCAGTTATCACCTGGTATTCGTCTCGACTGATGTGCTGTTGCGTTTTCAAGGACTGAATACCGACTGGACTGCGGCGCAAAAGCATTCTGTCCAACACGCGTGGTAACGAGTTGTCTCACGCTCTGAAAGAACGAAAGAGGCGCACAATCGCCAACAAAGATTAACTTCCCCTGCGCATCGCAAACCAACCTCGCCTCCCTCGGAACCTCAGTCTCATCCTCCGCATCAATCTGTCCCCCACCATCTCTATCAATCTGCGCTCCATTCTCCCTCACAGGTTCAGCAGCAGGCGTAGAAGGCGTAGTATGTCTCGTCGACTGCGCCCGCTCCGAAGTCTGCGGCGACCGCACAGAATGCGCTTTACGCCGCCGCTGGGGAGAATAGTGGCAGTCGTGCGGCTTCTGGCGACGCGTGCAGTAGCTGCATGGCAATCTGCCGTCGCACTTGACTTTGCGGGACTTGCACCCGTCGCAGGCGTTGGCGATGCGGCTGCGGATGTAGCGCTCTGGTTCTGAGGGTTGCATGCTGCTATCAAGGGTTTTTTCGGTGAAGCATGCGGAAGCCGGATGTGTTGGAGGTGAGAGGACGGAAAGACGCGGATGTTCGGACTTGGGAAATTGTTAGTGCGGGCCGGCTTGAGATTCCGAGTCTTGGCTTGAGGTTGAGAATGGGGAATTATATAAATGCCTGACCGTCTTACTTTACACTGGGTAATTGGTATCAGTTGTGGAATGGTTATTAGAGACGTATTGTATCCGAAGGTTTGACGAGGTGGTATTCGGTATAAGTGATAAACCAATCGCATGTGCATCTTGTGCATGTTCACATCCGACAAGGACGGCACAGCGGCTATGTTCAGCGGATCAGCACTACCGTCCACTGGAACTGCCTCTCACTCACAACACGCCCAATGGATCAGCCACAATTCAACTTGACTCATTAGGAAAACAACAACGTATCACTATTTTCTCATTTAATTCATCTAAAATCAGGTGCTTTTCTTTCTCGAGTTCCCTGCTAGGGGTAATTGTGGAAGCTTCAGTCGCAATCGCTCACTAATGTCTGTCTCAATCTCATCGTCCCGTCCAAGACCGTATCTACACAGTAGCTTGCTTCACCAAACCAACCTAAGCGGCGCTTGTCTTTTGCTTCTTCGCGCCACCCTCATCATCATCGCCAGCCTTGCGCTTCGAGCTAGTCTCATCAACCTGATCTGACTCCTCATCTCCATCTGCCTCAGCATCAACGCCGGGGTCTTGTTCCACAGCCTGACTCTCCGCATCATCAGACCAAGCGCTGACCTCACCCCGAGCTCTGGCCTCAACACCAAGACGCAACTGTTCATTCCGTTCGTGATAGCTATCATCTCCATATACATAAGCATGTTCCAGTTGGTGGCATATGAAGCCTATCGAATGCTCAAATGCCAAGAGACAGTTTTCCCTCAACCTTTCCGGCGTGTAGCTCAGTTGGACCTCAAGCCTATCAATTCCCTTTTCAAAGTCAGAGTCAATGACCCTTAAAAAGCGAAAGCAGCCTGCGACAAGGACCTCTTCGCTATCAGCCCAGAACTCCTTGTCCTTGGGGAAGTTGAGCATCAGCTTGGCAGCGATGGAGAAGACATGACCCAGGCGAGGGGCGATGCCATCGTGATGTGTCATGGAGCCCCCGTCGTAGTCTTGCCTTCCCATGTCATGCATGACTACCCAAGCATAGCGGTTGAATCCCTGATGCCACGCAGTTTTGATCATCTCAAAGATGCAAACCTCACGGACAGCACCTGTCATCCATTCATGGAGGTTGATGTCCTTCGACAGCTGTATTGCCCATTTGGTGCAGCAAATCCTCTCAATTTCATCATGGTGGCTGCAGCGAAGCTTGAGTATGTGAACCATTGCTGGTTCTCTGAAGTTCAGCCTGTTCTTGACCATGTGGTTTATGGTCCGAAGAAGACGCTCTGGCTCAAGCGGCCAATCCAAGATCAGAGCTTTGGAGCAGCACTTTTGCATATCCGCATGCATCACCTTGGTGTCGACATTAGCTACAAATATCTCCAGGCCAGAGTGAGGGTTGTTCCATTCTCGAATGATACGACTAGTCTCAACTGCCCCATCCGAAGAGCGGACAGTGCCGACATCGAATCCGGCCGTGACAAACAGGGCAACAAGAATACTATGATATGTGAGTACATTCCCCATCAGGGTACACAGTTCCAAGCACGCATGCTCCCATAGGGACAATCGATACGTAACTTACCACTGGATCCACGAGTCTTCGACATACACAAGAAGTCGTTCCTTTTTGTCCTTGCAGTACTTGATAGCCAAATCTAGCGCTCGCGTCATGATGGGACTGTGGAAGAGAAGCCAGCCGATCGTGACAGCCCTGCTGCCCAGTGCACTTACACTCCTGTCCAATCGGTTCTGCATGTAGAACAGATGAACACCACAGCTTTCATCATTGTAGACCATGTCGTACACTTGACCATGGTGATCACATCGGGGCTGGTATCGTCCTCAATCTGTGACCTTGGAACGTTCGGATCCTTGAGTCTCTTGATGAAAGGCTTATCGGACTTCAGAGTAGAGTTATTGCGCCAATCGAAGCAGGTCAAGAGTGCCTTGCGGTGTTCTAGCATCTCTTCATCTGTCTGGTTGCACACCTTTTCCGAGACTTTGGGCATGATCTTGGCAACATGACAAGCAATAGGGTTTTCTTCCTGGAAGTCGCATTCTTCGATGACAATAGTAGGTGGCATATCACCAGTACCTGGTGTCGCTAAACTCACAGCGCGTTAGCAGCATGACAATCAAGGGCGCAATTTCAAGCATGAGTGTTCGAAACGGCCACTGGGATGCAAGAAGTACACTTACAATCAACCTGATGTCTCATTAGGGCGGGAATATTGGGCCCTTGGAGAGAGAAGGTGACCTGCGTTTCGGTCTCACGAGCTCTCTTGAGGAGTTTGTCGAAGTCCGGCTGAGCATGGAGTTTCTTGGCACGAGTGACTTCAAACTTCAGCTCCCATTCAAGAAGTGGATGCATTTCAGGTCTGTGCAGCTCCCTTTGGCGCGCAGCAATCCTTCGTTTAGGGCGCGTAGTTGTCGAGGACTCTACCAAGATTGTGTTGATCTTGACCGTGTCGAGCCCTTTAATCGGCTGCGGCTCACCTAGAGCTTCAGGTGCATCCCCATCCACGAAAGACGTCTGTTGATCAGAATGGGTGTTAGCCATAGAGTTGCCGGACTCGCCATCTGACAGTGGCGCAGTAGTAACCTTAGGTAGGCCTGGATTCATTGTTGGGGAGGTAGGACAGTGATAACCTGGAACCTCAGCATTAGAAGAACTCGTTGGGGCAGTCTTTGTGATCCATTTCGATGCGCTTCGTCGTTTGAGCAAGTAGTAGAAAAGTAAAACCGCGCGGTAGAGGTCTTCCATGGAGAAGAGTCCAGCGACAGCGGGCGCCGTGCCACCTCCAATTGTTTCGGGTGTCGGAAACCGATGAGCGTAGGCGCCTTGATCTCTGGTGTAGATGCGATCAGGGTCCCAATCCTGAGGGGCGAAAAGAAGTATCTGAACAGCATGTGCTAGGATAAACGCGTGAGGCGAGATGTTGCCTGGCTCGCCAGGCATAGAAACGGTTTGGTTGACCGCAAGGATAAAGGTTGGCTTCGTGCAAAGCTGTGCGACATTGTTGACGAACTGCCGAACGTTTTCATCCTTGTGATAAGTACTCAAAACTTTGATTGGCTCAATACCATCAATGTCGAGCATGCGATGTTCGTATCGATCCTTGCTTTGGAAGAAGTCGAGATATCGTGTCTTGGGTGGTTCAATGAGATTCTGAAAGTCTCGGTCGGCTTGACTCGCTTAACGCATGGTCTTCTAAACCTGCGAAGAATTTACGCCGTCGTGGCTGTTGAAGTAGGAATCGGGCACCAGGAAGTAGTTCTGCGTAACAAAGGCAGCCTGGTAAACGATATCTGGGACTGCCGAAGAACGATTAGCATGAAAATCGATGATGCAGAGGTGTAAGAAGCTTACCGATGACATCAATGTAGGAGCTGAGCTCCTTGATGCTCTTAAAGGCGCAGTACTGAGCAAGGTGATTGGGATCCTTCATCTCAACAGTCCACACCTTGTTGATCAGGATACCCATCTTTCTCTGAACTTCAAGTTTGGGATCGCTCAGATCATGGACTCCAGCTTGCGTGTATTTGATGTGAGAGTAGTCGCAGTATTTCTTAATCCAACTTGGAAAGGAGATCCTGCGGTCATGTGCATGCTCCTTGTCTTTGTTGAACAGGCGCATCAAGCTGATGAAATGATCATCGCCATCGGAGGAACAAGAGTTGCTTAGACCTCTCGCCATTTTCAAAGATGAAGTGGGTTCCGGTTCACAGAATTGCAGTAGCCCGGAGGCAAGAGTGTGGTGCCGAGTCAAGATAATCCCGAGCACCTCTGCTTGGATCTTCGAGAATTGGCTGAAGTAGAAAGGGCAAAGAGATCGGGATAACGTTTCCGAGCACGGCTGCTTGGAATTGCTCGATTCAATAGTAAATTCTTGCTAAATACTTCCTTAGTTAGCGAGGGCCGCTGTAACAAGCAATTCCAGGCAGGTCTCCTTGAAAGGGGTTGGCCGGTCACGATTCCAAGCAGGCTTGCGTGAGTCTTGACCTTCAGCAGCGAAAGAGAAGGCAAGGATAAAGGAAGAAGAAAGGAAAGGGAACTTCAGATTAAGGAGAAGAGACTATATACCCAGCTGTGGTCACGTGAGAGCATGCCGTTGTTGGTTGTCTTTAGAAAGCGAGGGTATCACGATTGGTCGATGATGCGCGAGGGTTCAAGGTCTCTGCTTTTGAGGTAAATTACGCAGACCTATCAATAGAATTAGTCCAAACCGCACCCATAATCGATTTCCCCATTGTGAAATGGCTTTTAATAGTCCTCATGAATTTTTCGAACCGGTCATTGTTCTTCTTCGACCTCAGAGGCCCGTCTTGTTATTGGATCTAATCCTGCACGTCAGTACTGATTGCGAATTGCCTAACAGTAACGCATACCAACCGGTAACCTAACTAGCTTTAAAGAGAAAATAGTTATGAATACATTCATACTTCAGGAAATGACTGAAGATTCCGGTTTCCTGATCGTTTGAACAGGTCGATACCAAAGAAGCTTGCCGCAACCGCCGACGGCAGAAGACGATAAGCAGTACAGCGATGACTCCCTCAGGGTACTGCAGTCCCTTAGCTCAAGAGAAATATGGATGCGAGCAAAATTGTCTTGTCGAACGACAGACTTGAAGGCGAGGTTCTTCGCAATTCCGTCGCGCGGTCTGCAGATCCGAGGTCGGTTATTTTGACCATCATATGATTCGCCTCGGTAAATAAGGACTTTATCCGCACCATGTATGAAGTGTGTACGCTGTCGACTGAGAGATAAATCTTGTCGTATTCCGGAGGGCTCCTGGATTGATTGCCACCTTGTAGCGAGTACTCCGTCACCTTTGATCCAAGATCGCTTAGGGAAAGGCCCCGGATCTCGTAGAGTAGCTGCATCTTGTGTCACTCTTAAGTACTCTTGGGATTTGATTACTTGAATCAACATTGATGAATTTGCGCCGACTTCTTGTACAAAGTTCTGCTGCCGTAGTTCCATGTCAGCTCCAAGGCTCCTTAGTTGAAATCCTCGTAGATTGAGAAATACAAAAGAACGAAGGGCACATCAATGATTTTGCAAAGGCTGCATCGGAAGTCAGCTGGCAATTGCTGAATTGGGAAGAAACAGACAACAGTAAGAAATATGATATGACACTTCACGTGCCATCCAACTCGTTCTTTGGACTCTTCCAGACTCAATCTTGGGGCAGTGGTGTTAAGATACCCCGCAGTTCTCCGCGTTCGTCTCCTGATATGAGCACTCGGCTGACAACTGTTCGCATTTCCCGTTATAGCCGTTACTCTGGGGTAAGTCCCCAGTCAGAAATGTCAATCTTCATGAAAATCAGACAGCGTAAGTTTATCTCCTACGAGATCATCAAAATTAGTGAGACGAGATTGGAAGTACATCTTCTTCAAGCTATCACACATGCCAAATGGCTCAAGTGTACTCAATTGATAGCTCGCATAACGTTCGCTAGATTTTGGGTCACATTCCTCCTCGGCTTCATCTTCTGTTCACGCACCCGGAAACCTCCGGATGATGTTGGGTGACAATCGCAGAACTTTAGTAAGCCAAAGCGCAAACCTGAATTGATCGTGTGATGTGATACTCTTCTTGTATTAGCCAAAAGTCTACGGAATCGATGGAAAGGGAAGCACGTAGGTGGCTCCATAATTCGACGTAACATCTTGTAATTGCGCATAAGTATCGAGTGATGTCCGGCAATCTCTCGGGAACTGGATTTCTTTTATTCTCTGCATGTCACCACTCACACTCAGTGCTACATATTAATTCTTGAACAGAGTCTCTAATTTGTGACTGCAATTAAAGACACTTCTCATCCATCACTTCTCATAGCCGTCACCAACTCAATCATATAATCTGCCAGCTCAAGATACCACTCAGCATTAATCATGGCATGGGACCTGGAGATCGGAACACCTTGCTGGGTCGCAACTGGTGACGTCGAGATGCACAGACAGAGCGTCACCCCTCGTCGAGCTACCCCCAAGTACTTCCAAATCCCAGACAAGATCGACATGCCTGGAGCAATATACGACGACCTTATTGAAGATGTTCGAGAAGGCCTGGAGGAGATCTTCGAACACCCAGGCTCCCGTGCACCATTCATACCGGGGTATCAAGATCGTGCCGATGCGATCGCTCGTGCGAAGCTGTTGCGCGAACACGGCCAGAAATGCCCGAATGTCATGATGGTGCATCTCAGGCCTCCCTCTGGAGTCATTTCTCATCGAGAGTTGAATGTTTATGCGCGCAAGGTTGCTTACAATGGACAGGGATTGAGGGTGGCGAAGAAGAAGGTTTATGTAATCTGTGAGCCTTTTACCAAGAGGAACATTGATCGAGTTGAGCCAGTTCAGTTTGAGTGATGAGGTATTGAGTCGGAAACTTGGTGTGGCGTGGATGGGACGGGCATTTCTTTTGGTTGAGGTTTGTTCGTAACATGGCACTCTTTGACAGATTGTACTGAGGGCTTGGTCTGTTGAGACTATAACATATCAGGTCATGGTGATACCGATGAGATTAAGGGCGGATCATTTTATTTACGGCTATGATTCTATCATACGAAGTTGTTCATATCGTGCTAAACCCTTGTGATTCCCGCCCATAGCAGACCAAGATGTCACTCAGAAGATTGTGTCTGCGTCCAAGAAGAATTCCCATGTCTCCCGCCGTTACCCCATCACTGTCTGACGTCGAAAGTAGTCGTCCATGAAGATGATTTACTGGCGAAAAAGCACCTCAGCCTCCGACAACAGAATTTCCTTGGCCTGCACAGCACCTGTGATACAAGTCACCTTGATAGACGCCTCAAATTGGGCGAAGTCGACATTTCCATAGGAATGGATCCAATCATGAACACTCGAGAAGATTTGGGCGGCGTCAAAATTGTGTCCAATGCCTTCGAAGATCAAGGGTTGCTTATCCGGATTAACGGTGATTCGTTCGACGGAGATCTCATCCAGCGGATTCCGATCATAAATCAGCCAGACAGGATGTCCAGGCGTAACAGCATCAATAACAAGGACATAGTCAGTGTCAAGGAAGATCTCGCTTATCTTTGCATTCGATTTCGTGTGCAACTGCCCGACAGGCAATACTAGAGAAGGAAGAGGTTGGCCGGAAACTGATGGTTTGAAGATAGGATGGACCTGAAGTGAAATTAGTAAAGGATAGGGGTCCAAGTCCTCAGACATGGTCTGAGATGAAGAGTCATGCCGAGGGAGCTCCTCCGTGAACAGTGCTCCAACATCTGGTATAATAGCAAGGGTATCTATATTACTATCAGTAATAAGATCGAATCGGCCCTGAAAATAAAAGGCCATGTTCAATTGGTGATCAGTTATGGCGAAGGGGTCTGAGAAGTCGACTGTAGCAAGCTGCTCAAGCCATTCCTTTGGTGAAAGACGACGGGTGGTGTTGACCCTGGAAGCCCTGTTCAGGAACGGCTCCAAGCTGTTATCGCAAGCAGTCACTTCCTTGAGTTTCTGCAAGTAGACCGCTGGGTGAACTGAGATAATCCAATTAGCATGGTTCAGCGATATATCGAGGAAAGGTTCTTACCTTTGAAAGGGTCGTCACAAACAGCCGCCTTGATCTCGGCAAAGCGAGCTTCGGAAATCTCGTTGTTTTCCATTGCATCAGTTGCCACTTGCGAATGAGCCTGGCCCAAACACTCAGTGACGTACGCCAATGTTGCCTCCTTGGCCTTTACGAAACCGAGGAGACCGGTCGCCTTGACAGACTCCTGAAGCTGATTGAAGTTGAGATTTCCGTAGGACTCGAGCCAGTGGTCAATACTGGGCGGGATCTGAGCAGCGTCAAAGTTCTTCTCAACTCCCTTGAAGACCGGGTCACACGTCTCTGGGTCAAGGTAGCCTCGTTCGTCCCTCAAACCTCCCAGCCGATCCCAGATCAGCCAGACAGGATGCCCAGGCGCAATAGCATCAACGACGAGGACATAGTCAGTATCGTGTGTATATGGGATACCACTTGAGGTCTCGTATTTCAAGCGCAACTGTCCAATGGGTAGCACCACAGAAGGAAGTGATAGTTTGGGGACTTCTCCATCTGCGAGAACTGGTCGCACCTTGCTTTTGCCGACAAATTCAAGCGTCAGTAGGCCTGGATGGGAGCTGTCGCGATCTACAACTGATGTGCGATCCTTGCTCATAGCTCCAGGCCATGGCGAAACACTAAAGGCGTCTTTACCAGTGCACAGAACGAATTCTGGTACGTTATCCTGGATCAAGGCCAATCGGTGGCCGATAACAGAGGCAGGGTCTGCAAAGTCCAGTGTAGTAAGCTTCTCAAGCCATTCCTTCGGTGTCTGACGCGGAGATGTAATATCAAGGTCGTCGGCGCTGTCTATCATTTCTTCTTTCACAATCTTGATGCAATTGGCGGCGGAAGAAGTGTCATCATGAATCTTGTCGCCCTCCATGGTGTCGGCGGTCACTTGCGATCGGGCTTGGTGGAAGAACCTCGACAGCTTGGACAGCAGCGGTAGACGTGTTTCCCTGTGAGAGAATTATTAGTGTTCTCGATTATACTACCACGGCCTTTATGGATGTTCATACCGGGCGTATTGTGAGCACCCAAGCGAGCCCGACAAGTTGTTTGATGATTTTGGTCACCGGTCTGGACCGAATGTCAAGTCGCTTGGTTGATCCTCGTAGCGTTTGAGGCAGGGAAAGGATGAGTTGTCTGTGATAGTGGTCAAAGACTGATGTGGTAGAACGGAAGGAATCCTTCGATGGTGAGAAAAGGATGAAGAGGGGAAGAAAAGGAAAACAGAGAGGAAGAGAAGCATTTATTATCTGGTTCGGCGCTAGTGGACTGTTGCGAGTCACTGCCACTGGCTCCAATGTTGTGCTGCCAGTGTCAAAGTATTCTCTACCGCCTGGCAAGAGAAGTGGGTAAAGGGCACGCAGTGACACTGAGTTACTCCCCTCCGATGGTTCCCTTATGCAGTGCGTACCGGTGTTCACTTGCGGTCGAAGCAACACACTGAGAAACAAAGTCAAAGTGCAGAAAAATCCAAGGGACTTAGTTTCATGGGCCACACGTCGGGGTTTCCAAGACTTTAACTTTCCGTCGAAGGACGATGATGTTCTGCTCATAAAACTGAACAAAGAATCTGCATACTGCAAGACTGGACAAGTGAACTTCTGGTGCTATTTAACCGAGTGAATGGTGTTGTTATTAGCTACCAGCTCGTGGTCTAGGGTGCACCGCCCTACAGTCATAGCCGAAGACTCCTCCAACTGAGGTATCCGGGGTAATACGAAGCGGAGGAAGAGCTATCAGCATTTGAACGTTCCAAGAGACAGAATGTAGCCCAAAGTAAGGTTTCGTGGAACCTGACACTGGTCCGTGTGAACGTGAAGGCAAGGCCTAGACCCTAATGATGCAAAATCTCCAAGTCGAAGGGCCATGTGACGCCGACATTCTCGAACTATTCTTGAAAGACACTACTGCCTCAGTATTCCCGAATACCTTTCCTTCGTTGAAGACATATATAATATTGCAGAGTTCGCGAAAGGCCAAGTTCAGAACGACGCATCCAGGGTGAGATGCCTTTGGTGTACGCTGTTGAACATGATCGTGTACAGAATATAGAATCTAGCATGCCGATGCTCGCGGAAACAAAAATTCTTGATGGTGCACAATGCATGGAAATTAGGAATGCGTTGACATGAGAAAGTGGCCATAACAAAATGTGCTGAGAGAGAAGTTCGCCGGTGAGTGATACGGAAAGCACACAATTGAGAAGGAGGGCTGAGATGTGAGAAGTGCGTGGGCACTGCATCAAGTCGTTGTCCCCAAACGAGCAATTAGTTGAAGGAGACATTCAACTTGCTTTCTCAGGAGCTCTGAATGACCGACTGAAAGGCCTCGAAAGTCACAGACGTCCAAAGAAGGTGTCCTGCTTCGGAGGGGATCAAGCTAAGGCCTACTTGGTGACAAAAGAGCCTCATATGGAGAGTCACAATGTGCCGAATGCTCAATATGTGATTACCAACGTCCAAGGACGTAGAAGTGGCTGAGTGGTGCATGACTAGATCAAGATTCAAGGTGTATTCTCCTAAGTCTCGCCCGAATGTGTGTCCTTCAAAGCCAATTGAATATTTAATTAGAAAAGAGAACACACTTGAATCAATTTGTCCCTAGCTATGGGATGCGCTACGAGGCTTTGCCCTTCAATCGATCGTCCATCAGTGCCTGATCAACATATATCTGACCCTATGACTTTCAGATGTCCTGGAAGAAAGATTGAATCGCCATAGAAACAGCCTATTTGTTCTCCAGAGCAGTGAGATCCTTCGCAGTTGCGTTCATGACCCTGACTTCTCCTACCATCCCTGTCTTCTTGAGCGAATCCAGAAATTCGGCCTCACTGACCTTCCCATATGCTTCGATCCAATCTTTAATGCTTGGGAAAATTTGAGCAGCATCGAAGTTCTTTTCTGACCCCGTAAAGACCAAAGGAGTTCTCTTCGGGTCAGTGACACCCTTGAACTCATAGTCATATCGTTGGTATCGATCGTAGATTAGCCAAACTGCATGTGAAGTCTCAGCAGCATCAACAACGAGGATGTAATCCGTATCGATCAAATTAGGAATGCCGCTCGTGTTGATGTATTTCTTTTGCAGTTGTCCGATGGGCAACACCAGAGAAGGTAGGGGTTGGGATTGGCTGTGCTCTAGGCGAGGAGTGATATGAGACGCGAGCTCAATGCTGAGAGATACCAGGACTGAGTGAGCGATGGGCTTTTTGGTTGGCTTAGGGTGTAAGCTCAAAGCTCCAGGAAATGCTGAGACAGTAAAGGTAAATTCGCTGGCAGCGATTAGATCGAAGTCATCCACGTTATCTGAAGTCAAGGCATAACTCAGGTTGTTGATATCTTCAGGATCTGCGAAATTTGCTGCAGCAAGCTTCTGAAGCCATTCTGTTGGTGACTGGAGCGGGGCTTCGATATCTATATCCGATGCCCTTTTCAAGAAGGGAATCAGGCTGTTGTCCTTGCTGGTTTCTTTGTCTAGCCTCTCATTATAGTTGCCCGGAGATCCTGCCGGCCATGTTAGTAAACAGGACGTGTGGCCAAGTATCAAGAGGGGGCTTCTTACGATCTGAAGGCCGACCAACAACCTGTATAATCTCCTCAAAGCGTTGATCGGAAATCTCGTTGGCAGCCATTGACGTCGTAGGCCAGATGTGTTTTCGCAGTGAAACTTGTGGCTGAGAGATCAAATCAGCACAGAGAACCTCAAACTTAGAAAAGAAATACGAACAAAAAAATGTTCACAGCATCAAGGAAAGGAAAGTAATTTACCCAATCTGTTGCTGTAAGGGAAGTTGAAAGGTAAAAGTCGCTAGCAGGGCGCTGAAGGCCACAGACTGTTGTGAGTACGAGGCCTGTTGTGTGATGAGGGAAGAAGCGAGCTAGGTGCCCAAGTGGGCAGATCACATACAGAAGAGATGTGTGGGCCTCAGGCATACACATCTCAACACAAACCCCTCTGACTCATTGAGGAGATCAGACAGATCATGCGGCTCGTCATACCTAGCCTTGACGACGGAGGAACCACGTAGAAGCACTTGGTAACACAATAAGTTACTGGAACCTTCTTGTCTGCAGAGTTCCGACCGGAGGTCTATGTTACCAGGGTTGAGGATCTCGATTGGGTTTACAAGCTCTTAGGTTTACCTCAGTGCGATAAATGTTCCGGCTCGCAGTCCATGGCGTTCCGAACGCCGACTGGAAGATCCGGGGTGTTGATTGAAGGTACAGCAGGACAAAGTGTCTGGGAGCTCATCAAGACAAGTGATTTCTTGAAGTCTGTCGCTCGGTTATCGCAGTCTGATCATCAGATCATAACATTTCTAGTTTCTGTGAAGCATCAAGCGTACGTACTCTCTTCAACACCTTTTCGAAGACTGGATGGACATGCCGCTCCACATCAAGACAACGAATTCCTAATTTGGGTATCCGTGGTCTGAACTTGAACTTGATGACCTGGAAGCAAATGTGTCGAAGCGATGCCTAAAGAAAGTGATCGAGGTAACCCGTTTGCAAGTGTGATGGAGGAAACCAGCTCCATTGGTGCGGAAGATGAATTCCAATGAAATTGCTTTGCCACAAGGCTACCTGCCACTGTTCCACACTAACTACCTCTTGTTCATGTTCAACTGACGGTGAATGCTTGTACATTTAGGTCCTTTTTGATATCAAGACGATTCCAGCGCCTAATGATCTCCGCTCTTGTTGGCTAGAGGAGTTATAATAGCTGTTCTGTTCGGATGTGACTTCAGAATTGAAGCATCATCGCAAAGCAGCTCATGGGATCCAAGGGTCTTGGGAGAGAAGGTATTAACCTGGCCACTTACATAAAGGGCCTCATAAGCGTACGTGGACTTATAGTCTCTATAAGAGACGATATCTGCCGCAAGTGCGCCTGTCTTCTTCAGCCAAAATCTGCTTGCCGAATAGGAACCTTTGAATGGGATGACACCTGTTTCTCGTGTCCTCATCCGTCACCTATGTTTGCACCACAAAGCCCTTATGTAGCACTCGACTACAGACACCTGCCTAATAGAGAAGCCAGAGCTCCCGGAGCCTCGGAGCCTTTTCAAGCATAAAGACAAGCTTGAGAAACGACTTCCAGCAAGGAATGACTTCCACCAATGGCCGCTTGATGCTGCCACACTCTGTTCTTGGCAACAGCCCCCTTGTTCATGGACATTCGATATGACTGGAGGAAATAATGGCTCTGATCTCTTGGATACCACTTGGATAGTACCCCCGCTTGCAACGCTGGGCATTACATCCATGCACTTACACTTGGCATCATGGCATCTGGGCACATTGACACAGCACTTTGAGAGACAAATGAAAAGTATAAAGGCCCGTGCTATACTTCATTCACATTAACTCACTATTGGTAACAAAAGGCTAGCCTCAATAACACTCATCATGCATTTCCCCAGCGTAATTGCTCTTCTTACAACCCTGCCGTCAGTTCTAGCCTGTAAGGGCTATACTGGGGGTCTTCCGAAGCATACGGGAACCAAATCTCTCGGTTCTCCCCAGTACATCAAGAAGGGCCAGACTTTTGACGCTGGCTGGGTCAAGTATGATCGTGGGGTGAAGTGCACAGGCCAGGCTGAAGGAGGTAAGTGACGATAGCATCAGTAGCGCCTCGGCCATCGCTAACTACATCATTCAGGTGAGAAGGACACGGTTTTTGTCCTTGAAGATGGGGCGAAGCTTAGAAACGTAATTATTGGCGCCAATCAGCGTGAGGGCGTGTACTGCCTTGGATCCTGTACCCTGGAATTTGTGTGGTTTGAGGATGTCTGTGAGGATGCCATCTCAATCAAGGGCGGCGGCACAGCCAATATTATCGGCGGTGGTGCCTATAAAGCTGCCGATAAGATCATCCAGCATAACGGCTGTGGCCATGTGAACATCATCAACTTCTACGCCAATGATTACGGCAAAGTTTACAGGTCTTGCGGTAACTGCAAGGGTAACTGCCGACGGTCAGTGCATATGGAGGGTACTACTGCTGTTAACGGCGGGGAGTTGATGGGCATCAACACCAACCTGGGAGACAAGGTACGAATATTCATCAAGAACTTGACGCGTGGCTAAGTATTACAGGCAACTTACTCTAACAACTGCTATCCCAAGGTCCAATGCCAGGGCTACAATGGTTGTGATAAGGGCAACGGCGCTTGTGAGCCTACAAAGGCTGGCCTTTGCTAAGCGGATGAGCAGCCGCCTCCAAATAGTGCCTTTTGTGGGTTTCTACCGAACCTTGACATCGGAAATATTGACTAAAGATTACAAGAACCTCGCCAGCGGATGGAAAGGTGCTAGCTGATGATCTTCTGATATGGATTTATCATATAACATGAATTGATACTCCACGATTTAATCTTTCTTTTCCATGTTCCTACAGAGTGATCTTGACTTTGACACGTCTTCAGCCATGTTAGCCTCCCCTACCTGAGCACTACGACAGTATTTCGTGATAATTTAACAGCATTCGCAAGGAGCTGATAGAATAATAATACTCTTTTTTTATTTAATTTTCTAGGGTTTTTAGACAGGTAAAATACTCATACCAAGGCAACGCAAGCATCTATCCCGGGAGTGAAAGCCCTGGGCCCTCATGCAGCCCAAGCCTCCCAATGAAATCGATCACAAACAGTCCATACAACCTAGGGTTTTTAGGATTAGGCATCTCATACTTCATAAGATCCCACCCTCCCTTTGAGCATAATTCTCTCATGTCTGACGGAGATAGTAGTGGCAAGGCTCAGATAGATCATCCAAATAGTCAAGAGACCTACGTCCAGTCAAAGTGTACCACACACTCTTCCATGTGTTCAACAATTGGTGTTTCCAGCTAGGGTGCTCCGGGTGTACTTGTTCCACTTTGATCCATCCAGTTGGGGGAGTGGTTCCCTGTCGGATGACTCGGAGCTTTGCCACAAACCTCGGCGTATGGTCTTCGTAAAGGGCTTCGCGGCCATTCTCTCCAAAGGGTCCCTTGACAAGGGGTTCGACTTCCTTCCATGAAAGAGGGGCAAAATATACGTCCCTGGTCTCTTCAAAGTACTGGAAGCTGGCCCAATAGCCCCCAATAGCCCCCGGACTGCGCTCGTATCCCCATTTACCCACGTATGGTATGGCTTCGTCGAGAATAGGATCATTCGGATGCATGGATGGTTTCTCTGAGCCGTTGAAGTGACTGTCATGGAATTGTCCTTCTTTTTGGGGTACTGGGTACAGACCGGTGTTGAATTGCCATTTGATACCAGTATGAGCAGCACCTGATACGTCAGTCTGAGGTCTGACGCGTGGAAGATCCTCTATCATCCAACTCTCAGCTACGCTGGGGAATATGACAGAGAACTCGTCGAGCTTTGGGAGCTTCTCAAGGTCTAATGCTTCGCCGACAGGGTCTTCTAATGGCCACATAGGATCTCTGTCAGTGGCACAGCTCTTGGGGATTACCTTCGAAATCGAGAGTAGTTTTCGTACGGGAAGAGTAGCTGGACCATTGGTGGTGATAAAATCTGGAAGATTCATGTCGAAGACCCGCAGCGTGTCAATGTCCAGGTTCATGCGAAATGCAACTTGCTGACCGACAACTCCCTCGACGTTCTGCTCCGCGATTGCCAACTTATACGTCATTCGTGATGACAACTTGAGTGCCAGCATGGAATCCTCCCATGTCGACTGCACTCTTGAATACCTTCGCCGTGGTATGGGTCGATTTAAAAGGGTTGGTGTGACTTGAGGGGAGCTCGCAAGCTCAACAATCCGGAATTGTAGTTCTCTTGGGAGTCTCATAATGAAAGAGCGGTCAGCTTCTGGAACTTTGCTATCTTTAACCCAAGGGGGCTCAGACCGGCCCACGGAATATCCCAACCACTGACCATCAGCTTGAGGAGGAATTGTACGGAGAAGATTCTTGTATCGGCGCTCCTCCATTTCGTCATATGTCTGACTGAAAAGAAATTCTTGTAGAATCAGAGCCCGATACAAATCATCGAGAGTGTACTCACCAAACGCTTTCTCATCATCCGAGTTTGGCGAGGGAAACTTGAGTGGGAAGCGGCGGGCATATCGACCAGTTGACTTGTAGGATCCATCCGCACGCCAATAGACTGGAGCAAAGAGCATGATTTGCACAGCATGAGCAAGTATAAATAACTCTTCGCAAAATTCGTCGTCAAAATCGGATACAGTTCCAGGACTGATCGGGACATACGTCGGGATCAGCTTCGGTTCGGTAAGAAGTGTAGCCAAAGTCGAGAGCCATTCGCGCACGGCAGCGTTCTCACGAAAGAACCTAAGCAGATAATTCGGCTTGTCGTTAGAACTGCTTGTACCCCAGTATGTTTGTGACTGCTGAATGACATCACCCAGAACTTGACTCTGAATATGGTCAATGAGATCTTGGTTCTGTGTATTAGGATGCAAGGCGTATGGGGTATTAGAATACGCGTCGATACTATCCCTGTAGCTCGCGCCATATCCGTTTAAGACATAATTGGCTGGTCCAACGATATCTGGTACAACAACTTGCACATACGAGAGGAAGTCTGCCTCGCTTGCGAAAGACAAATATTTGGCAGCACACGTCACAGATATTCTTTTCTTGGACTTTTCGGTTCGAGTTTCCAACACCCGCAGGCCTGCTGGTACGCGTCCTGTCCCAGTCCATGGTATCTTGTTGCTTGGAGGGTGCACGATAGAGTAGTCGGCATTGCGATGCCACTTCGCAAGGTCCCGGTTCTGGCGGGCAATGCTGCCATATTCCGCTATCTCTGTATCCATCCTGTCGATGTTCCGCGTCAAGAATGTGGATAGGATGTGCTGGGCGAGCAGCTTCCGAGTAAGGGCACTGAACGCTTAACGGTTAGCTTGGGACCACCAGTGCCGACTTCGTTACGGGGTCGTACCTAATGCGAGTGACAAGAGCCCAGGATATTGAGATGTTTTTCAAGGTAGATATAGATGGAAAGTGCCTTTAAGAGCGTGAGAGATACGATATGACTCGGTGGTTGAGTCGTGATCTTGAGTGAAAAAGGTACGGGTTATGGTAAGACAGGGAACTGGTTGACTGAGTAGGATCAAGTGGTTCGGCAGGCGAGACGACTTTGGGGTTCTGTCGGAGTGTTGATTAACTGCGGTATGGGTCACCGAGAGGGTGGAAGACCACAGATGGTATGCGATGTGCGCGTGGTCGGAGAGGCGAGTGGTAGGAGATGAGGTTGAGGATGAGGAGGGAGAGATTAGGTGTGGAGAAAAGACCGGGAGAGCTGAGGAATCTCGGTGAATGAAAAGCACAGAGGGTTGCTTAGGGCCGTGCGCTACGATTGTTTATTATAAGCAATGGAACAGTGGCTACTGCTCTTCCAACCGACGCCCCGGCCCCTCGACTCTCAGTGTCAGAGACTCAGAGCCCTAATGACGCTGAGACCAGGTAGCATCGGATTTACGACCACTACGGCCTCTCATTCACCGTGGAAATCTTCTGGCACATCTATTAGTCTCTGCCAGTGCTTATCGCGGGCGTGAAAGTGGTTCACATGCCGCAATCTGTCTCCCAGGATTGCCATAGCCTCTACCCAGTCGGAGGGTCCCAAGCGCGTTTGTCGACGAGCATCAAGCGGCACTGGAAGACAGTCCCATCGACTACAGTTTCTCTGGGACTGACCCGGATGATGCCCAATCGTCATCACCAACATGGTCCAAGGCGGAAGAGGCCGACGGAGAGATTTGCTACGTATGAAACGACCTCACAAACTTATTATAAGTTGGTACTAGGGGCGGTGATGTTCTGGTCGTATAGTCAGTACATGACATCGTACAACGGGCTTAGGAACAAACGCAGAGAGAGTACTTGCTGGCCTGCACAAGTTTCCTACATCTTCACCTTGGCAGCACAGGTAGTCAGAAGTAATATCAATTCTGTAATTGGCGTGCAAAGAACCGACTTTTGTATGTTTCTGAGCTACATCCAACTTCATATGAGTTGAAATGGTCTTTGACATACTTGAACATCACCTGTTTTCGCCATGATTATGTATTGAGTTACAAAGCTCGACTAAGAGAGGAAGAACACCAATCTCTTTTTCCTTTTCATGTTCATACATACAATAAACTATGCACTGTCCAGTCCTTCAACTGAATATGATCTGGACATATCAACTATCAAACCCCCAAGCTACTTGTGAATGGCGTGACAGCCAGATTCCCACTCAATTATCTCTTTAGACAGCCATCTCATTCGAAACGGAATGTAGGGAATGAAAGACCTTGTTTCCGCAACCCGTGCCTAAACTTCCGGCACATTATCTATCTCTGACAGAGGGTGTAAGGGCCACGCGAACCCGAGTTCTGAATCTCTTCCAACGTATAGCGCACAGCGTTCCATGTCTTCAATAGTTGGTGTCTCCAGGCGGGATCTGATTCATCTACCGCTCGTACCTTGATCCACCCTTTAGGAGCGTCCGTACCCTGTCGGACAACCCAGACCTTGGATACAAACTGCGGGGTATGGTTGTGAAAAAGGGCTCTAGTCCCATTCTCTCCATAGTTACCCATAACTAGGGGCTCAACCTCGGTCCACGAGAGGGGCGCAAAGTAGGCTTCCTTACTTTCTTGAAAGTATTTGAATCCAGCCCAGAGCCCGCCAACTATGCCGTGGCTTCGCTCATATCCATACTTTCCGATATACGGGATGCTCCCAGGCCGGTCGGAAGGGTCAGTACCATCGAGGTGGCTGTCGTCACAAAAGTTGGGCGGAACACCCATCAAGCATCCCTCTGGTACTTCGTTGTGTAGTTCGCCAAGTCTGTGGTAGCGGTAAAAGTTGAACTGCCACTTGGTGCCAACATGGGCTGGATTTTCGTTGTTATCTTGAGGTCTAATTTGCGGAAGTCCATCCATCGTCCAGCTCTGCTTTGCGGCTGGAATTATCAAAGAATACTCCTCCAGCTTCGGGAGTTTGTCGAGCATCAAACCTGGAGAGCAGGAAACGCTTGAGTTACAGAAGCTCTCAAGGGTTCCCTGAGGATTGAAGTAATGAAAATTGGCCTCGAATAACTGCAGTCTGCGCACAGGGAGCGGCGCACAAAAGCCGTTCTTATCCTTAAAGATGGGAAGTTCCTGATCAATGTGGAATATTCGCAGTATGTCGGCTTTTAAGTTGATGTGGAAAAGAACAGGTATGCTTGGGCAAGAGCTATACCGGTAGCGAATAGCTTCAACTGAATTCGTAGTCTTTACCAAGTGATACATACCCCGAGACGTCAATTTGAGAGCTAGAAGTGAGTCTTCGGATGTACAGTGGATGTTTCTGAACACTCGCCACTGTCTCACCTCCCATTCGACTGTCGGTGTGACCTTGGGTGAAGTTGCAACTTCGATGATAAGGAGTTGTATTTCTCGAGGGAGCTTCTGAAATGGAAAGGCTTCTACCGCTGAATGGTTGGTAGATTCATACCAGGGATGATGGCAACGGACTGTCGTGTACCCTAACCATACCTCAGAGGTTTGGGTGACATCAGGGTCTTCGCCTTCTCCAGACCGCTGTTGGATAAGGAAAAACATGAAAACAACTGCTCGGTACAGATCGTCGAGACTATACTTCCCACAGACCGTCACATCATCCGGACCTGGCTCGGGGTATCCAAGCGGGAACCGACGAGGATAAGAGTCCGTACGCTTATATCTTGCACCCTGATGCCATTCTACGGGGGCAAATAGAAGAATTTGCAAAGCAGAAGCAAGGATAAATACTTCCTTCCGATCTTCATAGAAGCCTGCTCGCACGGATGGAAGCAGTTTCGGTTCGGTGATGAGAGTAGCAAAAGTATCGAACCAATCGCGCCCCTTTCGGTAAAGCAGGTAAAAAGTCAAAATGTCTCCTGCGCAAAGTGCACTTTTGCTATAGGATGCTTTACCATAGAATACCAACTCGTCAAGCTTTGAAAGATGCTCGTTCAGTTCTTTATTGCCATCATTTGGCCCACAAGCAAAAGAACTGCCATCGTACTCTCGAATCTTTTCCGTAAAGTTGTCTGATACAAACACATCGATGGCAGGCCCCACGATACCTGGTAGGACACTATTGGTATAAGAGATGAAGTCAGCCTCGCTGGCAAATGACAGGTAGTTGGCGGCAAGTTTGGGAGATTTTGTGCCGCGAAAATGATAGGCTATCAAAACTATGAATTATACGAAGCTCTTTTGGCAGACACCCATTGTGATTGGGATCAAAGGATGCGATGTCGAAATGGGTTTCAGGATGCACGATCGGATAGTCGGCAGTGCTATGAGTTTCAGCGAGCCCCTGACCCTGGGGGCCGAGGCTGTCGGGTCCGATTTCTTGCGAGGCCATTTTTTTCGATATTGACGTGGTACAGGTATGGTTGTCGATATCTGTGGTGCATGTGCAAAGGCTACAGCATGCCAAGATATTAATCGTTAGCTTTGATCTCTACACGTCCAACAGTCCTCGCAAAGTCTCGTACCTGTTGTTGATAAGACTCGGTGATGCTCAGGCGTTTTCAAGATCCTGATTTGCCTGAGCCCTGGGCCTTGGAGAATACCAGACGGCTCAGTGGCTGAATCAAATGTTGAGCCAAGCTGCCCAGAAGCTGCGAGGCACGTTATCGGCAGGGCAAAATGAGGTATGGAATGAGAACTGGTGGTGGCGGAGATGGCAGGAAAATGCGGATGGTTGCAAGGTGAAGAGTAGAGAATAGGTGATTGGGGCTGGAGAGAGGCAATAGGGAGTCGAGACAGTGGATACCTCAGCAACATGCAGCAAGTGCTTGATCATGGTGGGGTCAAATCCAGCTGACAGTGGTCCCTTGCGCGCAATGTCAGTGCCTCAGGGCTCAGGTTACCTAGTAGTTTTTCGCTTTAGGTGGCAGCTGATGTGTTCCTACGAGTCAGACCTTAGCGAGAGAGCAACTTCAGTAAGTGGAACGCCACCTCCTCTTCAAGGGCTGCTCCCTTTATGGAACATCTTTTAGTTCGTTATGCAAGAAGCATTCGTATTCAAAAGGGCTTCCCGAGTTCTGTTACACTTGTTCGGGTCGCTGAACGTGACCTACTCCACACACGAACAATATCCGAGACTGGAAAGACATCTCCAAGGTTTTCTGTTCAATGCAATAATAGCGGCTGAACTCTAGACAGCCCTTTCATTAGCATTAAGAATAAGCTTTCAAGCCACTACGAGCTCATGGAGTCGTTAAGGCCAACCCCAGTGCTAGATGGGGGGTTGGCAATTGAAGTCGGCAGGCCCTTGGTCAACTGCAAGGTTTGTTCGCACTCTGATCTCCATTCCCAAGAGCCAGTCAACTTAGTAGCACCAGATAAATCTTCACCGCGGCGTTCTATCTTACAATAGTAGGATTAAATGCAACTCTTGTCCAGCTGCATTCTTTTCTTTCGGTCTCTAGCCCTTTGCGCTTTCAAACAGATTCAGCACCGCGAGGATCGGTGCTTTGTAACAGTATCTCTCACGTTAATGAGGGAACCTTTTGATAGGTATTGGCTAAACTAGATGTATGCCTCTAGCTATATAAGATAAAATTGGTGTTTCAGGGGTAGAAGATTTGGGGCTTTCAGAAGGTCAGGGCGATATTGAGTTTATGAATCAATCAAAAGGTTATAAAATTCATTGGGATGACTGTTATCGATGATTCAACCTTCGATTATTTACCTATCGACATAAAAATTATTGCGAGCCTCTGGGAAAGTTACCAAGTATAGTAAAGCTACCTCTGAAAACATCACTGTTTGTGTCTCCCTGATGTATAGCTTGAAGGAGGACCAGGAGACCAACTCGGAGAAGACACTCCAGCCGAAACAGGGGTCTTCTTACCAACTCCATATTGCGGAAGCTCGCTCAGGCCATATCCATTTCCGTGCTATTATGCAGGAAGCTCCGTAGGAGGTTCTTGTGAAATGGAGATGGATTGGTGAGGACCTATGTGGTGCGGGCTCACGGGCTCAGATACATGGCCCTAATATCCTGTCGATGTGAGCGGACTGACTGTGCTGGGAGGATGTATCAAGTTTCCTCAATTGCCCTAGTATTGAGTTTATATCATTGAAGACTGGTGTTTCTCTTCACGACGGCGGTTGATTTTCTTGCCGATCTAGAAACATATGAGCAGAGAAACCGCTAGCCCTACAGCACCGCCGATGGCAATGCTAACGGTGACACTAATAGACAGCTTCGAATCAGTGCTGTGTGCCTCTGTTGGCTTCGGCGACATGTACCTGTCGTGGATGGGATCAATCGTGTTGGAGGACGCTCTGCTATTCCGGGCCTACGTCCCAGCAAGCCTTGGAGCGGCTTGTTACCTCATGGAATCTATCCCTGGTGGCCACCAGCTCCACAGCCCCTTTCTTGTTTCCACCTGTGATGTTGTACGCATCGACTAGCTCGACTTTATTAGTGATGTTGGGATTATAGATAGCCCAGTACGTTTCGTTGTTGCCCGCCTTTTTGTTCGTTCCAATCCACAAATTGTGCATTGACCTGACCAAGCGTCATACACTGGATCGCAAGCGTTTGTGTCGGTGTAGGTAGCCTCCGATGACAAAGAGTTGCGACATGTGTTGGACTTGTTGCATGGTGCGCTGTAGTGATCGTACTCTGGTGGGAGGGTAGCATTTCCGCGATGGCCAGGGTATGCCTTCACCCAGATGAACGATTGGAGGGTCAGGATGTAGGTGGCGTTGAACAAGGTTGCTTTGATAACGGGTGTTTGCACGCTCAATCCTCCCCAGAGGTATCTTTGACGATGTGAGCACATGATCCTGGTGACGGAGAAAACAAATTTGTTTGACTTACATGCTGAAGGAAGGATTGTCTTGCACCCACGCCACATCGACACAGAACTGACGCCTGTTCTGTGATATCTCACCAGTCGTCTTCTGGTTTGACCAAGAGTTTCGCTTGGCATCAAAGACGAACACTTCGTCAAATGCCTGAGGAGCCTCAGTGTTGTTCCCATAAGGGTCAAAAATACCTCCAAGGTACACAAGGAGGCCGGGAGAGTCACCGGCAGGTATCCAGACCATAACACCTTGAGCTCTAGGCGGTTCGATGAGACTAGCCGCCTGCGTGAACTTTGCCTAGTCGTAGGAGTACGTGTAGAAATTGAAGCTCATGGTTCGGTCATCGGTCCATCCGCTCATCAAGGAATTGGGTCAGATCAAATTATGCAGGGTGAGAGCCCTAGATAACTATGGGCAGCTAATAAAACTCCATTCACATCATCCACTCATGGAGGTGTTGCTTATCCATCATCCGAGGTAGAAGCCCCTGCTGGTCTCCTAGACACCGACACTAGCGCCGTAGGAGGCGACCTTTGGTGGGGGGTTATTTCGGGCCCAAAGTCGTCCCATTTGTCGAGGATGTCATAGCCGATGAGACTGCAGGGCTCTTGTGAGAAACTGTGGTTCTATTCGCCGCCGTAGAGGTGGAATCGCTTGTTGACGCTTTCGCTCCGGAAGGCTCCGCCGTGTACGTTCGGAATACTGTTGTATCGGGGTCAGCATATCTGGAAGAGGAGCAACGAGAAGAGGATGGGTCGCTGTACCTGTCGTTCTTGCTTAGGTTGATATTTAGGTTTGACCAAAGATCACCGCCGCGTTCGACGAGGTTGTTGAGATCGTGGTATGTGAGCCAGGTATCTAGAGTAGAGTCTAAGTTGTGAGCTAGATGTGTTATTCGCAGTTGAGACTTGTGGCTGAGAGCTTAAATCATCGGACAGAACTTAGTAGAGTCAGTGACCAAAATAGCTTGTCTGCAAACCTCTGGGTCGACGTACTGGAGTAAATAATTCTCGTGAGTTTGCTGGAAGTCATCAAAGTTGGCCCATCCGCCATCGATGTAAAGCTTATCGTCAATGACCGTTGTTTGGTGAGCAAATCATCGGCAAAAGCCATCTTTGGGGTTCTTGGCGGTGTTCAAGCGGACGGTGCCAAGCAGAGCAAGTATAGCTTGAGTGCATATGAACTCAATTTGCTTGCGTATAAAGGTCTCCGTGGCATGTTGTAGTAGAGTCACAGATGAAATGCGGAGGCCCCGTAATATGGAGACTCAACGTCATGTTCACACATCAGGAGGAGTCTCTCATCCTTATGAGCCTCCTTCTCATGTCTGTCTTCCTTCGGGTAGGAACCACGGTCCGTATATTTGAGGGGAAGTCGGCGCCAATGGGTATTCTAGATGGTGATAGCGCATTTCAGCCAACAAGCGGTCTCTTGATGAAGAGTTTCTTCTATCCAAGGCTATCGAAAGCGGCACTCGAATTGACGCAAGCTGGATAGATCGTCCTGGTTCTGGGCTCGATCGACGTCGACTACAGTTGGGATGTTGCTGTCCGAGTTGATACGGCGTGCCTCGCTGATCAACAAGTTGGCGGCGAACAATGATTCCTAGTGTCCAGTTGCTTCATCTTGTTTCTTTTGTCATCCTCCGACAACTTCGATGTTCGTTTGGCTGGTGTTCTGGAGGCGAACTTGTTGTTCAGCATCCTCTGTCACACGGGACATCGTGGAACACGGACGCTGTACGCTAAGTTCTGTATACCAACTGACGGATACGAAATAGTCGTGACACGAAAGGTGCCAATCGCATTGGGATTCGGGGAAGCAGAATATACCGATAACAAACGACATGGCCTAAGCCCGCTGTTAATAACAAAGGAAAGAAATCTTTGCGGAAGCTTCTGCGTGCGCACAACTGTACAAACAAGCACAAAAGAGTGAGCCTAGTCTTGACTATAGGTGATGTGGTTATCAAGCGCAGCAGAATCGTCAAATCACAGTAAGTAATGTTCAGGGAATATTAGTGGGGCAGGGAGCTGCCCTCACCGGAACGCCACACAGTTCAGCTTCTACAGCGACTTTACGTAGAAAGCAAGGCGATCGCTTCGTGTAACTACGTGCCCATTTCTGGCCCTACTCGGGGCTAGCTCGGAAAGAAGACAATGCAGTGCCTACGTACTCTTTACCTCTCAATCCTCTCCTTCTCAACTGCATGCTTCCCGTATCACTTATCAGCGGCCCGGCGAACCTTTCTGCCAGGAACTTTTGTTTCGGCCACTGTCCCATGCCCGCGCTGCGTCGCCGATCCAGCCAGACTGATCTATGGCCCTTCCTACCCTCCAAGGTCAAGATCGTCTCCTTCTTCCGCCACTCATGAACAACTGACAATCCATTGTTGCGTTAATCGTGAACTGGGACATTCTCATGGATACCAACAAGATTTCCGGTGAAGGTGCTGAGGATATTGAAGTTCCTGTCGAAGACCCTAATCCGTACTCTGAGTTTTTCACTCCACGCCATGAACCTTTTGATGATGATCCTGTGGAGGTTGGTAAACTTCACTCCATATTCTACAATAAGTCCCATTCCCTAATATTCTAATTTCAGCCCGCCATTCCGCCCTCCTGGAGTTGCTGACGAAAGGACCCAGGGAAGGAACCAGCAAGGTGAACATTGTATCACCGCGTGAGACACCAAAGGAATGGCTTCAGAGGCTCACCACAGTCGACTTTGCAGACCCTTCTACTATAAACAACCTTCGCTCGGACCTAGTCATCAACAACGTCGCAGACTTTGATCTAGTTACCAACGGTGAATCTGACTTTACTGTGTCACCATTTCCTGGAGCTCTGACTGTGGATGATATACCGCCTAAGGAAGAAGAGGCGATTTTCTCTTCGTATCTTGCCAGCGATCATCCGGGTCTGTTGTGTCTCGAGGGTGGCAGTCAGACCGATATCCTTGCTGATTATCGCGTCAACGAGACACCCAAACAATCAGCGGCTGGTTTCCCCCTTCCTTCTGTCGTGCTTCCGATCGGGCGGTTACAGAACTGGTGCAAGGACAAGGCTGGCATCTCATACTCAGGTGATACTGACTATGTCCTCGTCATCGATGCCGTCGCGGATGCGCACCCTCTCTGGCTAGTTTTCGACCGGAAAGTTAGAAGCATCGGAGAAGGGCAGACCTACGTCAAGCCAGAGACAGTCCAGCTTGTATTGAGCGGGATAGAATAGAATTTTGACGCGGCCCAAGCCCAAGTGTTGCTGAGTGTCCAAGACTAGATCCAATCCTATGGCACCCTCGATTTTATACAATTGCGGGATTCTTTTCAACAGACTGGGATAACAGCAGAACTCACGGCCAGAAACCTGACTTTCAGGGATGGAAAAAGATATTCGAGCAAGTAAATGTAAGCAAAGGGGAGAGATAAAAGGATAAGGAGAGACACACAGAGAGAAAGAGAAGGACAGATAGAGTAACAGAGAGTAGCAGAGGACGACAATATATTTCACATTCCCTTCAATACTTGCCGGACGTGTCTGCTTAATGCAGTCCATCCTGGTTCATCCTGGTTCAGCTGCTGACAAAAGAAGTGTGCAAAAGCCTTCGCGCAGCTCCACTTCGTCCATGGTTCCCTCCCATCTGTTTTACAATTCTCATCCGCCTCCAGACTCCGAACAACCTGGATTACTGCATATCTGAACAGTGCTTGACAGCGAGTGTATCGGTCCCCGGGCTTAAAATTGTGACAGTAGGAGGGTGAGGCGAGCTCATCTTCGTGATCAAAAGATCCAGGGGGGTTACGATGAGGCTAAACAGAAGCAAAGGCTGTTGCGAGTACTGGTCATAAAGGATGTTGCTCGATCTGACAATTTGGCGCAGTTGTACTTTGACAAAATTGTGACGGCGGCTGTCACGAAGCTCCTTTGCGAAGTTGTTCATCTCGCCAAAGATTTTCCAATAGTCTGCTAAAAAAAAAAAAAAAGCCCAGACGAATATCGGACTTGCACTTGTTTTCATGCCTAGACACGCAAAACCAGCTTTGGGAATGCAATTCGCAGGGAAAATGGCACTCTTTACTTTAATCTTCGGGTCTGCTTGGAAGAGGGCCTCTGTAATATCTTTGGTCAGTGCATTGGTGGTTATGTTTGCGTGAAAGAATGCATGCCGTGGTCGTCTCATTGTTCACGAGTCGTTACGACTCTGAGTAGAAGCTCAAGTGGGCTGAAGGCAGGAACCTTGAACCGAAGATTGTTCTTGTAGTTGTGTGAGAGTGAGGACTCATAGACTTGCTGAATCATTCTTGTAGTGGTCGAGTACCCGCGGAATATACGCTGTGCCAATACAAGTGCATCATGCAGGCGCGAATAAAGCTTGTCTGTCGCAACATTTACAGCAAACAAGCGCTAGACCTCGCCCGCACTTGGTATCACGACAAGAAGGTTGTTTCGCCGAGCTTCTTGCTTGTATCTTACGCATCCAGGCACCTTTGCGATGGGGACATTCAAGCAAAAAGTCAAACGGGGCGGCTCGTATCAGGAACGTATAGCTTCGTATCGAAACAGGTGTTGCTGACTCAGACTCGAACTGGTGGCTGTCTTTTGGAGCGCTCCCGAGCCTGAACAGGTACAAGCCGCAAGTCCAGATGTCGAGACCCCTGAGAGTAATGGATCGAATATGGTGCCAGTAATTTTGCATCGTGTTGTAAAGTGTACATCAGTTGTGTGACACGGTTAAAAGGTCAAAAGAGGCTTAAGCCCCAGCGAGCAGTTATCCCATAGTTAGCAAATATGGACGATATAGTCAGTAAGTTAGTTCAACGAAGTCACTGTGATCTATTTGCAATGGATATTGATGCTGCTTTGCGGTGGGGTTCTTTCACAGGCGATATAGCGCCTATATTCTACAGGCACATCGTGTTTTGACCGTCATCCTGTCAGAGACATGTATATACTACGGAAGCCTCCTCATTGCCACTTGAAGCGAGGGTCGTGCAGCCTGAAGTGATGCACGTGTGTTCACTTCCGGTATTAGCACGCAGGTACCTCAGAAGAACTTTCTTGAATGAGTGCCTCAGTAACTGGACAGCTGTTGCCTTTGATCTTTCTGTAATGGGAGCAAAGAAGATAAAATACGTAGTATAACTAACTAACATTAAAAGAGAGACTGATAGCCCAAATTTCTTGACAGTCAAGGTTTCCATTAGATATTTGCTGACATTTTCATCTTCAATGTCTGGTGAACTTGGCGTGACCCCGGCCCTCCAAAGCTCGGCAATAGAAGTGAGCGTAGGTCTCTGCGCAGGTAAAGCCAAGGTATATTTGAGACGCATTTCTCTCTTTTTCCTTGACGTTGTCGGGGACTTCATATCTAAAGAGTACCTGACAGCGCATACACCGAGCCTTGGGCTGGAAAGATGGGCACTCAAAGGGTGTCGCGACGTCGTGCAGATGAGAGAAATAACCCGGCGGGTTTTCAATAAGACTTGCGAGCTCTTTAATCTTCTCATTTTTCTCTGGGATGCTCTCAAACCGTCGCTGAACAACATCACTCCATTTTTTGATGCATTTGACATCCTTACTACCTCCCTTCACAGCCTTGGTGATGTCGTTGCGACGCCTATGGCGTAGTTTCAAGACAAATTCATGGAGCTTCTTGAAGCCACTCCAATAATCTGCTGAAGCGGAAATGCTGTATACAGGATCACCGTTTGGTGAGATACCTATACAGAGGAAGGTGGTTCTAGGCAGGCCATCCCTGACACCTCGAGACTTGGCTATCTTGAGACTGCGGTATTCTTCGCAGAGATGCTCTGGTATTATATCTTATTAGTCATGTGTGCTTCTCATCATGGGTGCGCTTCAAACTCACCAAGGCTATCCCATCTCTGACGGGCCGCTACAATCCTCATAAGTAGCTCAATTGGAGCGATTGGTGTAATATGGACCATTTTCTGACTTCTTGATACAAGAAGACTTTCCAGACTCTCCAGACTCTCCAGCGGCTTCAAATGATGAGCCCGTCGAAAAATGTTTAGTGCTTTCTGAGCCTCCCCAATAGCTTCAACCAGATCCATCATCGCGTCCGCGTACCCATTGAACATTTTATTATATCTCTTGGTCTCTGTCTTCCGCCCCAGAGCCGTTAGAATGCCGTATAACGGCCCGTAGTAGAGGAACGAGGCGATGGTGATTAGGTCGCAAGCATCATCAATTGTTGGGACGTCAATATTGGTGTAAAGGTTAAGCTGGGCTTCCAAATCATACATCATCAAGGTAAGGGCCGTGGCCCCTTGTCGACATGTAAACACCGACTTCTGTGTCACGTCTTCGTCCGCAGACCACCAGGAGTCCAATGAGGTCTCAAAAGTTGGCCTTGATCCTTCGCGGAAAACCGGCATGTCTGCGCAGATTGTCAAGGTGAAAAGAAGAGAGGAATTAGGACGTGGTGGAAGTTTGAATGGCTAATTTGGAGTCTGGATGGTACAGAAAGGCTGAGGACGTTGACCTGGTAAATAATTACAGGAAACACCCCTCGGATTTCGATTAGATTCCCCAGTACTTGAATACCGTCCTAACTCGTCCTTCTTGGCCTCGCATTGGTCATTCAGAACGCTGTCACGCGTGATACGGAACTCTTGTATCTCCAGGTACATCTTGGCTCAATCCACACCCAACAAACCCAAACCTTGCGATTCTCTCTAACACCCCTCGACCTCCATGTCTCTTTATTAGTCAGTGCGTCATTCGGAACAATGTAAAGAGGGAGGAGATCCCTTGTGCCACCACACCCCTATTTGTGGCTCCGTTCAGAACAGGTCATAATGAATTGAGGCCGTACTCGTCATATCACACCGCTTCCTTGTCTAACGCACGAACCACTCCAAGCCGGCCCGGTCATGGCTTCGAAAAGAATGTTTGTTTTGGACCACCCCACCATCCCAGGCTTGCAGGCTTTGCTACATCGCCGATCGAGGCTGATGTGATCGTGATTCATCCAGCTACTTGGGGGGCTAAGTGAACTCGTCCTGCACTACTCGTTCTAGCCAATGAGAGCCATTTCTGAGTTCTAGCACAGATCGAAAGTCGATGCCTGGCCAATTCTGCCTGGTCAAATGATTACCCGCCCAACTTTCCAACACCCAGCTTGCCTCTCTCATCATCTCATCAACGACATCTTGGGCAGGCAAGCATTACTTTCACCAAAATCTTAGAAGTCCTTCTGGTACAACCTATTCGCGATGGATGACAAAAAGACTCCCGAAGAACGTCCTGAGGATATTGGAAGCGTTGTTGAACAGCTTCCTGATTGTGAGTTTCCTCTCGCTGCTCTGCCGTAAGCAAAATTTGCTAATTTGGTAGTCTCAGCGTTCCCTTCTCTCTATCTGACTCAACTGAGAGTAACGATGAGACCAGAACACGGCCAACCCATGACCCTGCTTCAGTACCTGGAGAAAGATCCTGTCAAGAAACTTACAACCCAACACCAGACACCAAAGAAATGGCTCGAGAACCTCACTACAGTCGACTTCAGAGACCCTAACTCCATTATCAACCTTCAATTCGACTTGGCTGAGTATAATGTAGGGAATATCATTCTCTGCACTAATGGCAAAGACGCCTTTGCTGTTTCGCCATATCCTGGAGCTATGACCGTGGACGATACGCCTGCCCTGAAGGACTCCGATGTTCATCCAGGTCTACTCTCTCTCGAGTTTGTGGATGATCCTGAAAATCTTTCCGTTTCTGAGCCCGGCGAGAGTGCCAAATCATCAGAAATCGGTCAACCACTTCCTTCTCTGGTAATGCCCATTGGACATTTTCTCAAAGGATATATAACAGAAAGCGGCATTATGGATTTAGATGACACCAACTACGTCCTTGTTGTCGATGCTGTCGCATCTGCACATCCTGTTTGGCTGATTTTTGATCGGAATGCTAAAGATATGTTCGAGGAGGAGGAGGAAGACGACAAGGAAGACAAAAAAGGAGGCGACGGAAAAGACAACAACAAGGACATCCATCCCGACACAGTTGAGTTGGTTTTCGATGGGACAGAGAGGAATTTTGATGCTGCCCAAGTGTTGCCAAGCATCCAAGATTGGTTCGAGTCCTATGAGAACCTCAGTGTCACTCAGATTCGGGACTCCTTTCGAAAGACAGGGTTGACTGGAAAGATCAAGGCTAGGGAGGTTACTGCCGGGGATGCCAGTGTACTCTGGAACAAAGATACCACTGCTGACAAGAACAAATAGACTGTTCTTCAGTGATCAAGTCTTCACTACAGGCCACCAGAGAGTTATGGGGACAAGGAGATCTTGATGCCGCCTTGGGAATTGTGTGGTTGTCGGCTTTTGTCGCATTTCCATAGTTAGGGATAAATTGATCTCAACGTGTTCTCTTTGACAAACTTTGAGCACCTATGAATGTGTTCTCAGCTAATCCCCATCGCATTTCACTTTGTCCACAAGACTGCACTCGTTGAACAAGTGAACATCCATACACCACCATGCGGTTTTTCATTTCTCCCCGCTAAAGCAAACACCAGCATGAGGGAAGCTGTTGGAAACAAAAAGAGGGGTAAGACCCAGGTAACTGACAGTGCAACGAAATCGCTACCCTCCATACCGATACCAGATTTTGTGCCACTGGCACCGAAACAAGTAGCGCGCAGCTTGACCGACTGCCACTGTTGATTCACCGACCAAACACGCACTGTGACACCGGCAAACCGCCCCCAAGCCCAATAAATTGAGGGCGTGGTCCAAAGTCTCCCCATTCCACAAACTCACCAACTTCCATACACCCACCTTTCCATCATCAGCATACCAGACAATACTATCGCAGTTACCCAAGCCCTCTAGCCAGAAACACATCCAACCAGGTCGCAAGATGGTCGCCACTGAGCTTTCCATGGAACGCGTTGCGGAGATTAAGAAAGCAGTTGGTGATTCTCTCAAGAGTAAGCCCTCCTTCCCAAGTACACTTTCTGAACTGCATTCAGCTGACCCTATTACCCCAGTGTCTCCAGCCGAGTACCTCGCGAAGTTGAAACATGAAACTGGCAGTGAAGAACTCGTGGATCAGTATCTGAAGAAGGCATGCAAGTTGGGCAGACAATGGCCCCGTGTCTCAGCAGAGGAATGGCTCAAGCAGCTTACTACAATGGACTTTAGAGATGTCGCTGCTATTGGTAAACATCACTTTGGCTTGACACTCTATAGCGTGCGTCGATTTGATCTCGGCACCGATGGCGAGGATACCTTTGCAGTCGAAACAGATCCTGATGCTCTGTTTACGCTGGAAGCGACGCTCCCACCACTAACGCCCTCCGCAGACATTGAGACTGGCGACTATCATATCCACCCTGCCTTGATCTCTCTGCAGAAGGTTGAGGTTTCCCCTTCTCCCCCTGATCCGGAGCCTTCCAAGACCGACACAGTCACAGCTTCCGGTCGATCACTTCCTTCTCTAGTCATGCCTATCGGACAGCTACAGAAGAAGTCTAAGGAAGAGGACTATGACGACTACGAGGACGATGACGACTACGAGGACACTGGCTATTCCCTCGTCATTGACGCCACCAAGATTAACCATCCTGTCTGGCTGATCTATGACCAAAACCCGTACGATGAGATGGGTGACCGACAAGTGGTCAACCCTGACAAGCAGCCCCTGGTCTTCAAGGAACTTGGAAAGAACTTTGATGCTATGATGGTTATTCCAAGTCTCCAATCGTGGCTTACGAACTACGGAAATCTCAACTTCGCTCATATGCTGAAGGATATGCGGGCAACAAACATCACAGGACCAATCCAGGCGAAGTGGCTTGCCCTTTCGGCGGCTGAAAAGATTCTCAGCGAGTAGATGTCTTCTACATTTCTGTTTCTGGGTACAGAAGAGAGCGGTCAGAATAGGGGGATGATATAGCGTATTATTGGCACGTTTTCAGCCGGCTCGGCAGCTTTCAGCTTTTGCACACGACGCTCCCCGGTGTCATCACTGTGCAAGAGCATGGATGCAGTAGCACACTCTGTGACGGTTTGTTGTGGCGGGGTTTCGCGGTCTAGTTTTGCTCGGTCCTGGCTGAGAAATGGGGATATGATGTTTCTTGAAGATTCTCACTCACGGGAATTAAATTGTCAAAGATTATATAGTTAAATGTTTTCCCATTTTATTACTTCCGGGGTGAACACTGATGCACTGTTTGTCGTTCTGCTTAGCGCCCCAGCCCGCACTCCCCTCCACTTGCACGACTTGCAGGGCTTACGTTCAGTATCGGAACTTTTGCGAAGCGAGGGCGGGGTATCTTTGTGTCACAGTGAAAACCTGAATCTCGCCCTCGACTTTTCTCAGCGCCACGAATCCCTCCACCTTCCTGGACATCACATCTGGGCGGCCTCACAACTTCATCCTAGTTGCACGGATCTTAGGCGGTTTAAACCCACCATTTACATCGATCTCCGGGTCAAAATCTTTGTGGAAGCAAAGTGAGGTTCTTCGTGTCATCAGCTTCTCATTTATGGTCTCTCATGGTCTCATCTGCGACAGGTCGATGACCAGTTGAAGTAATATCCATCACACCATACCTTATCTATCACACCGTATCACTCCCCGCCCCGATCTCATCTCGTTGACAGGCAGTGGCAATCACTCTCCCCTGCCTCCCACGTACGTCTTCCATCATCCCGCCTCCAAACGTATGTTCCCCCACTGGTACATACCACCCGGTCATTCTCTCCTCCTCAACTGAGTTGTTGTCAGGAAAATCTCAGAGAATACTCCTGAAATCACCCAAAGCCTAATATCGAAACCAGGCAAAGAAGATGGCTACTCCACCACTTTCCGACGAGAGATTTGCGGAGATTAAAAATGCTCTCGGTGATCCTTTTGCCGGTAGGAGACCCCTCTTGGCAAACTTTCTCAAGTGCCGTAAAGCTAATCGCATCTATCCAGTACCTCCAAGCGTTTTTATGCGGAACCTCGAGATCAAAACAAACAAAGACAAGAGTCTAACAAAGTTCTTAGACAAAGCATCCATAGGGGACAAAAAATCCTAACGTCTTTCACTAAAGGAATAGCTTAAGCAGCTTACTATAGTTAACTTCTTAGACCCCTTTACTATAACTAATTACTAATTAAACCTAACCTTTTACCTTTAAGGCTAATTTAATCTTATTACTAATAGTAATATAAATACCTTTACTATTATACTATATATTAGAGTACTATTTATAAAGGAGGTCTCTTAATATAACTCTTTATCCCAGGCCATATTTAAGGACTTGGATCCCTATCCTTTACTAGTTTCACTTTAGATCGGTAAATCGCCCCGGACTTATCCCATCTTCGAAACTCCAACGGGCATCGTACTATCAGCTTCCGGCTAACCTTTTCCTTCTTTTGTATTACCTGTCAAGCAGTTATAAAAGAAATTGAGTATAAAGATAAGCAAGATCTTCCTTAGTACTGACTATATCCTTATTATTAATACTATTATGGCTAAGTATCCTGTATAGTTAATATATGATCGGAACCCGCTGGATGACTTTAATAAACGAGAAAGAGTTGACCCGGATGAGCAACCCCTTGTTTTTAACGGACTTAGAAAGAACTTTAATGCTGTCCAAATCTTCCCAAGTATCCAAGTTTGGATTGATTCCTATGAAGACCTTGACCCCGAGGTATTTCAGGACGCTATGAAGAAGACAGGCATCATAGGACCAGTGAAAGCAGCCGAGCTGACCCTTTCGGATGCTGCCAACCTCTTCCACAATTAAATGAACTATCCCGATTGCGAGTTTCCCCTTTCTTCTTAGGTATGGGATGAGAGAAACTGGGGCAGGTAGATGGTGATAGGCCTCGAAGCATGAAGTTTTGGTGGAATTGTATCGCGAAACACCCTCCTTACGGGACAGAATCTCTCCCCTCAGTTTTTACGGCACAGGTTTAGTGTCCATGTACCTAGTTCTAGCTAGTCCTTGTAATCACAGTTGATGCAGCAGCCCATTGTACCTCTGCGCGGGTCTACCAAGTGAAAATGCCCTCAGACGCAGACACTGTCGTGTTACTTGCACTTTCGCAGCTAGCGAGTCCGCTGTCAGCAACTCATTCAGGTGACATGTCCAGCAGCAGCGCTTGATCACTTCTACGCACGCCTCATTGATGCTACCGCCCTTCACATCAATCCTTTACGTCACCATATTCAGACTTGACAATGCAGTCAGCTTCACCGATTAATGCATTCATCGAGTCTGACTTGTTTGCCAACTCAATTGTGTAACCCCCAGAAGCAATGCCCGCGTCAGATTCATTCGTGGCGCGATTACCCCTCTCCCAAGCCTTGTTTCAATCGAAGCCCTGCGACACTGATCTCTATCGCTATTTCTAATATCGATTTGTGCAGGAATCTGCGTGGAGGTGAAGTGTCGCCGAATCACCTCGTAGCGGGATCTTCAATGGCACAGACAGACATTCATTCGCGCGCACGCTGGGTAAACTTGGACAGTGCCATCGCTGATTGTTTTCGCGTGTGTCAGATCCGTGGGATGAGCGACTGGGGTATCGGAAATAATTGGGGAGGCTTGGTCATTCCAAGTCCTGTATTGGTTGTTGATAAGGTCAGGAGCGCCAACATCGATCACGGTTGGATACTGCGCGTAAAGGCTGTTAGCTCGCGGTTCACCAAAGGCTACTTACGGACATTTTCAGTGATGACTGCAGCATCGGTTGTCGTGGCACCATTTGTGATTACGCTGGACGAGGTTCGAGTGATCGTGATAGGGGTACTTAGCGTTTGAGATGGGTAGCACAGCGTCAAAGAGAGAGGAGGTAGCGTTGGCTTTACCTCCAACAATAGCCAATTCAATAACGGCAGTATTACTCGTCACAATATTTGTAATCTAGATCCTGGGCAATGTCTTGAGAAAGATCTGACCCATACGGTGCTCGGCGACAGTCTCTCCCAGCTAGTACCAAGGTCAAGGCCAAAACACTCAATATTACGCTCTACCTCAAACGGCTAGTTTGTGTCATCACCAGCCTCTGCGAAATTAAAGCAGAAATAAACATCTCATCATCTGCAGGAACGTTTGTATCTCAGATTAGATCTGAGTTCGGGGAGATGGCAAAGGTTACAGTGACCTGTTTCTACGTGGCGCAACTGACCAGGGTAAGACAGACAGCCTTCAATCTGAGATCTGACAAGGCATTCAGCGTTGTTTTCTCCCTGGGGAAAGCGCTTGACTAAAAGATCTGGCATTCATCGGAGTCCATTTACGAAAACGTCCTGGTGCATTCGGGCTGACGTTGAGCACTGAGTCTGCAACCGTCGCTTGTCGCGGTGGCTTGGCTCGAGGCTGGCTTACAGTATGCATAACTTCCGTTTTGGCTGACAGATCACCACCATCGTCGTCATTGACTTTCTCACCAGCATTTGAGTCTCCAGTCAGGAGAAGGAGATAAATGAAGCCACCACCATGGCAACAAAAGCCAACCAACCGTAGAGAAAACGACGGCATTCCCATAATCATGCGCGGCGATTGTATCACCACGGAGAGACTTTTAAGCAGAATCTTGCTCATTTACACACGGAACGATAACGTCCCGAGCGCCTGTGACACGTTCAGCCTCAACGGTAGTGGTCAAGAAGGGGGTGAAGCGTTGTCAGGTAACTGAGAAACGCTCACAGTATGCCCTTGGTTTTCGCGGCTATCAAGGGGTTTGCCAGATCTGTTCTTTATCTCGCCGGCCTGGGGTTGCTCAGCGTCAGTTCTAGGGTCTGTAACAGGCTGGGAGGCAGTTGTCTTCACGGGCGGCCGCGCAGACTCGGAACTGGTATCATAACAGAGGTCCGACGTGGCTTCGACTGGGCCGGCATCGATGTCATCGCTCTCGGGCGCCTGCGTATTCGCGGGCTGGGAAACCTCAGCGACCGGTCGAGGTGTCGGGCTTGGATCAGATACATCGGTATCATTCGTGGAGTCTGGGGTGTCGGGCGCTTGGATCGGGGTACGGTTTGAGACTTCTGAGCTCAGGTGATGGCATCTTGCACTTTGCTAATACACAGTCAGCCGGTCCGGGAACCAAAGCCTGCTTCTGAGGTAGTACCGACCGGAGGAACTATTGCTTCTCTCGTGATATCTGGCGCGGCAACAAAGCCTCACTCGGCGGTCGTAGCTTTGAGGAGCATCTGCAATGGCTGCCCAATTGCTGTTGGGTACCGAAATGTCTCGAATGAGCTTGAATACAGTGCCATTACGGCTGGCGGTGGTTGATGCCCGTGCTCCTGCGATTGAACAGCTGATGGAAGACACAGCGCCGGAGGACTCATCATTCACGATGGCTCCATGGCGAAGCTATGGGATGTCGAGGCAAGTCGAGAACAATCGACGAGTGAGTATCGAAAGCGAAGAAAGGCGCAAACATTGTAGATTCGCATAAACAATGACAGTTTCAGGGGTAAAGCCGTGGGCAAGAGATTTGAAGCACAGTCAAGGAACATCGAGCTCATGGCGCCCATTGATGTCGCTAAGTTTGGTGGTGTGATGGCGAACGTTGAAGGGCTGAGGGGCTCACAGCTGGTGAAGCTTTGATGTGCGCGCGTTAGGAGCTGTTCACTGCGATGCGCTCAACTGAACGGCTCTGAACATCCGCAACAATCTGGATACCAACACGCAATGCGATCCCTTTCACACTCATAGTCTATAACCAACAAAGAGAATAACCTGCACAATACCAGTAGCACTCTCCAGGTCATCCAAGAAATGGAGGCGGAGCGATTGACATGGCACGTAACGGTCATTCCCGGCTTCATTAGGTTCAGTTAGCCCGGAGCCATCATCAGCACGTTGGTACTGAATTGTCCACTAATTCTTCGGGGCTGACTCGAACATTACAGGGCCTCCGAGGCGCGCGAGACTGGTTTACAGGGGGATACTCGAGGCCGGGCGACTCATAGTCCGCTATACATCACTCTCAACCTCGCTATAAGGCTCTGGTATGACATGGAGTGCCGCTTTGGCAATGTTCCATGGCCAAGACGGTAAACATGTGTATCATCGTCTTTACAGATGGCTTTGATCATCAATTAGGCTGTCTATTTGTTCATTTATTTTTTATTTATTTGTTTAATTGGTTACTGATCACGTTTTCGCTGCCTTCCCCTTCGTGGCTCGTCTTAGTCATGGCTTCCGGGGCTTTTGGTCGGCACATTGCCTCGGGCGGATAACCTAGACCTGGGGCTTCTACGAGACACCATGAACATAAGCATTGTTAAAACGATATGTACATCTTTCGTTTCATGGCTACTTCGAGAAAATATAGTTCTCGAAGCTGTAGCCCAAATAAATCTTAGTGATAAGGATAGCCCTCTGAAATGGGTGGCCAATGTCAAGGCAGTCTTCACCATTTGCAGGATTTCGACCATGATTATGAAGCAAAGCCTCCCGAATTCACTGCTCGTCATGTATTGCAAGTCGAATTTCTCTCCCTTGAAATGCATAAAAAGCTATTAGCAGATAAAAGCCTCTTGAACAGGCTCGTTAGCCTTCTGGTACCTCATCATGGTGTATCAAACCTAAGTTGACCTATGCCAACATACACAGTCAGGACAATTGACGAGATTCTTTTAGACGGCAAGACTTCTGATATAATTAATAGCCACGTGCAAAAGGATTGGGTCTCCGGCTCCCGTTGGACTTTGAAGAAGGCGGCGACAACCATCCTACGCATCGATGGTAAAGGCGCTGTTGTGTAATAAGTGACATCTATTGTTCCATTCTTTACGGGACGCCTGTCCAAAGTTTCATGGGACTTACACCGCTCAGGGACCTCAAAAGAGTTGATACGGAGGAAGTTGATGCAATAAACTGGAATGCTTCGTATCTCTCTGGCATCACGATCCATGTAACTGCCCACTATGCTATTTGCATGGGTTTCATCCAGAGACCTGTTACCATTGATCAAATTGAGGTGGCCACATCATGCAGGGAGCGTGGACTCAATAGCCCAGGCACTAAAGCCAAATTGTTCTCGCTGTTCGAGACAGGAGCTGTTAGCGAGTCAGTGCCGAGAATGAAGAGAAGGTTTCGCTGCTCGGCCGACCAAACAAGAATTATGCTTACTGCAACGACCATTTAATGCCTTTACAAACACTGCTACTTTTCCCTCGTTCTTTCATGATAGATTTGACGCGTATGGTCGAGTGGCTAGGCGACCGTTGCGAAGCTCACGGCGGAGCAGAGGGAATGCATATTGTTGCTCAATCTGTATGATCCCTCTGAACCTGTTAGGCTCTATTAATCTCTTGTTAGATGTATCCTGCACTTCATTGCTTGTACCAGCTGTAGGCAAGATTGTGTGTTACTGCGATGCATACGATATCACCGAAAGCTTCAGACAACTCTCTGACATCTTTCAGAATTGGCTTAATAGCTTTCCAAGATACCGGTGCTAGTACCAAGTCCTTACTCGCACTTGCATCGTCCCAGACTTTAATGTCAGGCATCCATATTCTCACAACTCCAACTCAAGGTGCTGCTTCGAGATATCAGTAAAGCCTCATGAGGGAGCTAGCTCACTGTGAAGGAGAGCTAGAGTCCCGAAACACGTTGTCTGTCTTAGCTAATCTGCCTCACCGAGACGAATAGTGTTCAAACGCAAGGGCTATGAGTCCTCGTTATTTCTCGGTGATGTGCAATGGGGAGTTACCTTGCAATATCCTCAGCATGACGGCTCTACAGCACCAACCTTATGGCGAACAGCTTGAGATAGAGCCGTAGTAATTATATTTCAGGCCTTGAAAAGGCTGCAACAAGACTTTTTGACTATTATTTGACTGGCTTTTGCTTTCCCTAAAAAGCTTTTCAGGAATCGATATCTGAACTTCAGGGATGATGATGTGAAGTCGATGTCGTTTCGTAGTTACTCGACAGCGATTGGCTTGTTCGCTGTTGCTTCCCAATGCAGTTAGTGCTGATCCTCCAGCCTTACCATGCGCGGCTCTTTAGCGCCAAGCGCCTCGATCCTTCGAACAAGTCATCTTTAGCTGTTCATTCGTCCGTTCGGCATTCTTCCTCTTTCATAACATTCCATATCTCCAACTACATCACAATTTTTATCATGCCCGCTCCAAAACCCGCGTCCCGAGGCCGAACCAAAGTAAAGACGGGCTGCGCAACCTGCCGGTCAGTCAAGACTCCACCACCATCTCATCCTTGCAAGGTTCATACTTACCGTGAATAGAATCAGGAAGATCAAGTGCGACGAGGGCAAGCCCTTCTGTGAGAAGTGTGTCAAGACCGGGCGCAAATGCGATGGGTACGAGTCTGTCTTCAGGGCTTTCTCCAGCACGTCGCAACAGATCGTCAAACTAGATGCTGCAGCTTCAAGGCATGATTGCGCTGAAGGAGAACCTCCATTGAGCACTAACGACCTCAATCGATACTTCTCCACCAAAACAATATTCGACGTCGAGCTCAGCTGTAGTGAGGAAGCAGAGCAGGTTCTTCAAGCTAGCTTGACTAACGATTCAATATGCCATGCTCTACTGTCTCTCAGGGCTCTTCGCGAAAATCTCGAGTCGAAGAAAGAAGGAGATACATTCGAGACCGACGAACAGCAGAGACTGAGTTACAACTTCGGCCTTCAACAGTACAGCAAAGCTTTAACGAGTCTTGCTTCGAACCTCTCATACCCCAGCCCCGATAGCTTAAAGTCCGCACTGCTTTGTTGCCAAGTCTTGATCAGCGTTGAGCAAGTCCGCGGGAACTTTGCAGCCATGGGACTGCACATCATTCGCGGACTCAGCATCCTCCACGAGTACCGCGCAAGGCCGTACTTGACCGCCAATGGTCTAATGCCAGCACGTCACAGCGGTCTGCCTTCCTTGGATATCTTTATTATAAAGCTATTCGCTGCGCCTTGCAAGTTCACGGAACAACAGCCCCCAGGATCTTCCAGCATAATGACACCTCCTGTTGAGACGAATAATCGAAAGCTGGCGCCAAACATGCGGGCGGAACTCACGAAGGTCGTGACGTCAACTATTGCACTTCTTGAAAAGGTTACAAGGATCCAAGCCTTGGAGCAAGCTCAATCCCTCCTTTCCGAAAGACGAGGCTTGCTTGATGGCTTGGACTCATGGCTCGGTGCTCTTCAAACTCTCCAGAAGGAGACGCAACCAGGAGAGACCGAGTCTATTTCTGACACCTTCTTGCGCATCTTGTATTTAATACTGAGAATGATTCTTCTTGGGACTCTGGAAACTTCATCAGATCTTGATGCTAAGCTCAGTGAAGAAAGCAAGCAACTCCAAGGCTTAGCGAATCTCGTCAACGAACGGCTCAAGGACTATGATATGCGAAGGGGAATTGATGGTAGCTTAGCAAAGCAATCTCAATAGATAAGTGAGTCATCAATATTCGCGATATTCTGTTGCTAAGTCCGTCACGAATTTGTAAGCCCGAGACGCGAGTCGTAAGATGCGCCTCATCCCAGAAAAGCATGCTGACCGAACTGGCCAATGAGAGGCTGGCTGTGCTGTTCAGTCCAACTGCATATTCAGGTATATAAACAAGTCATTGAACTATGAATATTTCTCTCATCGCAGTCTTCTTCCACTTGTCTTTGAAAATCCATTGAAACTATTCTTCTCAAATTATCGCCAATACAGCCAGCATAAGCCTCCTCCGACAGACAGCTCCTGCAATAAACAGCCCCTCTAATAAACAACTCTTGCGATAAATAGCCCCTATCATAAACCACGCCCGCGATAAACAAACCTATAATAAACCGCTCCTACAATAAAGAGCCCCTATAATAAACAGCTCCCCCAACAAACAACTCCTGCGATAAGCAGCCCTATGATAAACAGCCCCCTAAACAGCTCCAACGATAAATAACCCCTGCAATAAACAACTCCCCCGTTTCCCACCATGCACTTCCTCCTCCTAGGCGCAACAGGCCGAACCGGCAAATACGTCGTCTCCGAACTTCTTTCCCAGCATCACACCGCCGTCGCTCTTGTGCGCGACGCCAGCAAAGTCGCTTCTCAGCCTGGTATCACTGTCGTCACCGGCTCTCCCCTCTCCAAAGACGACATCTGCCGTTCTCTTACAGCTGCTCCAGGCTTGGTACCATCTGCAGCAGTCATCACTCTCAACACAGTCCGCAAATCAGACAGTCCCTTCGCAGCCCAAGTTTCGCCACCTCGCTTTCTCGCAGACTCATGCGCCAATGCATGTGAGGTTCTGAAAGAAGCTGGTATCAAGCGCATCGTCGTCATGTCAACTGCAGGTGTTGGAGACTCGTGGGCAAAGCTTCCGTGGGTGAGTAGAGCGTTCATGGGATGGACGAATATCAAGTATGCTCTGGAGGACCACAATATGTTGGATAAAGAGATTCGATTGACGGACATGGACTGGACTCTTGTGAGATCTGTGAGATTGGAGTTTGGGAAGGAGGCTGACAAGGAGGTTGAGACTCTTGGTAGTGCAGGTGAAGGAATGGGCATGGCTGATAGTGTCACGCCGAATAGCGTGGCGAGATTCTTGGTCAAAGTAGCGGTTGAGGGATCCTTCGTTAAGGAGGCTGTTGTTGTCCGGAACTGAGGAATATGACGAAGGTTTAGTTTGCAAGCATCGAGATCAGCAGGATTACTACGTCCCTTACAATAATACACAGATGATAGAGGTATTTCACAGAGTTACTGAAATTACCATGAACAAATGTCTCATGCGCTATCTGTATGTATCATGATCAACCACTATATACAAAGAAGTTATACACAATTCCCATGTCATCCAACTTCAGACACTCGGCCAGACTGTTCTTAGTACACCTTGGTAACAGGAGTCTTGATATACGGCTTCAGGCTAGTCTTTCCATTCATCTCCTCGTCAATGGCCTGGACAAACGCCTTCGCAATGAGATCTGCAGCCTCAGGACTAGTATGCGTATGATCCTTGGGATACAAAGAGTTCACCTTTGTATTACCCAGCTTCTGATACATCTTCGTAACAGCAGCAAAGTGATCAACATAAGTAACGCTAGGACTGTTCAGAGCCTTAGCAGCAGTGGGAACATATCCCACGAAGCGAGGAGCAGCAGGCTGAAACGTTCCAGTCTCCCATTGGTTGTTGGGCGTCTGAGAGCTGAGAATCACAGTAGCGCCCTTGGCGACGAGGGCCTTGGCGGCTTGCGAGACGTAGAACACAAAGGTGTATACTTTCTCGCCCGTCTTGTCGGAGATGCAGACTTCTGTGCCGGCGCCGGGACAGTCGGAGCGGTTGTTATCGTTGCTTTCGGGAGAGCCGCCGTCGTTGTGGCCGAATTCAATGACGACGATGTCGCCTGGCTTGACGAGGTTCACGATCTCGGTGAAGCGGCCCTCGTTGGTGTAGGATCGGGCTGAACGGCCGCCGATGGCTTTGTTTACGGCTGTGACCTTGAGATATTTGCCGATGTAGTTACCCCAGCCGTCGGTTACACCGTCGTTGGCTCCATTCTTTGCCATGGTGGAGTCGCCTTTTCATCTAATCAGCGTCTATCCCATATCACCAATAATTCGCTCGACTTACCAGCAAAGTACACTGTCTGGCCAGACACGACCTGGAAAGCTCCAGCGGCGAGCGCTGCAAGTGAAAGAGACAGCTTCATGATGACTTGAGTTTCAGATAAAAAACCACTGAGAGTGTAATAAAACCCAAGACGTCGCCCAGAGCCGTATATATCTACTCCAAGCCATGGTATCACTCAATTAAACCCCCAAACTAACAATCCAGGTGATCATTCGTTTTACAAAACAAGGTTCGCGATCTAGACTCCGCGTTTACCTATTCAGGCGGGCTCTCCGTCTGTGCCAAGCCTGATGAAACAGGGATATGAAGCCTTTTCCCACCATTCAGAAAACATATCGACCCCAGACCGAGGCCAGGATTGGGCCGGCACTTGTGATGCAGCCGATTGATGGATAAAGTCCCGCTGTTAAAAAAGATGTCATTTTGTTTGGGTTTGACGCGGTGCACTCGGTGATCTCGGCATTGTTTCAGCGATTGCTAGTGTCGAAGTTTATAATCATTCGTTGAGGTACGGGAGTTGTCTCGGGGGAATGGGGACCGAACGCGGGGATAGTGGCATATCATTTCCCATTTCGACGAAAAGACATTGGGGGAGATTTAAGCTTGGAAGGTGACAGTTCGATGCTAATTGGGACCTCGGCTCTTGAGTTTGCGGTTTTCTAAAGGAAAGTGTCATTGGAAATGCAAAACGCTTCACCATCATCTTTTTAGTAATGCGGTGAGATGTGCCGGACAGAAGGGGGTTCTATTGAATGGCGATGGCTTAGTTTCTTTGCCTCAGCATCCATTTTATTGTTGCTAGATTCAGATGGGCCTTGGTAGATATGAGACCTCACAGGATCATAAGATTTTTGGTCACCGATTCATGGAAATTGTAGAAATTGTAAATCAATGCAGTTCGCAGTTTTCTGGTGGCCTAGTGAACAACGAAGGAATTCGAGGAATCTCGAGCTCTATTTAACAAATAACGTGTAAAATAAACTCTTCAACGCATATCACGTAAACAGAAGCAATAATCAATCTGTAGAGAAAACGCAAGCTTCCGTTGCAAAATTGCATCATCTAAACAAGCCAACCCTAGAGTCGTTCTCGTTTCTTAAGAGGTCCGTTATCGATAAGCAATTATGACAACCATGCCATATCTTTCTTATCATCACCATACCGGCGATAAGTGATAAGAAGGCAACGATCGACAACGGTTTCAGGTACCGCGAGCAGCCCACTGTACCATCAGATTTGTCCGAGCTCGCTATCAACGGGGCCGTCATGATCAGGAGATAGCTTGCGGACCAGAAAGCTTGTTTTCGTCTACTCTCGACCCACGTAGCTAATGGCAATGGAGACACCATGGGGACACAGTAGTCATCCTTCAAATGGTTGCACGCTATAGAAGACAGCATTTACCATAAGAGGTCATTTGAAAGAGATAAAGTCGAGATTTGCATGATGAAATTTTCCTTTAGATAAAATGCTAAATATAAAAAGGTGCCGTTGTTCTGGTACACCAATAGCTGGCAAGACCCGAAAACTGGTTTATCAACTCGCTTCCATCACAATCAATCCCAAACACGCTCACCAATCCCATCCAGTAAAATCCCTACCATTTCAATCCATCACAAGCATAAAAGAGCCTCACCCCTTAATAAACCTCCATGAAACGAAACGAGCACTTTTCGCAAAAAAAGATTAAATACCCCGCCAATAGCAGCCTCGATATTTGAAACACCACCATCATTTTCCGTTAGGCGCTTCCTTTTGCAGGGATCAATTCTAGATCCACTGAAGGAACAAATGCTGATGAACAACTTCACTCGCAGGTTTTGTAACACAAACGGTCTGAGGTGACGGCACCCTTGTAGAGGTTCCTTGCTTTGGAGGGGATTTTCCCGGTTGGTCATGTTTATCGGACATTAAGGCGTATTGCATCAGACCCGCTGATCATCGCGTGTAAAGAGATATATAGGATGTCGATGTTTGCTGTCAAATGCTTCTGTTCAAGCTACGCTCTTTGTCGCTGCCTTTCTTTCTTCCCCACCGCCAGCACGGTGTTTCTTCTTCTCTACCGCTCGCGGTACATTCCATTCTTTCAACTAGGCCCTGGTGGTCTATCTTCACTCTCTTGAATCTTCAAACACATTCTTTCATTATCCACCATGCGCTTCTCACTCTACAGCATGGCAGGCCTTCTGGGTCTTGCCTCCGCCCAAGGTCTTCGATCCTCCGCCTACACCGATCCCAAGACGGGCATTGAGTTCCAGCGCTTCGTCGACGATGGCTACAGTCTTGGTATCGCTGTCCCTGAAACTCTGGGCAAGGATCTCATCGCGCACATGGTGTTTCCTCGTGAGAAGGAGGGTTGGGGTGGTATTTCGTTCAGAGGCGGTATGGTTGGTGGTATGCTCTTTGTTGCGTGGCCGAATGGTGATGATATTGTTACGAGCTTTCGGATGGCGAACTCGTACGCTAACCCGGATGTTTACACCAACTCTACCGTCAAGGCTACGCCTATTCCTGATGGTACTTTCATCAACAGCACTCATGTGTCGTATACTTTCCTCTGTGAGGGATGTGTTGTTAAGGAGACTACTTCGTTAACTGGCGAGTCTCCTGTCGTCGGATATGCGTGGTCATCTATTGATGTCGACACCCCCTCTGATCCCGAGAGCGCTCTGAACTACCACGGTGCTGGTTTCGGACAGTTCGGTCTTGATATCAAGAATGCTGCTTCTGCCAAGTACGCTACCTGGGCTGCTATGGCGAAGGAGACTACCCCTGCTCCTGGAACAGGCACACCCGGCGTTCCTGGAAACTCTACCACTCTGCCCCCCACCACTTCCAACGTTACATACGATGTCATCGTCGTCGGCGGTGGTCCCGCTGGTATCATCTCAGCCGAGCGTCTCGCCGAGTCTGGCGCCAGTGTTCTCCTCATCGAGCGCGGCCCCGCCAACACCGTCGCTCTCGGCAACGCTGCCCAGGCCCTCCCATGGAACAACACCCTCACTCCCTACGACATCCCCGCTCTCGGCAGCAGCATGACCAGTATGTCTGGCACCAAGTTCTGCAGCGACACCGCCTCCACCGCTGGCTGTCTCCTCGGCGGATCCAGCTCCATCAACGGTCTTAACTTCATCCACCCCCCTGAGCGCGATTTCCAGCGCTGGCCCAAGGGTTGGAGCTGGTCTGACCTCTCCAAGGCCGCTGGTCGTCTTTACGAGCGTAACCCTGGTACTACTGAACCCTCTGACGATGGAAAGTACTACGATGATCGGACCTACACTATCCTGTCTGGATACTTGAGCGCCAAGGGCTGGAAGGAGGTTGACTCTATTGAGGAGCCTAACGAGAAGCACCTTGTGTACTCTCGTCCTTCGTGGTCTATCAAGAACAACATGCGTGCTGGTCCTGCTCGCACTTACATGCCCTTCGCCAAGAACCTTCCCAACTTTACTCTCAAGCTCGAGACGAAGGTTATCCAGCCCATTCGATCCGGCAGCAAGATCACTGGTGTTCTTACCCAAGCCGCCAACGGCAGCAAGCAGATTATCAATGTCAAGGCTGGCGGTAAGGTCGTCCTCGCCGCTGGTGCCATGTCGACTCCTCGTCTTCTCTGGAACGCTGGTATCGGCAAGTCTGACGCTCTCGCTATCGTCAAGCAGGGTGCTTCCAAGACCGGTGTGACACTCCCTGCTGCTTCTGACTTCATTGACCTCCCTGTTGGACACCATCTGCAGGACCACGCTCAGGTCATGCTTCAGTTCAAGACCAAGAGTAACTTTACCGCTTACAAGTTCAACAACATCGCTACCGAACCCGTCAAGTCTGACTTGGAGCTTTACTACCAGGGCTCTGGTCCCATTACCCAGGCTGCTCAGCGCATGCACCTCTGGACATCTGCCAAGGGCGCTGATGGTCGCGTTCGATACCTTCAGGGAACCGCTAGTGCCATGGCCGACGGTATCATCACTGTCCGCACGTTCCTGACCCACGGTACCAGCACTGTCGGCGAGCTTGGTATCACCGCTGGTGGAAACACCGTCCTCAACACCAAGCCCTGGTTGATTGACCAGGAGGATCGCAAGGCCATGGCTGACTTTGTTCAGTACTGGCTTGACCTCACCAGCGGCAGCAACTCTACCCTCTCCTACATCACCCCCGGCGCTACCGTGGATGACATCCTGGCTACCAAGATGATTAGCGGCGACCACTGGATGGGCAGCGCCAAGATGGGTGTTGACGACGGTCGCAAGGCCAACGGTAGCGCTGTCGTCGATCTCAACACCAAGGTCTACGGCACCGACAACCTCTTCGTCGTCGACGCCTCGATGCACCCTGATCTTCCCACCGGCAACACTCAGGCCATTATCATGGTCGCCGCCGAGCACGCAGCCGAGAAGATTGCCGCTCTCAAGGTCGGCGGTAGCAACTCTACTGTCCCGGAGCCCATCAGCTCTGCTCCCACGCCCGTTCCTACTCCTGGGTCCAAGTGCAAGCGAGGTCTTCGTCGCCGTCGCGCTGCTCGTGTTCCCATGGACTTTCGACGACGATCACTGTACTAGGCGATGTGAGTTGGTGAGAATGGATGAAATTCAGTGAACATATTTCTTGTGTATATAGAAGTTAAGGCAGTTGTGAATATATGAGTGCTTCACATGAAGAATATTGTATTGTCGCGTGTGAAGTTAAAATAGAAACAATAAATTACCAATAATCCTGCTCCCTGTCAGCATTCAACCCCCCATAATTGTTTAGGTTTATGAACTTCCATTGGACAGTCTTACCTCGGCTTCGCGTTCGGATTCGTCACCAGCTCGGGATCGGGCAGACAAACCATCCGATTTCCTCTGGCAATCAAACCAAACTCCCCATTCACCAGAACCACTGAATTTCCCCAAATTCTACTCGGAACGAGTGCGAGATCCCACTTCTTCCAGAATCAACCTTCCACTGTTCCTTTACTGTCTTGTGCATTCAAGATCCCCTTCTCAATGGATGGGGAGACGGATCAGGCCAAATCCACTCGCGTGGGGTACAAAAAGTCCCGAAATGGCTGCATACGCTGCAAGAAGCGGCGAGTCAAGGTATGGGATTAGAGTCGCGACTCATGACTAGTGACACCTGTCTAACCGAGTAGTAGTGTGACGAAGAGGTCCCTTGTTCTGCATGTGTCAGGCACAGAGTCCGATGTAGCTTGGAGCTCGTCAAGTCAGATGATTACCAAGAACAAAAACCTCTGACCAATCGCTCTCTCCAAACACCCAGCCACAGCCTCCCAGCTGGCAGCCCAGCATCTCTATTATCCGGCTCTTTATTCTCTAGCCCTCTCGATGAACCTGACTGTTGGGTCTCCACTGCCGAGCTCATGCTTCACTACACCACCGTCACGTACAAAACCATGGTCTTCAACGAGAGAACCATCCCGACATTTCAGCAATCAGTACCCCAAGTCGCTTTAGGATATCCCTGGTTTCTGCGACAAATATTGGCCTTCTCAGGCTATCACCTCGCTCACCTGTATCCCGAAAAAAGACATTCCTACCTCCTGCAAGCATCAAAACACCAGAATGCTTCTCTACGCGGACTGAGAGAAGCGCTATCCGAACCAGTCACTTCATCGAACTGCCACGCCTTATACGCTAGCACGACGTTTATAGTGGTCAACAAATTCGCGGCATTTCCAAACTGCGACGACTTTCGAAGCCACGGATGCTCCCAACCTGTTCAGAGTCTCATGGAGATCTTTTCCCTCGTAAACGGCATGGAGGCTGTTCTTCATTCTCCCGGAGCCGCGGCTCTTCGGGATGGTCCCCTCAGAGAGCTTTTCTGCGAGACACCGCATCCACACGTGAATAGCTACCTTCTTCGCGGTCTCCACGCCAGATTACCCGAGCTTGCTCGGCGGATAGCATCAGACTCGATGGAAGATCAGTCCAGAACCGTCCTGACTTCCGCCGTCGCGTCTATCACTGCTTGCGTCGATGACGCGTTCTCAAACCTGTACAAGGTTTCACCGCCAGAGCTAAGGGTGATCTTTTCATGGCCCATGTCTGTGCCGCGAGATTTCTTGGACTTGGCTGTGTCGGGACATCCGTTGGCTCTTATCATTTTGGCGTACTATGATATTCTACTGTACTGGGGCGAAACGGAGTATTGGTTCTTTGAGAACTGGGCGGAGACCTTGATTACTGCGATTGTGGAAAAGGTTAAGGGTTCCCCTTGGGATGATCTTCTTAATTGGCCAGTTGAGGTAATCTTACATCATTGATCTATTGAATGAGAACCCAGCCGCGTGGCAAATGAGGTCTCATAATAATACCAGAAACTCTTTGAAGTTAAAGTGTATTTATACATTGTGAAGCAGATACTTGAACATTAATCTCGGAATACCTAGAGCGGGTTCTGCTTATAGTTAACCTTCAGCTGCTTCGGAACCCCACGCTTGGCCTGTCTGAGCTGCCAATACCTACAAGGTCAACCGAAGGTAAGGGATCTGAAGTTTGGGGTAATATGCAGTTGCACTGTCAACCATACACTTGAAATACTCCGTGAACGAAAAAGTCTTAGTGAAGCCCGACTTATTGAAGGTCTTGGTGGTTTGCTTCGAGCAAGGCATGGCCATCTTGGGAATCTTGGTCCATCGCTGGTAGCTAATGGCACTCGGCTCCATGACAACGCCAGACTTTCCAGGACCAAATGACGACTTGGCGATTGAGTCATCGTACCGCTCAAGAGCTGTCTTCGTAGTATAGAGATGTCCATAAATATCCCCTTTCATGATATTCTTCATCATAATTATCTGCTGCAGCAAGTTGTCGTTTTCGGGACGTTCATTGATGTTGAGTTCTGTCTCTATAGCATCGGAACTTGAATCGAACACAGCTACTAGTGAGTTGAATGTTGAGGTAATAAGACCTCGATTTTCAGCCGTGTAGTCCGTGAAAAAGTTAACAATCCATCCTATCTTCCTTTGTAGGAGGAATGTGCGGTCAACGATGGGTACGAACTTGAAAAGATCTTAAACAGTTTTAATTTCGCCTCCTCTGAACAGATCAGCACTTGCCTGCTCGTCCGGAAGTTCTTCAGCGAGTTCGTTAGCATCCTGTGCCTCCTTAACGTATGTTGTAAGTAGATTTTTCGATGTTTCCGGGACACTCATAACATAAATAAGTTTAGTGTTGTTGATTATATCGGCCACTGTAAGATGTTGTTAGTTGCTGTCAATGCGTGTTGAACTCTGCTAAGCTTACCTTGTTTGAAAAAAGAGGACACTGCAGGTCCGTCACAGCTGCCGAGTTGAACACAAGCGATTTGGGTCGCATATGTATACCTGGATCGGAAGCTGATGAAAGGTGACCCGAGATTTTGAGTCGCCGTATTAAAGTCGTTGGAGATAAGCAGTAGGTTTTGGAGAAAGGGAACCCACGGAATGAAGAGCGCCTCTCGGAACTGCCGGGCGATCTCGGCCATATATGGGCTGAAAAGGCTTTGAATGGTCTCTTGAATCTGCATCCCGGTACAAAAGGACCCTGGCTTACAGGATTTGATTATAGCCATAAGCTTAGAATATTTGTCTTCGTTGATCTGAAAGTCTGTTAGATCGATAGAATAACTGAGAAGTGATGTGAACTGAATATACCTCGGGACCCTCGATCATAACCACTTTGGGCTTTGCCTTGGACTGGAGGGTCTTTCTGACTTTGTCCCGGTCATCAACTGTCTGGAAGCCCGACTCATTCATGCACTGCCAGCAAATACAGATTAATAAATATCCAGGTATTGAAATTGGGAGAGCTTACTTTTTGGGCCCCGGCAACTTGGTCAACATCCTTTAAATCTGCAGGCGATAAAACCCCCTTCTCGAACGACTTGAAGCCTGATGTTGCACTCAATTTGCTAATACGGGGGAAGCATTGGCAGATTGCATTGGAGGACTGAATGAAGTTGTCGCCCTGGGGCTGTCCCAAGATCTTTCGCACAGTATCGCAGAGGTTGACCTTCTTGGTGAGAACTTCCAACCCTGTGATGACTTGCTTGGTCGTATCAACCCAACCTTCTCAGCATTAGTGGGCATGTCTACAGGCCATGGGAGGAACCCTACCTGGAACACATCTCAATGCATCGCACATGAGCTTCGGTTTTTGAGGAGTGGGACAAGGCTTTTTGTATTTCTCCTTGGACTTGCATTCGTCGTACTAAGCCAGACAATTAGGAGCCCTTGGCTGTTAAGATGGTCGAGACGCGTACCTTTTTATCAGGGACTGTCTTCGTGGTAACGTTGACACCATAAGGCACAGAAAACTCGAACTTGCAAGTTGACAAGTTCTTCAAGCCTGCGCATGTCTGTTGGAGAGTATTCTGTGCAAATGCTACCTCTGCGAGAAGAAACCAGGGAAGAAGCTGAGGAAAAAGACTTTGCAATCTCATCTTGTCTGCCAGTGTATTGTTGCAAACGAGATCAGTGCTGTTGCGGCACAGACGCGAATGAATAGGACAGAATAGACTTTATTTATCTAGATAGCCCTTGGTAGCGTATTCTGCTCACCAACAATTGACGCCTCTGAGACTATTTGCTCTGCATATCTTAGATATCGGGTTTGGCAACGGCTGACAAGCCTTAGAGTGCTAAAGAGAACTTAGAAATACAGGGCGTTACGCTTATGTTAGTAAATGAGGTCTGGATTCTGACGAATAAATGCTTCTGCGCTTATATCACCGCAGAGAACTTAGCCCCTGCGCCACATTCCTCCAAAAACATTAACTTCATACCATCATACTGAACGCTTGCAAAGGTGTGGCTGTACAAGCTTAAACAAGGCTGGCTGGGCTTTACTAGCAGGCGCAGAACATACACTGGTATGCACCGAAACTGACTCGAACTTGTGTGCATTTGGTAGATATATTCTCCCTATTCTTTCTCTTTCACGGCTTGACTTGAGTCGCGCTGTGGCTCGTCTATTATTTATATCGGATTCTTCTTCAACTATGTAATCAAGAGAGAAGTAGTATCAAAGCTACACAAAGAACCACAAGGTGTCACATGAAGCAATGACGAAAGCGTCATCAAGTAGGAATCAATAAGCTAAAGCCTACCAGGTTCCAATTTATAAGGATAATATTCAGCGCAATATCACTTAGCCAGGGGGCTTATGGCGTAACGGTTAGACATTACTGGCCTGACCAGAAAGCTAACTAGGTAGCTAAAGGTAGTAGGTTTAAACCCTATAGCCTTTAACCCTAAAAAGCTAAAAGTCTAAGGCCTAATTATTAATAAAAAACTATTTTAGTTTATATTTAAATTAACTTAAAAATTATAGTATTAATATATAAAAAGTTAGCTAGTTAATAAAAAGGCATAA